ACGGCCCCCCCCCCCCCCCCCCCCCCCCCCCCCCCCCCCCCCCCCCCCCCCCCCCCCCCCCCCCCCCCCCCCCCCCCCCCCCCCCCCCCCCGGGTCGGCTTGTCAAGATGCCATGGGCGTGCCGCTTGCCACAGGGATAATCAAAGCGAACGAACATGGGGTCCCAAGAACGACCTTGTCGAGTTCCTCGCACGCCCTGACAGCCCGCGGCAGGCCTCGATCCCGGGAACAAGCCTTGCGCGTGCCGTTTGCAGGCTCCAACATCCATTGCAGTCCTGTCATCGGCGGTGAGGACCACAGGACCTCTCTCGTCGGCTTCCCGTTTTCCTGGCACCCACGCCCACTCTGCTACTCTGCCCCAAGAGCGGGATGGGCCACGGATGGGTTGCACTTGCAGACGAACAGGGCCCCACGCTGAGGGAGCAGAGAGCAAAGTAGACGGTACTTGCAAGGGCCAGCCGGAGGTGGGATTCTGGGTAAAGTGCCCAGTGTACTGTACAATACATCCCCACGGAATGTATCCGGACCTCAGCGTTATCCTTCCAGGTTCCCTCCTCCCACCTCCGTCCAGGGTCAAACCCAAGCGCCGACAGGGGGGAAGTTGACAGGGCCAGGCGGTATCCACTGCAAGACAGGTAGCCATCGTTCCCCCAGGATTTGCCATAAGCTGCCCTGTCTGAGATGTAGTGGAGTCATAATGTGGGCGGCAGGCAGCAGAACGGTTCTCTCGTGCACTAAGTGGGATAGAAGACTGTCTGTGCGGGCGCGGCGTCGCATTGACATGGATGTGTACAAGGGAACATGTAGTGGAGGTAAGGTACTTAGTAACTTAATGCCTGCTGAACAGCTCCAGGTCTCTGCGCTGATGATAGCATGACGAGGGAGAGTGGGTAGCCCATTGATTCTCGAACGTTGAGATCTTGCGTCACCGCGACCTGCGTGGCTTCGTTGCCCCGGATCTTCCCTCTGCTCTTTCCTTTGGCTGATCGAGATTTCCAGCGTCATGCTTGTCCATCCCACATGGCCTACAGGTAGCGAGGTAGCGAGGACCATAGATTTTCAGGAACAACATGATGCTGCTCCATGCAACGAACGAAATAGGCAGCACACCTGCATTACGGGATTGACACACATCTGTAGCTCCCTCAGATTAGGTAGGGACCTTGAATTTGCCCCAATTTCGCTCTAGGATACCTCGCGCCACCGTTAGGACGGGATCTGCTGCCAACATTGCCCAAGTAGTGCCGATACCACCTGGCAATTAACATAGACTGTCATCATCACTCCCCAATCGCAATATCAGCCGTATTCAGTTACCTGCAAACGCCTGACCAAAGTAGCCAAGCAATCCCGGCTCTCATTCCGTCCCCCACATGCGGCATGGGTTGAGCATATCTGATCTCCTTCGCCCTGATCCTTATGCTTTTCGGTCATCATTCCATCTGATGTCACTTGGGACGATTCCCAACCTGGTTGAAAGCCCCTTCGGGATTCGAGACACGCATCATTACGGACTTTCCGAGCAGCTGTCAATGCAGCCACCCATCAAAAGAGGTAAGCATCCATGCTGATGATTGACATTTCGAACGTCGGAGGAATATTCCAAGAAGACGGTCAGTGCTCAGACATCCTGAGACAAGGCGCGCATTGCGTCGTAACTTTCCGAGTGAGGGTACTTGGAACTCCACATCATGCGCACCTACTGCCTGCCGCAGTAGTAGTGACAAACGGCCCATCTTGCAAACGACGGGCCCCAAGTACCTGTGGACTTGCCGTACGAAATATATGAATGCTCGATATTGGACCTTGGACGAACCAGGAAGTTTGAGGAGAGAACATCGCGCGGCTCATAATTGTGCGCTGATAAATTACACTCTGCATTTCTATGCCGGTGTCGATTTTAATCGCCATCTGATCTTTCAATCCTCGTCAACCCCGTATGTCAGATCTTGGTTGGCAATCCTGTGTGCCAGCCATGTAACTCTACCGTGACTACTTCATTTTCTCGAAACCCCCGGGTCCTGCGAAAAGTTGCGCTAGATAACTTTGGGGAGTGGGTGAGGGGCAAGTGGGGATAGCAGTTTCCCTTCCTGTTGAAGAATAGAAAAGAAGAAAATACAGAGACAAAAGAGGGCAAGCCGCCCAGTCGCCGATTCCCGATCGGGATCTTGTCGATAATTCAATCGGGAGGGGTTCTTTCGCCGGCCTCATGCCAGTGCTTCCGACTGGCTCCAAATGACGAGTCTAACGACGAGCTAACAAACCTACCGTCTGCACTTCTCCGGACCTTGCCTACGAATATCCATTTCCAAGCCTGCCAGGCCCGGAATTCCCAGATGCGATACTGATCTGCACGTCCTTTTTTATGCCTTCCCTCACATCTCAGAAATCCCCCGCCGGCGCACCAAGATTCTGCCAACGGTGCTTTGATTTGATCTCCCTCGTCTCAAGCCACCTACCTGGAATTTCATGGCATGGAGAATTTCGAGGCTTCCACCTTGGCTAGATTTATCGTCAGAGGTCCCGGTGTCCCTGTCGCTGTCAGCGAACCTGGAATTTGCCGTTCGTCCCGTCTTTTTGATAGCACTTCAGACTATCCGTAGGCAGGTACGTACCTAGAGTAGCTAATCCCCGCCCGTTACCAGTTCTTGCAGCGCCACTTGTAGAATGCCTAGGTAGACAGCTGCCAGGTGCCTATCTACTTGGGCGCACGTGGACATTCTCTTTCCGTCTTCCATTCTCGCATCTGACATAGGTACACAGTAGAGGAGATGCTGCCGCCTGTCGAGAAGGAGGGGCTTTGGCAGATAGAATTGGCTTCCTAATCCAGGCCAGTTCATTGCTTCGTCCCTTTTCAGTCAAGTCAAATGCGCCATCTCTAACAGCCGAAACACAGACGGCTTGTCTCCTGCACCACTCAGGTTCGATTTCCACCCTCCTCTCGCAACCGGCCGTCCTCCGAAACCCCTGCCCCAATTACTTTTTGTACGCTACATAATTGCTTCCGCACTTATCCTCCGATGCATGGCGCACAGGCCGGCGACCAGTCGAACCGCGCATGCTTGCTCGCCATGCCCTGTGGCGTCAATCGCGGCCTGAAATGGGCAGCATTGCCCAGGCCAAAGACCACGTCTTCGTTGAGAAGGTCACGCTTGATGCCATCGATTCGATTCCGGTCACGCTTCCAGCCCTTTGTACTGGGTACTGTGCCGTCGACCATCCCGTCTGATCTGTGAAACCAGGGGAGGGGGATTCTCTCCGGCATGAACGGAACGTTCATGAGGCTATCATCCTCAGCAGCAGCCAAAATCGCCCTATGACATTGCCCTGGCGTGGTCACGGGGAGCGAGCCACCGTGTCAAATGTATGTCATTTTCAACGCCATTTGCAAACCCTTCCGCATGTAGACCCTGGGCTGGACAACCCAGCCCCTCATTTCCCCTCCCAGCGTCTTTTCTAAAGCCTTTTTCGATGGAGACTCCATGCCAGATTCGCCAATCTCCCTCTGAGAGTGACGGCCGTGACCTCGGGCTAACTATCAGCCACAGCTCATAATCCCATCTCGAAAGCTCAAAGTATGTACAATATACTAACAACGACTGCCCATCTCGCTTCTCCTGATTGCTAGCTGCAATGAGCAGCGATGCCGCACCTCCATCTAACACGTCCATTCCCAACACTTCATTCGTTGTCCGACCGTCCCGCCCCGTCTCAACCTTCCCCGGTTTATGCTCCTCGCTTCACCGCACCACAACCATATGCGTACGTAGGTAGTACAAAGTAATCTCGAGCTAAAGGCGGAATGGGGACATCTCTGCACGGAAATCCGATTCCGAATAGTGAAACTCGTCTGCTTTGCAGCTTGTCATTGTCAGCGAATGCTTACCCTTCATTCTTTTGCCCTGGTTACGCACGGTCAATCAGCCGAGAGAGCTGCCAGTCATCCCAACCTTCCACCAAGCCGTTGAGAGGGTTGGCCAGGTTGACAGCCACAGTATAACCCCTCCCAGCCACCACAGGAGGCTTCGGGGCTTGCAAAATTCAGGACGATCTGTTTCAGGACTCTTCCTTCTTCCGCTTCTAGAAGCACTTCCTTACAAGTGATATGCGAAACCCTACCCTGATCTTTGATCTCGCCCATAAAGAAAGATATGCGGGAATTGGACCTTCACGAACGCTGGGGGCTTTTCCAGTATGGAAAACTCGCACTCTCCGGTGGAAATTCGAGAGGCCTGATTGAGCAGAATTGAGCAGCAGCCAGTGGCCTTGCATGTCATATATGCAGTGTCGGGGATCGAAGCCCAGCCGTCCCCGGTTTCTATTTTGAAGAGCTTGGTTGCATCATTATCACCCAACTTCTGATCTCTTCTCGGCACCTGTAACACACTGACCGCTGTCTCCGCCAAGGGCCGCAGGCTGGCTTTTCCTTCGAAGCGCAATGGCTCCTAAGCCCTCTGTTACTTACTTGTTGCCCTCCATCGCCTTCTCTTCAGGGTAAGTCTCCACGTTTCCCGTGTTTCGACATGCATTCGCGTGCCGTCCTGGTTCATATTAGCCTGAAGGCGATCTCAGCTCGAATCCTCGTGTCAACCTTGACCCTGGGAGCTCCAGCTGGTAGCATGTGTCGATTGCCCCCCTATCTGACACCTGCGGTGGCGAGCCAGGAGCCCTGGTTTTCCTTGCCGGTTCGCCCGCAATCTGAGATCCCGTACGGTACCCTGTACTGTAACCTCCGGTGCAAATGCCCCCTTCCCGCTCCACCAACCTAGGCGAAAGTCTTGGTCTTGGTCCTGGTCTTGGTCTTGGTCCTGGTCCTGGCCTGTCATGGATGCTTTGGAAGTCGCAAGTTCAGCAAGCACGCTCTTTTCGAACCCAGTTTCTGACGTCCCCTTTCCGCATGTGCCGATACTGCCTTGCTTCCGACTCCATTGGTTCAGCAGACCTGTTCTGTGCCGCTTCCGTCCCCGCATTTTTGGAAAGGTATGGCGAGCCTCGATGGAACCGTCGCGTCCACATTCAGTTGTGGGCTGCTACCCTCCCTCCCCCCTGTTCGGTTGTCAGGGGGGGACGAAGTTCTGCGGTTCGGGGCGCCAACGTGGAGCTGGGAAGACCAGGGGTAGGTGGTGAGTTTTGGCGTTGCTGGCCCCTCGCTGAAATCTTGTCCACCTTCTACCCACAACACAGCCCATGGTGGCAATTTTATGGGGGTGACTTGCTGTTGCCGCCTCCTTGTCGGGGACTGACTTGTCTTGTCGTCCTTGGACCATCAAGGAGCTTCGAATGCCAATCATCCAGCAGCCAGACACTCGGTTGTCACCAGTGCCCCAGATGCCAATCCACAGCCGACCACTCCGCCTCGCGTCCCTTGGGACCTGTCTGTGGCTCACAATTTCCGTCCCGTTATTGCCCACCCACCCAATCCTTCCCCCCAACAAGGACGCCTGCGTCTCGCCAGCCAAAAATATCTACTCGTAGATGAGCAGTCGGCGGACTCTGCTGCAGTTAATTACCAGAATCCTTTGAGGCTCTTCGAGCTGGAGAACCACTTCAAGCTACATTAACACTTGCTGTTCAGCTGACCGGACGTGATGCCGGCCCCCTTAACGTTGGTCGATATGGGCTTGTTGCTATACCTGATCCAAGCCCTTAAAGCAGAAGCAGACGTCCAGTGGCCAGCTCAGAGGCTCCACAGCGGCACACCTGGTAACATAGTGTCACTGGTGTGTGGTGGCAGGACTCATCGAGCCGAGGAACTGTGGAGTCAAGCAGGCCTAGCGAGATGCGCTTGCTGCCACGATTCCTCGGCCTCCAACATCGGTGGAGACGTAGACAACAGCTGTTCGAGGGATCGAGTCCACCTCTCTCTGTCGTCACGGTCCCATGACGCATCTGGCCCAATAGGACTTCCGCATTCTCGCGTTGGTTGACGTGCCTAGCTTGAGACTGACCCGGGGAACGATGTGGTGTAGTGGGCATCCCAATTTCGTGCTCAGAAGCTGCACTGCGACCTACACCACACCTTCCCGGCTGTCGGTTGATTCTAAACATGGCAACAACAGTGGTCTGGCAGGTCCAACTGCAGAGAGGTTCGGAGCCCCCCCCGAACCTCGGCCACGCAAACCGAACCGGGACCGGGGAAAAGAGCAGAAGCGTGCAGGGCGAGATGCGAGGATGAAAAAGGGAGAGGTTGGCGCGGAGAGTTGGCCCGCTGCAGCGCCGACATATAACACAGCTCCTTTATATCGAGACCAACCGTTCGGAGAATTTTGTCGTGCGGTGGGCTACTCCACTGCAAAGTAGGTATTTCCAGGGTTCTCAGGGGGGGGAACGCTGTCTGAAAACCAGTTTCAAGACGGGGCCCTGATCAGCTCTCTCTCTCGCATTATGTCTGACCACAAGCCCCGGATTCTACCGCGAGCCTATCAATTGGAGGTCAGCGTGGTTTTCCTCCCAGCTCCCACCTGAAAGCCCAGTAATCAGTACCCGGTAGCTTCTCGTTCTCAAGTCTCGGTTGCACTCCCATCTCCCGGAAACGGGGCGGGACCGGCGCAGTGTGACCCCCGGATTAGAACCATGTCTTTGCGGGGAACGGTTCTGACGATGCCCCATCTCGAAACGCCCGTGACCATCTGGAGTTCCGCAATTAGATTCCTGTCCTCTCGCTTCGGCGCTCTGTATTTTTGGGCTCTTAACTTGTCTGTTAAGGCCCTTCTCGGCTTCTGCGGCCATCTTTTCCCGGTGATAGCTGCAGCAAGCCATTCCTGGATGCGCACAGCCAGCCCAGCCCAGCCCAGCCGCCGCATTTGTAGTCCGGCCACACCATGCCGACCCGGGACCCTTATAGTCGCCTGTTTTAAGCATCAAAAAACAGGCGCCCCTCGCCTGTTTCAGGTCAATCCAGACTTGGATGTTTCGTATGCTGCAGACTAACGCACTATTCTCTTCTTTCGACTCGATTTTTCTCGTTATACCCAACCACTTCGTGATAGCTGCTGCAAGACTTTCTTCTTTTGACCCAGTTCGACTTTTTCCTCTTCCTCTTCCAGCAACCCGGGCATATTCGATCCGTATGAGGCCGGTGTCTGGTCTGGAGGGAGCTCTCACCTCGGGGGTCGTCCTATCGAGCATTACGGACACGCCCCTGCGTCTTAGTTTGAACTACCTGGGCTATAGAAGAAACATGAATGGTGATCACTCATGACAATGACCTACCACCCGCGCATCTTCGGCACCGTCGTAGATTTTGGGTAGTTTAGGCTTGAGCAGTCTGGGTCCGCCAGACACAGCTAGCCCAGCCATGTATCAATCAGCCCTGCAGTTCCGGGAATTTGAAGTTTATTGACGAGCCCAGTTCCGCTAATTATCTTGTGTATCAAGAGACAGGGGAACAAACTGTGAATTGGAGAGGCATGAAATCATATAGCCCAGATAGATGGTGGGATTTATTTAGCAGTCTATCAATCGGTTGTTGCCGCGAGTTGTGACACCCAAAATCGGAAGTGGCAGTTGAGATAGAGAGCGGAGAGAGCCGCAAGTCCGGGAATATCTTACTCCGCTTCTCGGTCAAGAGCGAATTGTATTATATTATTATTGTAGGTCGCTCTAGCTAGAGGGGCTGCGGGTTCTAACTCGGCAGTGAAACGACGGGCAGAGAGAGAGACACCTCCGGGCCAAGTTCCTTGGGAGTCCAAATTGACTCTTCACTTTTGCACTCCTTCACCACCAAGACTCATCAAATGGGTAGACCGGCTTCTGCATACTTTGGTCGTCGTTCAGGTAACCGCAGGGCTTTACCCCTAATGTTGATCCATTTCAAGCAGGCGCAAAGATCAACATGTGACCCAGTGAGGTCATTCCAAATTGATGAACATATACTCGCAATATTCAGCACACACCACACGCCTCACTCCAACCCCGCCCCCTCTCTCTATGTATGTACGTCTGCCGCATCGGGCCCCGAGAGAGGCAGATGTCAAAACGTAACTTATAAGAGGCAGGCGTTATCAAATCCACACTTGGCTATAGCATTGCTCACTATATTGGCCCGGCCAGACAAACAGGCTCGGAATTATAGGGAAGACCGTCCAATGGAGTCATTCCCACCGCATATTGAATCGCTCGCCGACCCTGGCTTTTTTGCGCCCTCGGCGCACCGACCATCTAGCAGGGAAAAAAATAAAACGGTCTCCGAACCATCGCAGATCTTGGTTCAAAAAACGAAAACAAGCCCAAACTGATTCTGGACACTGCACATGCTAGTCTTGGGCTCGGGCGGCCGCCAAACGCGAGCTACGCGTTCCAATATCCAACGGATCCGTAAATCTCCTGGTCACAACGGTTGTGGATCATGTACAGTACCTGAGTACCATGCAAAGGCCGTGTTCTAGATACATTGTCAAGTATCCATACTCTCTCAAGCAAGCGGGGGGCTCTCAGATGAACCATCGCCCCTGGCGTTGTTAGCCCTGCCAGCCACATTCGACAGGCGTGATTGGTCCGCAAGGGTAATCCCGCGCGATGTAACGACGGGGCGCGGATGTCAAGAACTGACGGGGTCGGGATAGGGTCTTCCCTGTTCGCGCTTTTTGCTTGGGTGGGGACCGTGGGATTTTGTGCTGGGGGTTGCATCCCCCCCTACCCTTGCCCTACCTACCTGTCCTGCAGTCGCCGCTTGTCATTGCCAATTGTGGCACTCACAGTTCACGTAATACTAGCGTAAAGGTAAGATGTTGCTGACTGAGAACGAGGAAGTGCTGTTGGGCCATGAATGATACTGGAAGCAGCGTAATAATAGAGCAGAGGGGGAATTGCCCGAGTCGACTCGGCAAGGAGAGTCTTCAGATGAGGGGAAGAGGGGAAGGATGGCTTGGATGCGGAGAAAGTGTGTGATGTGTGTCTTATCGACGACCTCCAAGACTCTATTCCTAGGTACCTACTCCACATGTGTTAAGGTAGGAATATGAGAGCCGCTATCGAAATTCCTGGCCGTGGGCTCACCTGAGACCTTGCAGCTGACCAGGACTTGCTGGGGATATCCCACATCTAGATATTAAAATTGGCCTGGTGCTTTGTGGAAACTAGGAAACGGAGCAACATCAATCAAATGCGGGGCCAGGATTCCAATGACAACCGCCAAGAATCGCGAAAGCAGGAGGACTGAATAATCCGTCGCGGAGGATTAAATGTATTAATACCTACCTACCTACATGGTGCTCGGAAATGCTCCGCTTCTGCGCTGTCGTCTCGACATGCGGCCTGGCCGCAGGCGTGGCCGCATGACACGATGTGGATAGTAGCAGGATAGTCATCAGCACATGAAGGAGGGGTGGGGGAGAGGGGTGGGAACCCGCTCCTAGCGAATGGCCAGTGGGTTATGTGTCGTGCCGCCGTTGCATTATGCGTGTCTGTGTGGCCCAGCTTGGTGGCTGCTAGCCAATGCTAGCTTCACAGCTGATTTCCTATTTTGCGAGATTGACTGGCTTATTCCAGTTCTAGCTGCCTCGCTTCCGAAGCACCTTATACAGCACACCGTTGCTGTGCGTGCGAAGTCCAGAGTACTCCGTACTCAGTACAACGTTCTCGCTCCAGGCTCAGGGGACTCCACACTCCCAGATTTGGAGGCATTTGGTCGTTCTGCACTTGTCGCATGCAGATGCTTATTTAAGGTTTCTCGCTTCTAGCCTGTCCAGTCCTTCCATCCCTCCACCCAAAATGCTCGAAGGAATTCGTGTAACCCTGCCAAAGATTCACAGGATTTTATGTACCGTACATCATCATGGTCGGACAGGGTCAGCTGGAAATAGACCTTGGGATTTGTCAATCGCAAATGAGGTCTTGGACAGACCGTTGTCAGGGCTGGCGGGACAGGCAGATAGATCTCCATCGTCGCCCCACTCAAACTTCCTCTAGCAGGGTCGCAGTCCTAATTTCGCACTGACCTATGGTTCATTTCGCCAGGTCATCGCCATCAAGGGCTGAGGAAGAGGGTGTGGTGTATTTCCCCACCATGTATTCCGAACGATGCGTACACTATGTATCCGTACGTAATGTACCGTAGTACTGCGTATACATAGGTATCTGTTGCTGTCGAAGGGTAGTGTTGCCAAGATATCAGGCGAGTCTTTGGAAAGTGACAATCTGGGGGTGCCCCTGCCAGCAATAACAAGTGATGTCGTCGGCGCTCCGCTCGGCAGCCCTACCGAAGCTTGGACCACGTGGTCCGACTGGCGAGTGGGAAAACTAGTGCAGGGTTTGAAGAACAATGGAAACCCGAGGGTCGAACATGCTCTGCCGTCACAGCGCATCAATACTGCTTTGAGAAATTTCGGGGTGACAGTTGAAACAAGCCAATTTGGATCGAATTTCCAAGCTGCTAACATTACGTCAAATGCTGGACTTACGTCACTGTGAAGAGCCTTCAGGGAGTGATCTTCGCTCAAGCTCCAACAGGTACAGGATCGCCCGTTGTACTTTTTTTGACGCTAGAACCTCGAAAGTAGTTGATAAGTAGTGTAGAGGTCATTAAGGGGAACGAGGAGTATCATTACTATCGCTCTTCATGTGTTTGTTCCAGATGATCAACTCTCAGCAGGGCCACCAATTTGACAATGATCAGAGCCAATTGTAACCATGGCTCTTCAACTCATCTCTTGAGCTCTTGTCCGTAACGGAAACCGAATTAAACAGAGATGGTTTTCTGAGAACAAACGCCATGTACCCTGTTCTCTTAACCTAAGCAGAAGGCACATGGGGGACTTTAAGTCAAGTTGAGAGCCTGGAGAATAGGGGTACAACTAGAGCAAACTATAATGGTATTAATGTAGTCACGCAAGATGGCGTGAGGACGCACCCAGACTTCTTCCAGTATTCTTAACTCAATCTTTGGAGGTGGAACAGATTCTGATTGTGCAGACTCATCTCAGGGATTAACTCTTGCCTTGTCTCTGGAAACCTTGTTATCTGACTCTGGACAAGTTCCAACAAAGTACAATTCTTGGAATGTAGGCCACAATGGAACATGCAAGGCCCACAGGTCAGACCTAGCTCTTATACAGGGAGTTATGTTGCTAGCAAACGCTGGCAGTAAGTTGATATCAGACTTCTAGAACCAGGCCGCGTTATTGAAGAGCAACAGACTAACATCGATGTAGACAGGCAAGGAGCAGCTCTACGGCAGGGGTAAGCCAAGATAGAATACGGGCTCAGACGCGATCACGGATCAACGGCCAGAGCCTTGGACTGAATGAGCCCTCGGTGATCATCGGCCCACACGTACGAAGACATCCAACGGAGGAGTTAAGAACTGCAGAAAGCGTCAGGGGTTGACTTACGCAATGGAGAAAATGCAGCTTCTTCCCCGACTACAGTCAAAAGCCCACTAGACACCTCCCTAGCACTCCTCACGAGTCAAGTCAAACCCCCTCTCCTCTAGGCTCCTGCTCATCCTTCTCCTTTCCGACCTATTATAACATCTTTGCCTGCCAGGTCGACGAACTCATCTCGGCGTCGGCTGCTGCAGACCCAGATCCCACGACGGCGATCGAGGTGGCGGAGCCGGACAGCTCGAGGCCGATAACAACGCCGGGTGCAGCGCTGGAGCTGGGGGCGGTATAAGCTTCGAGGGGCCGTAGACCTCGGCGCTGTAGAGGTCCCTCCTTGGTGGTGCCGGCTGGCCTTGTCGACGGACTCGCATCCTGCGGCGCCGCAGCTTGCAAAGTAATCTATCAGGGCCCTTGTGTGATCCTGGCTCGGAGGATATACTGTTGATAATGATATTGTCGACATGTCCGTGGGCAACGACAGTAGTAGTGCCGAGACTCAGAGCAAATCGAAGACATTGTAGAACGAGTTCGTCGAAGATGTGCAAGTTTATCGAGCTTGAGTTGGCGGCGGACTTGCGGAAAGAATGGGCAGGCAAATCCGCGAAGCACAAGCAGCAACAAACGACGGGCTTCAGTCGAGGAGAGAAGCGAAGGTTAAAGGGATCAAGAAAAAGGAGTATCTGTCTGCACGGGATGGACTTCGCGAGCCTGATGAGAGAGGGGTAGAGAGTGAGGCTTCTCACGATGGCAATGCAAGTCCAAGGCCGTTAGTATATACGCCCCGTCGGCACCTCCCGAACCTCCTGACAGCCTTGTTCCACGCCTACTTGGGCTCAGAGCGGAGCCCACCGTGATGGCTGGGCAGATTCAGAACCATTGCTGGCATTAGGGGTGCAGCTTGGCAGGATGTAAACTCATGAATTGGGCAGCCACTTGACCTGGTTAGGGTGCCCAGTTTGAAATGAGGCTCCGAGATTCCCCTCTATCGGTGTTGATCTGGACTTGAAGGGTAGGGAAGGCGGAGCAATGGGCGAGAGTTATCTTGAACTCGTGGAGGTGCAAGCGGCATGATTATGCGAGCCATGGCTTCCTTAGTGGCACCTTGGTTGCGTTCTTATGAACTGGTAGCTAATCGATCAGCAGCAAGTGTTATCTGATGCGGTGGAGTCCTGCTCGTCCCATGGACTTGAAGATGAGATGGGAGTGGGGGGGCGCGTTTGGAGGCCTGCTGGCGTGGTCACGAGTAGATGTGCGACCATAACGTGACTGCCCTGGCTACCTGCAGGATTCGACTGGATGGGAAACATTCGTTGCTAGAGAGGAAGACGTGGCTGTCGTTTCACGACCCCGCCAGCTCGGAAGCAAGCGTCCTGCATCATCTCCTTCGTCCCGCACTCACACTGGCGGATCTGGGGCTATCACCACAGCCCTTGCCGTTGCAGGGCGCCTGCCGCCCCGCCAACGCGGGCATCATTCCGCCGTGGCACCTACGCCAGTAATCCGCGAGTCCGCAACGGGATGGTCCGAAGATGCGCCATGTATGTACCCAGAAAACGAGGGGCCCTACCTGTGAGTACGGCGTAGCAGTAGACTCGGTGATGCGAAGAGGACGAGGTGTTGAGCCTTACTTACATAGGCAAGCTCCATGCGCTTGAATGCATCTACGTTGTAGGTACGCTCAACGTCCAATGGGCGCAAAGGCTCCTTGATAGGTTTCTGCAAACTCAAGCAATGATATTGTTATTGAGCTGCCTGTGTCTTATGCATGCCATCTCCACTACCTGCAGCACCGTGACGAGCTTCTCCATAAGTCTCTGTCCATCATTGCAATTGGCATGGAGAGGGTTCGTTCCGCATATGTTCAGCCATAGCACAATGACCGACCGTCTACTACGGCCAGTTCATCTATGTGCGTGGCAACGATCCGCACATGTAAGGGGCGTCAAGTTGTAGGAATTGTGCCCCTCAGTCCCTCTTTTTGGCTGCTTGGTCCTATTCGCGAAACTGTGACGGCGGCACCACGTACAGATGCGGACTTTGAGAACCCCATCCTTGCCCGACCCTGCCATTACCGATCATCTTCTTGCTTGATATATCTCTTTGCGCCCCGACCACCACGGAAATGGTACCCGCCTCTGCCGCGGAACTCCTTCCTAGGGCTCGGGTGGACTTTGCGCATGTCATATTTCATCTGCGCGACGCTCTCCATCTCCATGAGTAATTGACGGCCGCATTCGTCCTCGATTTCTTGGCCGTCTTTACCGACGAGGACGGCCTGGTTTTCATTAAGACTGTTCTTAAGATGTCCGATGCGGTAGAACTCGACTTCAGTGGTGCTTAGCCATTCAATCCGGAATGGGTGCGTTGTTTCCCAATGAATTCCGTTCACCCACTTGGGTCGGGGAGTGTCTGGAGATGGGGTCGTTGCCATTCGCGCCTAGATTTGAAAGAGCCGTATCAGTCAGTGTGGCCATCCAAATTAAGGCATTCTCGCCTGGCGGCGAGGAGAAGAGGCCTCCGAGAAGGTATTGGCCACCTACGTATCCTTGGAATGCACGAGATTTGTTGATGGAAAAGAAGAGTATGACATTCTTGCAAGTCGCGAACGCACTGGTCAGGGCCTCGCCGTTCTGGGTCTGCGTCGTCCATATTCCCTATACATCATCGAGTTCAGCAAGATTCCTCTGTAGCCCAGGGCGGTGATTGTGCATGGACTCACTTCTTCCATACATCTTCTCACGTTATCCTCATTGAAGGATTTGACCATGAAGAAACGCGTCTCTGCGAGAAACGTTAACCGGCGAATCCTGTTGGATATTTGTGTTGTATGAAGGGCGCGCCGGCTCTCAGCCGGAATATTCCGGCCAGGACGAAATTATGAGATATCGAAGGCGTTTTGTTTTGCAAGGCACTCTTCGCGAAGATCCGAGAGGAAATGTGATGAAAATGAAAGATTGAGAAAAATGAACCAAGGAATAGTGCGAGATGGACGACTTAAAGTCAAGGGCTATCGAGTCTCTCGAGTAACTGGAGCCGCAACCCAATCTGCAGGGTTTGGCCAATGACGACACTTGGGGGGGGGGATTAAGGAAGCGAACGTGGGTAATAACACTAACCGCCTCTGTGACCCAGATTAATGTGCTTTGGGCCTCGGGGAGGACTGTATCCTCGCCGTCCTATTGGCGACAGGCTTTGCTGGCGCCCTCCCCTACCGCTGTCGCCTCGATAGTTGTTATACTCAAAATAGTCTGAGCGAGAACGGTATACTGGGGGGCCGGGCGGCCGACGAGGGGATGGCGACCTTCGACGGTAGTCGTCACCATAGCCACCCGGGGGAGAATTTCGGGCAGGATACCGTCGTGGGGATGGGCCACGACTCGAGGGTGGCGGTCGGGACTCGTGACGCTTGAATGCCGGGGCGTCCGGGGCGTCCGGGCCGTGGCCAGATAAACGAGGATTGTCGCGTCCAGAGTCGCTATTCCTCTCTTTCTGCTTCGAGTCGTTGTCTTCAGCTCCAGGACCACGATCCTCGAGCCTCGGAATCTTGGCAGGGCGAGGGGCCACCTCATTGCCAGGGATGTCAGAGTCCCGCTTTAGTGGAAGGGAGAGCCGAGGCTCAACTGAGGCCTTTATAAGGCTCGGAGGCATGGGTGACACGAGAGAATTGACGGCTCTACTTGGTGCGGCAGCACTGCTGTCGTTTTGGCCAGAGGCAGCCAAAGCTGGGAACAGAGGGGTCGGTGTGCTTGTCTGCCACACCATGCCCCGCTCGCTCTCCTCTTCCGCCAGCAATTTCTGCCGCTCGGCATCCATCCGTTGTTGCTCAGCCTGCATTCTCTTCTGTTCAGCATCCATTTCGGCTAGCTTGCGATAACGGGTCAGCTTTCTCGTTCGACTCTCTGTCTCAAAATATTGGGTAAGGGTGAGCCAGTCTCGGAGATCATGATCACGCTTGAGAAGCGATGCAAGCTGCAGGCCCAAATCAAGCCCCGGACCCGCGGATTCATTCGTGCCATGCTTGTTCTCTTGGTGATGCTGTTCAGGTGGTCTGATGGTTCGATCATTGTCAGACTTCCGCGCGTCACCTGCAACGGGCGTTCGATAGTAGGTACTCGACGGCACAAGCTCTCGAGGCTCACGGCGATTAGGCTCTGTTTTTGCTTCCGTATTATGGCTGCGTGATGTGGATGCAGATGCTGATGCGGAAGGAGATGCTAGGGTTTGCCCTTCAAGAGGGCGCGTGGTTTGGGGTTGCTTATTGGCAGGTACAGACGTAGTATATCGCTTGGTTGTTGCGGCAGAGGCCTGAGGTAATGCAAAACTGTTCTTCCGAGGAAGCCGTTCAGGAGCATCTATTTTACCACTGTTCTGTTTGGGGCAGTTCGTTATCTCACCCTCCTCGGGGGGCGAGGTCGCCTGGTCAGACGTAGAACCCCGAGCAGGTGGACGGGCCGAACTTCCAGAGGTGACCTTGGTGATCTCCTTTGTTGGGGGCCGAGAACCCTGAGGTTGATGCATAGCGTTGCCACTAGACACAGCCGGTTTAGCTGCCTGAAGGCTTTCATTCTTCTCGTCGTGCGAGGCCGAGGAAATAGACGATATCAAGGCGGCAATATCATTTGCATCTGCAGGGACCGAAGTCTCAGGAGGCTGTTTTGGCATGGGATGAGGAACAAACGGGGGAATAGTGGATGTCTGAAGAGTAGAGCCCGTTAGAGGTTTCTTGTCACGACCGGCGGCCGACTGCATCTTCTCCACTGCAGGTGTCAGTGAGCCGTCCCGGCTGCTCTTCTGGCTTCTATTTCTGAGCAGTCGCTCCTTGAGCTCAGCAGCCCGAGCATCAATGTGAAGCTTTGACCCTGGAGTCTGGGCTTCGGAAGACGGGCTGGATATCCTCATATCGGAACCAGATGATGTTTGCTTGCGAAGGAAAGTTAGCGGATGGTGACTAGACATTGGAGGGAAAGATGCTGATAAATACGTGAGCTAGAGATGGAAGCCCTCCATAGGAATTCGGGACAGGTCCTCCAAAGTCGTGGGCTTGGCCAAAGGGGAACGACGATGACGAGTTGAAGGGGAAATGTGCTGGCAGTGAGGCCTCATGCAGGTTCGGGTCGTCGTAGTCAGGCAAGGCGCCAGCTTGGTGAGAAAGGAAAGAAGGATGTTCAATAGGTGGCGAATGGTCGTTGGGAGGCCACATCCTGGGAAGAAGGTTGCCTTCAGTAAGGGAAGGCGGGCGCAGGTTACCTTGGTGCCTGGGGTGGTGCGAGGTGAATACGCGGCGCGCGATTCCAAAGGGCACCTTATTTAGGTAGGTCCAGCCAAGCTAGCTCTTACCGACCGTTCGTGAGACCTGGTGTGTAAGGATGTGGTGAATTACCAGGCACAGGGGTGCCAAGGTGGAAGGGCTGCACAGAAGTCCTTATTTAATATCCCTCCAAACTGACCTAGATGAGAAAGACTTCAAGTTTAGCATCATCCCGTCGTCAACCTGGAAGTTGTGCAGTGGGTCTGTCGGGTTACGGAAACATTTTGGTCCGCTTGACCAGGCACCCGACCCTGTAATAAGGATGGAAATGCACTAGTCTGCGGTAATCTATACTGTACGATTGCGCACTATGCAAAGTCCCGCTAGGTAGGTGCAAACTTGGAAATGCAGAGCGCCAGGAAGACGCTTGAAAGACTTCGCAACCGGGCCCGTGTTACTGTCACTTTTATTGTCATTTTGTCGGCGAGTTCAGGCCATGTAGTTGGGGTATACTAAGATATGGAGGTTGCCCTAATATCATTGGAGGCCTGTTTAGCATCCGGGCCCGGCATTCTGGGCCAGGTTCCAACGTCCAACTTTCCCTCAAGGCTGGTGGTGGGCCCTACACGCCCAACCTAAGTAGGTACGTAAGGTATCACAATACGCACTGTGGCCTCCTGTAAATCCGTATATTTTATCTCGCTTCTATGACCACCCTGTCCACCTGTCAGTACCTAGTCAGGAGGTTTGCGACGGCTTGCGAAATGAAAAGACAACTGCCCGAAGCTCCCGGGCCAAGTATCAATCAACCCATTTGCGCCAAAGTTTGCCGTGTTTCGCCTTCTATCACTTTCGGTGACACTTGCGCTTGTGCTTGAATATCAACTTCTCGTCATGCCCTGGAGTAGATAGTGCTTCCATAGTATTAAGCATAGATTTTGCTGGTCTCCCACGCTATCTTAGCCTCCTGCAGCCTCCCCTGCACGCGCGATCAGGCTGAGCAGCCATGGGAAATCTTTTCTCCCGACACAACGACGTTCTGTCAGAGGATCAGCAAATCGCAGCCGGCAATGACCGGGATCCTGAAGCCGGCGCCGGTGCCGGCGCCGGTACTCCATCACCGCCTCCACGCCGGAGCCAGGATTCGGGGCTCGAATTGGTACTGCCGCCCACAACCAAGATGACGACCCACCAATTCTTTTACATCTTCATCTTGGACGGCATCGGTGCCATGGTCCTGTCCGGGGCTATCAACTTTGCTATTGCTTATGGTAAGCCAGCGCATCACCTGATCCTCATCCTTTGCACTTTTCTGGCGTACCAGCATTGTCCCTCCCTATTCCTGCCACAAGCCCGCATTTTCCCAACAATAGTTTGAATGATAATAATACAATAAAAATAGCAATGTACGCCACCAAAGACCCGACAGCGCACCCAATCCGGCTCTTCCAGCTCCCCAACACCCTCGCCGGCGACGCCGGCGTGACCATCATCATCCAGTGCCTCGTGACCTGGCTGATCGAGTACTTCCTCGTGGCCCGGGACCTGCGTCGCGGCGCCGTCGCCCCGGCGGCCTTCCTCCCCGAGCCCACGCGGCCCCTGGCCCGTTGGTTCCTCTTCCTCCCGTCTTCCCCCTCCTCCGACTACGACTACGACGCCGCCGCAGCCGCCACCTTGTCCCCGTTCGCCCATGTTCTGAGGGCGATGCTCGTCGCCGTCGCCTCCTTTGCCGTGCTGTGGGGCCCCTCCGTCGGCATTCTGACTGCCGTGGGGACGAGGAGCGGCGGGGACTGGGTGTTCGAGAGTACCTGGGCACCGCAGGTGTTCAAACTCGTTCTGGGAGGAGTGCTGGCGCTGCTGATGACGCCCTGCTTCGCCGTGTTCTGGCTGGCGAGGGAAGGGTGGTTGGTGACGGGGGTGGCGAGAGGTGGGGGGGAAGAGGGACTGGGACCGGAATTGAGACCGGAATAGTGAAAGCCAGACGGGCTATCCGGGCGGCTTATGGATAGGCCTTCTTGAAGAAGGCTTGCGAAAGAATGGGTTCACTTGAAAAAGTCGACCAGTTGCCTGCACCGAGCTATGAAGGAGGTGCTAGATCAAGATTTGGGGCTGTGTTTCGGTTGCATTCTGGGAGCCTGACGCATCAGTGTCATTCGCCTTTGGAAGACCGACCCTCTTGTATACCAATTAGACGGCGAATTGGGAAATTTGACATTAGATAGATATATAGACGGTTCCCAAGCACTGGTGCTTCGAGCATGTAATTGAGAAGCCATGATAAAATCCGAGACTACGTTGAGACGGGCCCTATGCTGGTGGAAGGAAAGAGGCGAAAAGCACCCCCTGAATAGCCGCGTACATTATCATGAACCTGACAACACCCTTCCCTCCGTCCGAGGTCTCCCGACTGGACAGGCGGCGGGCGAGCCAAAGGTACCAGAGGGGGGATCCGGATGAGAGGCGAGTGATGACCTGAACGTGATAATTTGTCACAGCAAGAAGGGCTAGCAACACCTGGGCAGTCGCCGCAGATTGCAGCACCCCAGCCACTTGTGTGGCCTCTCCAGAGTGTGCGACGGTGCTCGAGACTATCTGGTCCAGGCCGGATTTGGTGAGTATATACAACATTGGGGCCGCCAGGAGGAAGAGCGGAACGTTCGGGAAGGTCCAGTAGCGGAGAAAACCAACGTTCCTATGATGTGTCAGTGATAACGTCCTGGGAGGGATCAGTCAGCCTTACCAATAGTGCTCTTGGACAAAAGTGTAGATGCTTGGAAGGTAGCTCTGACACCAAGGACGCAGATTCGCCTCCGGCGCACTGGAACAGAATCGCCAGTAGGCCACAAGCTGAGGGCCAATCGAACCAGCCGCTACGCAGAGTCCCCCGATGCCCAGAACGAGAAGACTGCGGATGGCAGCCATCGGGTGGCGAACTGGGCGGGCAAGCTGTTGAGCAAACTGCCAGGCAAACAGGACGCCGTTCAAGATGCCATTGCTGCGGAAGAGTGTGGCCAGCCCAAAGGAGATGCCGGCCAGCAAGATCAGGGCATCCCGACTGCCAGGCCGCCGGCCGTTCCGGCAACTCTCGGCGAAGAGGAGGTGGCCGGTGAAGCTGAGCAGCGAGAAGCTGCTCTCGGCATACGGGGCAGAGAGGAACAGGCCGGCGGGGGAGAAGATGTGCAGGCTTGCCGCAACCAGTGCCAACCTAGCGTCGCGGAAGACGACTTGTCCCAGACGATACAAGACCAGGACAGAGAGCAGGTGGGAGGCGTTTGCCACTAGGATGCCCACTAGGGGCTGAAGATAGCCGCCAGTCTCGATGCCAAGAGCTGTCAAAACTGGTGACGGGTGACGTCAGTTGGGAGAGGAACAACAAACGAAGAATATCACGGAAGCCTCGGAGATGTGCAAGCCCACCTTTCCCGAGGTAGAAGATGGCGATTGGCAGCCCACTCCCGAATGCCCATTCTTGCTCGAACAGATAGCCGCGGCGCGCGATTTGTGTGAAATAGATGGCGTCCCAACTTGTGAGTCTGCTGACCAGTGTCGGAGTTGAGCTGTTGCCGACGCCGACCCCGTCGAGGGCAAGGCTTGCTGAGGTGTCATATGCCACACCGACACAGCTCCCCACAGCTATGGCTAGGAGAAACGTCTTCCATGCAGCGAAAGCGACGACCAACGCCCGAACAGGGTTGCGAGTAGGCATTATGGGGAGGAAGAGAAAAGGCTAGGCAAGAGTTTCGAGATCACATGCGATACACATTGGACGCATTAAGAAGATAACGGGTGTTAAGTTTTCGTGGTGGGGGGTGAAACTCGGTTCCAGCAGCTTGGGTGGGCCTTGGGCGGCCAAGCAAGGTACAGTACCCAAGATCGGACTCGTGTCATGGCCGAGCTGCGATGTTAGGCTGGGAATAAAAGCTTCCCGCAGCCTATGCGGGATCTGCGCGGCACCCGAGTACCGGCCAAATTTGTAACTGGCCCCGCCAACGAATAGGTAAAATGACTTCAAGACAAGATGATCTAAGATGCCGCCACTCAAGGAGAGCGGTGAAACCAAAAGCTACAGTTATTTATCGTCCCGTGAGGTGCCGAGGGACCACAGGAAATTGGTAAAACCCTTCTGGGATCGGGTGTCTTGGCATATACGCCGATGTAGCTAGATAGGTAGGTAATTACCAATACAACTATTTGTCTCCCTCAGGTCTCTTTGTCTTTAAGGGAAACTTCGGTTCTCCTTTCTCAGTTCTCAGATACCAGCCCGTTCTGACGATCGACTAGTATGGCGAGTATCCCTACCAATTGGTAATAAGAGACGGGGATATCAATTTATCATCCCACCTTCGGGGTAATACTCCAATGCCCTTGTGTGGGCAGCTGCCCTCCTATTGGTGACCTATTGCTGACTGCTGGGCACCATCTGACAGAACATCAGCCTCATATACTTGCCAAGATTGCTTACACGAAATTGGCCTTGAGCATTGCATTGCCAGCAACGACAACACCCAACTCACCACCTCCCATAAAGAACCTTCAGAACCTGTCGATAGCTCTCAAGAGCGCGAGCACGAACCTACGCCATTAACGTCGCGATTCCCTCTGTCCTCGAACCATATATCCCTAGCCGGAAGGCGATGCCACTCCCGCCCTGCTCCTTTCCACTTGAAGTCCCCCTCGCCCCTTCCTCAGGGCAGGTGCGGTAAATGCCACATGTTTCTTCACTCAGGTGCTGGCCTTCATGGCCACGAATATTCCAATCGCAATCAACGACCGACGTCGCCCCAGCGTGCCAATCGGCGGCCCACATTGCTGCGATCCGCCCTTGCCAGTCAGAAACCTCGAACACAGAGCCAGCTTGATGGCTTGAGACCGGTGGCATTGCAGACGCCGAGACCGGTATCAGAACACATACCCCGTACACCAGAGCCTGGTCCGAAACTTGAGGAGAAGCCGGACGACGGAGAGGAGGAGGACGACAACGACGCCGAGGAGGATCAGCAGTCGAAGATACCCATGAACGCCGATCCCAATCCCCTGCCTACGTCTGACTTGAGCCCCCTCCCGCAGTCTCCGGACACCGCTTCGACTACATCCACCTCTCGTCGGCGAAGACGGGTTCCCCGCAAGACCACCAGATACGCTTTGGCTTACCCGGCTCCCCGGTTTGCCGGGAAGAGTCTAGTGGTCCAAAAGGTCAACCCCAAGCTCTATCTGCAGCTACAGCAGGTCTCCGAGGCCAATCGGCCAGTGCCCATCATTGACGTCTTCCCGTCGTCGCGACTAGCTGGCCCTCTGGTGGCTTCACGAGTCGCCAAGCGGTTTCCTAGGGTCTTTGGCGCCAAGGGTGAATTGGGCGCTGCCGATGTGGTGGTGATGCAAAGCGAAGCTTATGACATAAATTCCCATGCGCTGGAGAGTGAAGACGAGGATGACGGCCTTGATCAGAGGAAGCTCCTTGCTGTGTTTAGTCCACTGAAGAAGAAGTCCGACCTGACCGAGATCGTGCTTGATGATGGGTCCGCGTGGGTTGCACAAATGCTTCCGACAGGGTCATTCGATTTTGTCCATGTCGACGCTCATGGAATTACCACGACTGCCCGTTGGGCTCGGAGGCCTGGGATGCAGACAAATACCACATGGCCGTTGGGAGACGCTACTCCGCAACCGACGCCGACAACATCCAGCGATTCTTCGGGACTGAAATATACGTTCAGTATCCTCAACCCTCTCACGCGCCGGCACCCCATCATGGCAACTTTGACACAGTCAGCCCTCGATATCCAAAGTCATTATACCACGGTAACCATGTCTTCCAGCCGGTACCCGCCATCCAGGCGCAGGAGCCAGACACTGCCGTCCTTTTCACGTGCATTTCCAACCTCGCCCTCAAGTCGGACTGTGGCGTCAGCGTCGGCGTCGGACCGCGACAGTGGCTCTGAAACAATATTGCCGCCGGAACCCGAATCTGAGCGCACCAGTCATCCTGTCGACAACGCCACCAAAATGCTGATCTCGATCACGGCAGTCTGGCTTGCGCTGCGTTCCGGATGGTCGCCGTATTACAAATCTCCACACTCTCAAGCTTCCGACCATGCCCTGCCGCCTAGCTCCTCAACTCCCGGACCATCTGTAGCCACGACACCGGCTGCCACCACCGCTAGGCAGAGCCGTCGATGTGTTTGGCCTCGCAGAGACAGTTTAGACGAAAGTAATATGTCGGGCCCGCGCCCCATCGACCTCCCTGATCAATATCTTCTCGGATCCTCCAGAGGTGCAAGCGGTCACCGCCCCTCAAGTCTCGGGATGGCCAAAACAATGCCTCTGCAGCCAGGGATTTACATCAGAGATCAATCTCCGGGCCCTTCGACATCGGCAATTCCATCTTCCGCCTTCTCCATGTCCAAACCCGTACCCCGTAGAGCGACAAGCACCGGCGCAGCATTCATGCAACGACACATCCAGCTACAGAGTCCCGAAGCTAGCGATACGGAGCATGCGGCGGCAGGTCAAGGTACCGGCAACCGGCGGAACGTACGTGGCCGGATCCTGAGCGGTGATTGGGCCCCAGCCTTTGCCAGGTTCAGTCGTCCGCTCTCCTTCCATGGCCGCGGCCGCGACCCCGGTTCGGTGAGTCCCTCGTCACAGTCCTCGCCGGAAACGGGTCCCGACCAGGCAAACACGATGCCGGACCATCCTAGCCACACCGTGGCACCTTCAGCAGGCGGCAGGCGCGTCCAGTCGGCCTACTACCCGAGTAATTCCATGAGACTGGAGGATATCCGCGATGGCGACGGCGAGAGCAAGGTCGAACCCGGGGCTGCGCCCGATCATGTGCCTGGAGCCACCGGCGCTGGGACGCAGGAGGACCATTGTGCCGAAAGCAGGTGGTCGGAAGACGATGACAGGAGAGGGGGCTTTGCTGGAAAGCTCAAAAGTTTCGGCAATTGGTTCAGGAGACTCGGCACGCACTAGGGCTGCTGCTTTCTCTAATGTGTTATCATCCCCTTCCCGCCTCAGAAGCAGGCGAAGGATTACTTTTGCTCGAATGTCTTTCCCTTATTGTATACATAGCACACAGGCTGTTTCTTTTGTTGCATCAACATAAACTTTCTTTCTCGGTGTATTATTCGGGAATGCATCGGTTGGTTGGTGGCGTCGGTTGGGCTGGATTGGGAGGGGGCGTAACTGCTTTTGCATCAGGGTAGCTATTGGTAAACACCTAAGAAAGGGGGGAACAGGCCTCTCAACTTTGTATGATTACGTTATTCGCGATCATGGGTGGTCAGTAAGAAATAATACTGCGGCGGGAACGCTACCTTGACATCTTGATGCACCTGCCCAGGCATGCCCTTGCCGTGCACAACTTGTTGTTGATCATCGTCCCGCGAGGCATGGACGAGACGGTAAGTGCTAAGAGAGAAGTGATGAAAAGGTGAATGAAAGAAGCAGTATAAGTAGACGGCGACCGGAATTTCGAGAAGAGGGGATGGGCAGAGATAGGGTTCGCACTACGGACGTTTTGCCACATCTTTGATTGGGCTTGGTGAGTACTCTCAATAAATATCCACTTTCATCCCCATCTCGGACCCCTCGAGTTTCCCTCTTCGCCCATCTTTCCCTTCTACTCATCCGGCATCCTCGCCATACATAGATTTGGCCTCCCCTGCCGCATGGGGTTATCTCATCGACGACCTCAAGGGGGAACAAGTGGCCGAGTTCAATTGGATAAAGGGGCGAATGGCGACTCTGACGACTCCTTAGCTGACGAAGTCCCAATGCATTAGATTTACCATATCGGTCAAGGAAAATAGTATATTGCGGCTAGCTGTGCGGCAATGAGTCGATGACACATTCAGGTGCTTGTCGCTGGTAACTACTCTAGAAGTGGAGAACTGTAGCTTGAATGTGCCTCTTGCGATACCCTCGATATATTGTGTGTGAGCCCGTAGGCATTGAGAGTAGCCGTGCAGAGCTGAGAGTATTCGTTTGAGGAAGATTGTCCACTTGACCCCATTGTAAATCCCAAGTATGGCGTCCTTCCTTGACTGCCAGCTCCCCCTTCCCATTACCCATTCCCAGGCAAGGAGGCGTCAAATACGCCCAACCCGTTCCAAAAAGAAAAGAAAAAAGCGTTAAGGTCATGAAACGTTAGAGACGAGGTGACCTAAAGTCCAGTGAAAGTCGAATTCCCCGTAGCTTGGGCGCCGGCGAAGGAGAAAAACTCGGCCTGAATGTGGTCAAATGACGAGACCAGAAATCCAACGAGCTCTCCAAAAGCGATCAGTCCAAGGTTCCGGAACGCAGAAGGTGGAAGACCATAAGATCCCATAACGAGAGCCACAGTGGGACACACAATATATGGCCACCAGCTGGTGGATATCGAGGCCTTAAAGAGAGACTGGTTCACACTGGAAGCTGTCGACGCCGCCTCCACCAGAGAGTCGAGAATGTCTTCAGTAATATTGCCCGCCTGACGTAGGAGGTAAGAATGGTGGTTGTATTTTGTAGACAAGGCCTCCGAAGCCTCGATAAGTCTGTTCAATCCCTGTCGTATTGTTAGCCCGGTTCTGGTGCATGGGATCTGATGGCTGGATCTGCAATGCCATGGAGGTAGGGCAATGGTAATCACCTCTTCAACAGCTCCTTGTCTGGTTTCAAGTTCGGCGGCCTGGAGCCGGGAAATCTCCTGTATCAGCGTTAGAAGCTAGGTGGCTCGCGGAGGACTAGAAATGACTTACGATCTGATTCTGTAAGGTTGCCGACGAAGCAACCGCACCAGCAATGACTGCCATGAGGCCACCCATTTCGTCGTTCGCTCTATTCGTGGCCAGTTCTAGGGACTGCTCATGGGCGACGGCTACCTGGGAATTACCCTCGAGTATGGTCTTGAGCATGATTGCCAGGGCTTGGTGCAAATCTTCTGCCTGTCCAAGGCCATCCTTGATGGCTTCCGACGATTCCTTGACTGCCTGGCGCATATCTCTGGAAAGATATTCCTCGACCTTAGCAAGTCCCTCCCTCAACTGATCTATTTGCGGGTTTAACTGGTCCATGCTTTCGGAGGCTCGCCGAGCTCGATTGTCAAGATCGGCCATGCGTTTCTGAAGTTCGGCCTCGACGCCCTCTGCCAGCTTGGCAATGACTCTGGTTAATCGCTGGTAGAGTTGGACACTCCGTGCTGTTTCCCATATTAGCAGATGAAGAAAAATGAAAGATGTGGACTTGATACGAACCCTTCTCATTGTCTGCTCGTGCTGCTTCGCAGAATCTCAACGCCTTATGACGATAGCTGACCCAGGTATTCCACGCCGAGTCCGAAGTCCCCAGCGCCGAAAGACAGAGATCAATCTCCTTTGAGCTGACATGGAGAGTTGGCTCATAGTTGGGGCTGAGAAGGCTCAATGAAGACTCTCGAAACTTTGCGCACTCTGACGGGATGCTGAATCTTCCCCTTTCAAGGTCGCATATCGCTAGGCTAGCGGCGTAGGAGTCGATGAAATCTCGAAGTTGGCGGCCGCTATCGGTGAGGACCGTGGCTTCATCTTTTCCGTCGAGGAGCTGGCAGTTGCTCACTAGAAGCCGAGCAGCAACGCGGTGACAGAGAGGTTCTGACTCGAGTTCCTGCAACTCGCTCAGGGCGATGGCGTAAATGCTCGGAAGGGGAGAGTTGGAGTTCAGGATTTCAGAACGTCTTCCGACGGGACTTGCTTTCTTCTCACTTGCCCAGAAAGCGGCAGTCGGAGAAGCAAAAAGGAGAAGGATCCCGAAAGCCAATGCCAAACCCCGAACCATACCTTGAGAGAGGTGCTGAGCCATGGCTGACCGATTCTCGAGGTTCACGAAACACTCGAAAGAGGAAGAAGAGAGTGGTTAGAGAGATGTGGAAAGGGAGAAATTGGGCGCAAAGCTCCCGAGTTGGAGATGGAAGTTACGAAAATGGCAGGAGCCCAGCAAAGATGGAAGGGGAAGGAGCGACTAATGGAAGGTGTTGCCCGCACTCTGGGCTAGCAGCTTCGACATTGGTACTGATCCAGGTTTGGAGGAAGATTCCCAGAAGGTTACAATTTGTGGAAGTTAATCCTGGGGGGAAATAAAGTGGCTTTCATGACCTTCTTGATCACGAATCGTGGTATATCTGGCGATGGGATCATACCACGAGCCCACAACCTCGAGATATTCAACTCATGTGGTCGAGTCAAGAAACTTACATACTACCATGTCATTGAAGCTTGACATACAGGAGCCAAACTTTCTAGTTAACTTTCCAGACTTCTTAGATCATCTGAATGAACAAGAGATTTATCGCAGTGTTAGTCTTATGGTTCCCATTCAAGATAGGGGATCAAAGACAGGGAAGAGCACGGGCCAGATGTAAGGGGTCATGTACCGGCCAAACTTCGGAAAATGCACGGCTGACCAATAGGACGGACCGTTTCCTCCCGGCTCGAGGAGAAACATGACATTTTTTGGATATCGTTCCAAGCATCACGATCTGGCATGACATGCGCCCGGAGCCCTAGTTGCACCGGAACAGCCACACAATGTTTGCGCCGAGCAGGGTAAGGGCCCTGGAGAAGGTCATCTCATCCTACTCACCCTCGTCCTCGGCCGTCATCCTCCCGAGCTTCCTCGTCCCCGCCCTCCACGCGACGAGGCCCTTCTCCGCGTCGGCGAGCCGCCCGTCCAAGCTCGGGAGGACACCGATTTCGGTCCCGCCGGGCGTGGAGCTCCTAATCGGCGAGCCCAAGGTTAAGAGGGATGCTACGACGTACCTCAAGATCCCGAAGAGGACCGTCACGGTCACCGGGCCGTTGGGTAAGGATTGCGGAGACGCGGGGGAAGAGAAGTAGGTGACATCTGGCTAACTGGGATGATAGGCAATCTCGACCTCGAGTTACCGCCTTTCTTGCGCCTCGATCATGACATTGCGGCCAGGAAGGCCAGCCTGAGCGTGGAGGACACAACCGTAAAGGAGCAGCGGGAGATGTGGGGTATGGAGCACGAAACAACCACCTCGTCCCCCGACCATTCGTGGTGTCTACTCGAATTGACAAGCTAATTATTTTGCTTGCCATAGGAACCACCTGGGCTTATCTGAACAAGTACATACTCGGCGTGTCCGAGGGCCACACGGCGCTGCTCCGGCTAGTCGGCATCGGCTACAGAGCATCTCTCGACACGCGGCCGGCATTGGAGGAATATCCGGGCCAGCAGTTTGTCATCCTGAAGCTGGGCTTCTCGCACCCGATCGAGATGGGCGTGCCCAAGGGCATCAAGGCCAGCACCCCGCAGCCGACGAGGATCCTGCTGGAGGGCATCAACAGGGAGGAGATCATGTCCTTCGCGGCCAAGATTCGCCGGTGGCGGGTACCCGAACCTTATAAGGGGAAGGGTATCTTCGTCAACGATGAGACGATCAAGCTGAAGCAGAAGAAGATCAAGTAGAAGAGAGGTGGCGCAAGGCCTATTTTTGTACTTCTAATTTTGTCCGGGCACACAATTGCGTGGGCCAGACCTGTGCTATATACATACAGACTTGTATCTTCTATTTTTTTTCGGGGAGGTACCGTGGGATGAATCAAGTCTCCCCGCCGTAGACACTACGAACCTCCCTTATCCCTCATTTCAACCCCAGGACCTCCTGCACAGCGCTCAGCACCTGACCGTGAACAGCCGCCGGCGCGGCGACCACGCCCTTGTTCTCGGCCAGGGTTCTCCCGTGGCCAAAGTCCAGCTTCTTCCCCGTGGTGTCGGTGACATGGCCGCCCGCCTCCCTCACGATCAGGTCGCCGGCGGCGTGGTCCCAGATCTTCTCCTGGTACGACTTGGACGTGGGCAGGCGCAGGTAGATGTCACCGGCGCCGCGCGCGACGGAGCCGTACTTTGCCTGCGAGTCCATACGGACGCTAGGGCGCGTGATGCCGAGCTTCTGGGCAATCTGCGCGGCGCCCCCCTGGTTCGAGTGGCCGGCTTCGACGCTCTCGCAGAAGCTGGCCGCCGAGATGTCGGAGATCGGCCGCACCGAGATGGACCTGCCCTCGCCCAGACCCCCGGTGCCGAGAGGCCTGCTCTCGGCACCTTGGCCGCGCACGGCCGCGAAGATGACGCCGCGGCCGTTGTCGTCGGTTGCGCCCGTTTCGTCGCCCACGTCGGCGCTCAGCGGCGCGGCGTCGTCGACGGGTAGGTTCGGGCAGCCCAGAACGCCGACCTCGACTTCGCCGTCGACGAGTAGCCCTAGGCACACGGCGTACTGGCCCCCGCGCAGGAAGCCCTTGGTCCCGTCGATGGGGTCGAGGGCCCAGATCCTGCCCTTGGAACCCCCCTTGCTGCCGCCGGCGCCGATCAGGTCGAGCATGGCCTCGACGCTGGGGACGGCGCCGCCCAGCACGCGGGTCTCGGCGTCGTCGTCGTCGAGGCGGGTCGTGCGGACGAGGTCCCAGATGCGTTCGCGGAGGGCCCGGGAGTCGGCGTCGTCGCCGCGCAGCTGGGAGGACTCTTCCTCGGCGACGATCTCGTCGCCCGGGAAGTTGTGGCGCAGCGCTGAGATAATGAGCGCCTGGGCGCCGAAATCGCCAATCGTCACGGGCGACTTGTCGTCCTTGGACACGGTCCCCTTGGCCGACTCGTGGAAGACGCGCTTGGTCAGCTGGGCGGCTCGCTGGACGGCCAGCTGCGCGACGAGGAGCTCCTTGGCGTAGGGGGAGGAGTCGGAGGAGGCCATTGTGCTTGTCCTAGTGTTGATGCTGCTGCTGGCTGAGATGGTCGCCCGCTGGGGTACAATGTGTTTGGAGAAGCGGACAAGACGAGACAGGGCGGGAGAGAAGAAGGTCGCCAGGATTAGAACAAGGGCGGAGGTGAGTAGCAGCAGCAGAGATCGGGTATAAATGGTCTTGCGGGAAGTGCGACGAGGGTATAGTTTACCCGGTGACATACGTATACGTCAGCTTCGTCTGGGGCAGTTATTTTGAGTAGCAATTGTCTCCTCAGTGTTGTCTTATCCTAATTGACCCTTGGATAATCTCTCATTAGAATCTAATCCCGCTGCGGTCGTAGTCAGAGACGATGTTCAAGGTCGCTCTGGCTTGTGAATCTCGACCTTTTTCTGTCTCCCCCGCAGTCCCGGTTTGAGGTTTATGACGCATGGTGGGGGCCCGAGAGAATTTGGTCCCTCCCACGAAAGTTATGCTCTTTACCTTACAAATAGGTACTGGAAATCTAAGTTGAAATTGGCTCTACACCAGTTGCCATTGGAACTAACTAAGTACCTAGTTTAAGTTTCACAAGGTTGCAGTTGAGCAGCCTCTGAGAGGTGTTCCCCGAAGGCACTGGCAACGAAAGCCTGAACAAGTAGCTAAAGAGCAATGATCGGGATTAAGTTCTCGTAGCAGCTGGGAATTCGGCTCTTTCTGCCTTCTCTTCTCGATCTGCTACTACTTTGGGACTGGCCCAATCCAATCCAATCCAAAAAGCCCTGGTCCAACATCCAACTCCTGATCTGACACGAGGTAAAACTAGACGTCGAAGGTGGGGTATATAGAAGTTCATGATATGCGTATGTAACAATGCCTCTCACCATCCAAATCTTTACAACTTGCCCTTGTAGCCCTTGGGATCGAGGTCGATGTTATATTCCAACTTGAAGGTTGCCTTGTCGTCACCCTTCAGCGGTGTGAAGTCGACGACTAGATTCGGCTTAACGGCGAAGACGGTGTCGGTCTTCAACTAGGGGTCATCGTTGGGGTACAGTTGGGTCGTGCAGCCCTAGAATTCCGGATAAGACCGAGATGCTTAAACATGCTTCAACCTGCTTTGTAGCGTCATTTCCCCGTAACATGTAGCGACAGGAGGAGTGGCATCGCGGCCGTGTGTTATTCTTATCCAAGACTGAATGGAGAATGGAGGAGCGTGGAGTGTTGGAGCAACTTGCTGGTGTGGGACAAATTTAGCCCTGGAGAGATTCTCCAGAAACCCGCGGGCAGTCCCGGGTCTTAGGCCGGACGGATTGGCCGAGGCCGGCACCCGAACCCGTGGACGGCGGGACCATCTACGTTTCGGTCCCAAGGCAAGGCAGTCTGAACAGCAGGTCCAGAACTGCCTATTCTTATGGTGAATCCACCAATGCTTCATCTTCCTGTGCCAGTGTTGAGCATATTGTGGCATATTTGTGGCATTCCACGGAGGCCGTCGGCCATCGTACCAGTAGGCACAGATACCCCCAACTCCCAAGGCCTGGGGCTAACGAATTGGAAGAGGCTTTATCCGGATAACCGCCGTCCCCCACTTCTGACTCTTTCTACTCTAGCGCTGGATCTGCTGGAGGTTTTCCCGCCACCTTGGAGAGGAGATTCGCCGCCCACCATGACAGCCGCCAGCATCTACCGCCGCTGCAAGGGCCCCAGAGTGGCTCGTTTGAACGTTCTTCCCGACATCGTCAGTACCGAGAAGGGGTGCCAAGGGAGGGGCAGCTTCAATGCCTGTCATTGCATGCAGCCATTTAACGCGCCGGGCAGTATCCGTACTTCGTCCAAAGTTTTTGGAGAGAAACAGAGAATTACTGATTGGCGAAAGGTGCAATACCAATCGAACGATTTGCTGGAGGAATTGTGCCCTTCACGTGTCCAGCCAGCTCCATCATTCCACGATGCCCCTCCATCACTTGATGATTGGGACCTGGACCCCACCAGGTGCCATCTTCACCGTCCAGTTTGACGATGAGAACTTGACTCTCAAACTCGTCAAGCGGACTGAGATCCCCCACGACGAGCCGATATCATGGATGACCTTCGATGTATGAAACCAATTAGAAAAATCAAGAAAAATCAAATCAATAAGGGGCGTGCGTGATAGGCTGACAATGGATGCCAGCACACCAAGAGGAACCTCTACGGTGCGGCCATGAAGAAATGGTCGAGCTTCGCCGTCAAGAGTCCAACCGAGATTGTCCATGAGGTCTCTCATCTCATGGGTGGTGATGGTGTGTTTCCCTCCCCGCCACCCTTTACTCTCAGTCAGTCTGACTGGTCCGGCAACCTGCTCACAACACCATGCAGCCCAGGCAAACAGCAAAGACACCAACACGCGGGCCATCTTCCTCCTCGCCGCCCAGCAACCGCCCTACGGCGTCTACGCCAACCCCTTCTACAACCATGCCGGCTACGGCAACGTCTTCTCCGTCTCGGCCTCGGGGGCCCTAGACACCAACATCCAGAACTACCCGTACCAGCCCAACACGGGCATCCACGGCATGGTCTTCGACCCGACGGAGACGTACCTCTACTCAGCTGACTTGACGGCCAATAAGCTCTGGGTGCACCGCAAGTCGCCCGACGGCACCGTCAGCCTCATCGGCAGCGTCGACGCCCCCTCGCCCGGCGACCACCCGAGGTGGGTAGCCATGCACCCGACGGGGCAGTACCTGTACGCGCTGATGGAGGCCGGCAACCGGCTGTGCGAGTACGTCATCGACCCGGACACCCACATGCCCATCTACACCCACCACGCCTTCCCGCTGATCCCGCCGGGCATCCCCGACCGCGACCCCACAACCGGCAAGGGCCTGTACCGCTCCGACGTCTGCGCCCTCTCCTCGAGCGGCAAGTACCTGTTCGCCTCGTCGCGCGCCAACTCGTTCGACCTGACCGGCTACGTCGCTGCCTTCCGCCTCCGCGATTGCGGCAGCATCGAGACCCAGCTGTGCCTGAACCCAACCCCGACCTCGGGCGGCCACAGCAACGCCGTCGCGCCCTGCCCCTGGACCGACGACTGGCTCGCCATCACCGACGACCAGGAGGGCTGGGTCGAGATGTACCGCTGGAAGGACGAGTTCCTGCACCGCGTGGCCAGGGTGAGGATACCGGAGCCGGGGTTCGGCATGAACGCCATCTGGTACGATTGAGAAACGAAAAGGGAGATGATTACACAGGGAATGAAGGCATCGATAAACGGAATCAATGGTAGAATACAGAGGAATAGAAGCAGAATATGCAAAATAGACATGCCATCTTTTCCCAGGGCTTCCTGGCATCGACTTCAATCCGTCGCCGGCTCTTCTATATAGGAAAACAACGCATTTACTCGCCATCAACTCAGAAATACCACAGAAAATACCCAAAACAAATAGCTGGGATGGCCAGCAGAAAGGCCAAAAAAAAAAAAAAAAAAAAAAAAACCCGAGCAAGCTCATGGCTCCGCCGTGAGTCGAACACGGGCTGTTTCGGACAATGGCGAACAAGTGGACCACAACCTATGTCGTCTATTAGCGTGAGGGTACACCCCTGATGGGGCCCATGTTGTTTTTACTTACGAAAAGTCATAACCCCTAGACCACGGAACCATTGTGGAAGATAGGTAAGGGCACCTGGGCCTAATTTACCTTAACAACCCTCTCTCGAGAGAGAGTCGGGCTTGCGAGCATGCAGTTGGTTAATCCAGAAAGCGGCCAAACTGAAGACTGGGAGTTCTCCACGTCAACACGAAGATTGGATTACCATTCGGGTTTTCGCGACCTTCTCGCCCTCCAAGAGAGAAGAAACCCTTCGCTAACCATGTCATTTTCGGTAGTAAACATGGAAACCAGCCCCTCACAATGCAAGAGCTTTCTGTTCGCAATATCATGGGGGAAACCCGGAAGCTGGCTGAACTGTTTATTTCATTTGACGCCCTTCTGTGCCCAGTTCAATGCTAATTACCTGTGGGCTGACGTCTTTTTTTTTTGTTGCTAACATGGATCTTGACACACACGATCTTCGCGGCTTTGCCGAGTTCATGAATGGCCGCCCTTTCGCTTCTTGCGCCTGTTTTTCTTCTTGCCTGGTGCATTAGTCTGAGCGGCGGCTGCCGATGACCCTGCCGCCACGGTTCCTTCCTCGGCCTCGGCCTCTGCCTCTGCCTCTGCCTCTGCCTCTGCCTCTGCCTCTGCCTCTGCCTCTGCCTCTGCCTCTCCTCCATCCTCGCCTTCCGATACATGGCCCGCGACGGGCACAGCAACGGTCGCTTGATCGTGGCCCGGGGCCACGGGAATGTTGAGAATTGACCCTGAAGAAACCATCGCGGCCATGGTCTCGTCGCCATCAGCAGTAGGACTCAGAGCTTGTGTTTCTAGTACAACCTTCCTGACACCCCGGGACTCGACAATATTCTCCGTGATGCTCCCGCTCCTGACGCATGATCTCTTAGGAGCAAGCTGGAGAGCCTTGCCCGAATCGGACTTGTTACTATGCGCACTTTCGGCACTGCCACTGCCACTGCCACTGCCACTGGACCGGGGGCCAGTGGCTTCTGGATCACCAGCCTGGCTCGACTTCGCCGATGCCTGTTTGGCCTGGATTTCGTCCTCATTTGGCTCCGCTAATGTTGATTTGGCCGGAGCGTCGTACTCTTCGTCATCCTCCACCGCGGTTTCCGATGCGTAGTTCTCTGGCATTTTCGAATTTATATCGCCCACGATAGCGGATCCATAGCCTTGCCGGAACGCCTGAAGAAGCTGATGGTTACCGCTGTCTTGATGCATTAGCAAGCCTGTTGTCTCGTCATCCCCATGAAGCATCAACTCGTCGTGAATCTCTCCGGGAATAGAAGTCGAGCGGAGATGACTTGAGCCGATAGCCGTTCCGGGCTTTATCTTGACTGTTGTCGACCGCGTTTCCTTTGGGTTCGTCGCAGGATTAGAGGGTCCAAGGTGCTTGAAGTGGTGCCTCATCTCCTCGAAATTGGCACGGACCGGAACCGTAGTGTGACCGTCAATCCCTGCTGAGCTCCTACGAAGCATCAGCGTGGTCCGAAGACTGCTCGACAAACTGGGCGAGTTGCTCCTCGCTTCAGCCGAACCGCGTCTCCCGGGCTGCGGTGAGTCTTCTCCATCTGTAGCATCGCTTGGGCCAATGACCAGAATAGTGTCGTTCGCCCTGCTGCCACCCTGCCCTTCCGACGTTCTTCTGTGCACTCGAGCTCTTGGCGCCGGTGCAAGTCTACGAATCGCCTTGTGAACATCAATGTATACATCTGATTCATCGATGATTTCCCTATTTACGAAGTTAGTTTGAGAAAATCCAGATATGGCTGGTAAACAAAAGGGGGGGCGTGGGCGTGGGCACATACTCTCCAATGAGCTCCTCGATAACGTCTTCCAACGTCACGACGCCCAAGGCACCGTAATCTTCCCCTGGATATTCCGATACCAGGACCATGTGGGACTTGCCCTCTTGGAAAAAGTTCACGATATCCAGGCAGCTGGTTTCCGGACGGGTTTCGGGAAGGGTGGCCAAGGGGAAATCTCGGACAAGCTTGCAGTCCTCCGGATCGTACGTGATCAGTATTTTCACAAGCAACATACCGACAAAGTTTGTAGGGTTGCCAGGCTCGTGAATCGGTATTCGGGAATATCCTGCCGTGAGGATCATGTCTGTGGTTTTCTCATCCAAGACTGTGTCTTCAGACATGACGAACACGTCAGCCATGGGCGTCATGACCTGCTCGACCGCCTTCTCCTTGAGATCCAAAACGGCACTGATTATGGTGACCTCGTCCTGGTTGAGGCGATCCGAGACGGCCCCGAGGTTTTTGTGGAGCGTCACCAGCGTCTTCAGCCCGCTCTTCCTGTAAACTGTTCCATGATCCTCTCCAAGTATCCAGTCTAGGAGCTTCGCCATGGGCCAAGCGATGGGTGCGCTGAGGTACATGAGAAGGAGGACGGGTTTCGACATGAAGGCGCCGATCTGAAGGCCGTACCGTACGCATACGGATTGTGGGACGACCTCGCCAAAGATGACTAGAATGGAACAATAGTAGGTTAGACTTCGACCGACGAGGCGCTATGGGGTGGGAGGGGCACTGACCGATAAGAATAGTACTGCCGACGACGGCAGCAACGCCGCCCCCAAGACAACGGTCCAGGACAACGGGAAGGGACGCATTGACAACAACGTTGGCCAATAATAGTGTGACCAAGACCCAGTGCTTCCCCTTCATCAGCAGGTCGTATACCCGTTTCGCATTCTTCTGCTGTGGCTCGCTAGGGTCCCTTGCGACAACCTGGAGATAGATGCCGTCCTGGCCCATATAACTGCTCTCGTCAGACAAAACAAACTTCTTCGGCAAACGGGGGGAAGGAGGAGAAGGGGTTCCTACGCAATTGTTAAGCCGGCGAAGGCGCCGCCGAGGAGAACCAAAACCACGGACGACACGTAGAGCACCCACATGCTCACGTCTTCGTCCTCAGGGCTGGGATGCTGATACTGGTCCAGGAGAGACAGGGGTGCTGCAGATACCGTCGACAAGCACATGGACAATATCCGAAAGACGCCCAGCTCGAGCGGGCGAGCTGTAAGGAAGGCATTGGGGCCTCGCGCCCGAGTAATGCCCCGAGTTGGTGCTATCGCCCCCGCCATTGCTCGCTGCGGTGACCGAGTTAAGCTAGCTGTGTGGGATCAATTCATTGTCCTGAGACGAGGGGAGAGATATATCGGATTTCTGTAATGGGATATTACGGGGGGCCGCGCAGGTTTCCTTTAGCTGTTCTTGAGGAGTGATGTGAAATGTGCATGAGAAGTTGAGAACATGAGGGAAGATAGAGCAGGCAAAGACCTAGCTTGGACGTTTGGTGGCGGGGATGTGCACCTAGTAATTAAGTGGTACCTACTCTACCGGGTACCCCTGCTAGGCACGTCAGGTATCTGCCAACCTCAATAATCCGTCAGTAACAACAGCTCTGAGCGGGGCCTGAGCTGTGGCGGCATGGCGACTAGGTGCCTAATGAGGTAGTGACGAGTGAGGCTAACGCACCCAGGCGCCCAGAGATCTGGATCAACGTCCATTGGTTCTGCGCTAGTACACTACCGAGTTGAAGTTTTGCATGACACAACGATAGTTGCGCTTTGAAGGTATGGAGGTAGATATTCGGAGTTTATTGGCTAAAGACAACATAGCCGGAGAAAGAGATACCCCCTAGCCTCTTTACGTGGGTGTTCGCTCATCAGAGTCTTACCAAACTAACATCTAGAATGCCTTCCGACTTGCCAAGATATTCCAACACCTCGTCGGTTACGTGGCCGTCGACGCCAAGAATCATGAGCGCCTCCTTCTCGGCTTGGCCATTCTTCTCCAGCTGTCCCTCGGCGTCGAGACTCGCCACCTGCATGAACGTGATGTTGATGCCGTACTTGCCAAGTACCATGCCAACGTTACCGATCTTGCCTGGCTCATCGTAGTTGTGCAGCACGACCATGGTGCCCTCGGGGATGAAGCTCGCGCTGAACTTGTCCAGCTTGGAGATGTAGATGGTCTTTCCGCTGACGTAGCCCTCGATCACCTGCTGCTGGTCGCCCTGGTCGCCGCCGCCGAAGCTGCGCAGCGTGACGAGCGACGCGTACGCGAGGTCGTCCGACTCGCGGATGTGCGTCTCGTTGATCGCGATGCCCTTCTCCTTGGCGATGAGCGTCGCGTTGACAATGTTCACGTCCCGCCCGCCCGCTTCCGAGATGGACGACATCAGCCCCTTGACCAGCGCCGCGAACAGCGGGCGCGTGTTGCTGATGCCCGCCAGCTCGCCCTGGTAGACGAGCTCGAACCGTCGCCCGCCGATCATGCCGCCCTTGCCGCCGACAAAGTGCTGCGTGTACAGGCTGCCCATGCGTTCGACGAGCCGGACGAAGGGCTGCAGCTTGCGGTATTCCTCGGGCAGGATCAGCGGCGCGTTGACCGCGCTGGTCGGCAGTCCGCCGCCGCAAAGCGTCTCTAGCACCTGCGTGCAGACATCAAGCGACACGTTCTCCTGGGCCTCAACCGTGCTCGCTCCGAGGTGTGGTGTGGCCACCGCCTTCGGGTGGGCTGCGAGGCGCTGGGCAGCCGAGTCGGGCTGTGGCGGCTCCGACGTGAAGACATCGATGCCGGCGCCGGCAATCCAGCCTTCGTCCAGCGCCTTGACAAGTGCCTCCTCGTTATAGACGCCACCCCTGGCCACGTTGAGCACCCGCGCCGTCTTCTTCATGGTCTGGAACTCGGCCTCACCGATGAGGTTCAGCGTGCTAGCGATCAGAGGGGTGTGGATCGTCAGGAAGTCGACGACAGGTAACAGATCCCCCATCTTCTCAACCAGCTGCACTCCCGCCTGACTGGCGATGTCGGCGCTTGCATACGGGTCGAGGGCTACCACCTTCATGCCCAGGCCGATGGCCATGCGCGCCACGTTCATGCCGACCTTCCCCAGGCCGATGATGCCCAGCGTCTTGCGGCCGACCTCGACTCCGACCAGCTTGCCGCGCTCCCACTTGCCGGCCTTGAGGGTGCCGTCGGCGCGGCCCACATTTCGGGCCGTGGCCAGGAGGAGGGCGATTGTGTGCTCGGCCGCGGCCACAATGTTCCCGCTTGGCGAATTGACCACGATGATGCCGTTGGCCGTGGCCGCGTTCACGTCAATATTGTCAACCCCAACTCCGGCGCGGGCAACGACCTTCATCTTCCGGGCCGCGGCAAGCACCGTGGCAGTGACCTTGGTCTCGGAGCGGACGATGAGCCCATGGTAGGAAGGGATGATGGAAATCAGCTCGTCTGCGGAGAGGCCCGTACGGACATCGACATCACAGGTGTCTTTGAGCAGCGCAAGCCCGTCAGCAGAGACTTTCTCGGGGACGAGAATCCGTGGCCGATTTTCGGAGGAAGCCGGCGTTGGCTGGGGGCCGGACGTCTCTTCGGTGCTTGCCGAAGGTGCCATTGAGCCTATGATGGTGTGGGGAAGAGGTAGTTGTGGGTTCAGGGACAAAGAGTCGATGGATAAAGAACAGAAGGTTGGGCCTCGAGAGAAGGGAGGTAGGTCATCAAGGTGTGGGAGCAACAGGGAGAAGGTCAGATCAGGGAGAGATCCTGGGGGAAGGCGAGTTATAAGTTACTTCCTGCTTGCCCACGTCGATGCACTCACAGTAGGTCACCCAATTAGGTACCTAGATACCACCAAGAGTGATGACACGACAGATCGAATAGAAGGACGAAGCGATATGACTGCAGCCACGCGGAACGACCGGTTGCAGACCGAGAAACGTCAAGCTGGGATAGTAAAATGCCACGATAGCCGCCACCTGCGACATCGCTTTCCGAAGCGGATGGCTGAAATGCTCTTGTCATAGGATCTCCCGAGCCAAAAGGGACCGCTGCAGGCGAAGGGAGAGGCTAGATGGATGAATTGGCAGCGAGGCGAGCGACGTCAGCCTATGAGAGGTCGCGAGCAGGAACAGCATGAAGGTCGAATGCCTTTGATGGTGCACAATCAGCATCTCCCACGCCCCGTACCTACCCCTCACTAATTCCCCCCCACGTTCACCTAATGCAAGACTACTGCAACCCCCTCCAGGTGGGAGGCGGGGGGCCAAGGGGGCATAAGCTGAGCCGTCTCAGTATGTATATTGTTTCCTGACTGGCTGGATCTTTTCATTGCCCCAGTATGGATCTTCCCGATCTTCATTGCCTGCACTTCGCCTCGTAAGTGCCATTGAACCATGCCATGTCATGTGCACGCTGCTGGACAGGACTGATATTCCGTGCCTGCTTACTGCGCAGTAGGTATCTAGAAGTTGGCCTTACCCGCGAAACGCTCATTCTGGACAACCTCAATCCAGTAACCGTCCGGATCCAGCACAAAGGCAACGTTTTTCATCCGCCCATCCGTCAGCCTCTTCTTCCAGTTGACTTTCAAGTCCTCGAGTCTCGCGCAAGCCGCATCGAGATTGTCAACCGACACGCCTGTCCCGCTGTTAGCACTCGCTCTCCACGAAATGATGGGATAACTCACAGATATGACCGAACCCCTGCCGCCCCTCACTGTCTGCACGGTTTCCGTCGTGATAGCTGAAGCTTGCGTCTTTCTCGGTGCCGTGGTTCCATGTGAGCTCCAGGATCCCCTCCCGGTCCGCAGTCGATTGGCCCTCTGCAGGCACTCCCTTGGCACCTGGGTAGCCCAGGAAGTAGAGGTTGAAGCCGGCTTTCTCGTTCTCATGTTTCCGTATCAATGACATGCCCAGAACCTCCTGGTAGAACTTCAAGGATTTCTCGGCATCCTTCACACGGACCATGGTGTGGTTCTGGACTGCGTCAGCACAACCCAAAATTGGCATTGGAGACAGGACAGGGTGGCCTACCATTTTGTAAGTCCCGACATCCGTCTCCTTCACATTCTCAGTCTCCTCGACTGGCTTCTGGCCGATGACCTCAACCCAATAGTCATCCGGGTCCAAAACAAATGCAATGTGGCGCATCCGACCGTCTGACAGCTTCTTCTGGAACCTATAGCCAGCATCTTCGATCCTCTGGCACGCGGCCTGGAGGTTGTCAACGCTGATGCAGGTGTGGCCGAAGCCTCGATCAGGCTCGCGGTTCCCTGGTCGGAATCAATTAGCCAAGTCTCTCCCGCGGATGTTTGCCACGAGTCTCACGCCCAGCTACGCGTTTGAAGCGCCTAGGGCAGGCAGGCGTACCGTTGTTGACCTTGTAATTGGGGTCGTTCTCGGTTCCGTAGTTATGGGTAAGTTCGATGAGACCTTCGCGATCCCAGACATTATTCCCATGAGACACGGCCTTTGGCGAGTCGTAACCGAGGAAGTAGAGGTCGAACTTGGATTCCGGGAACTCCAGCTTCTGAATGACTTTCATACCAAGGAACTCGTAAAACTTGACTGGAGCCGGCTCAGCTAGGGCTAGATAGGAAAAGGGGGGCAGTGGTCTTTCGAGTTACGAACCTGACTCCTTTGGATCCTTGACGCGGATCCTGAAGGATGGCGATATTAGCACACATACATCTGTCTTGACCTTCTTAGTATACCCAGGTACTCACATAGAGTGGTTGAATTTATAATTCTTGGTATCTGTTGTCGCAGCCATGGTTGCAACGAATCGTGAGGAAACCCGCCTGGAAGATGTTTGGAGAATATTTGATTGCAGTTTCAGTCTTTGCAACGCTCGCAAGCTATTCATACGGACTAGACAGGAAGGTCTCACGAATGCGTCGAATTTATCTACTGCGTAGGTAGATATAGTTCTAGGTACGTAGGGATTACATGATTTGTGAGATGAGGGGTTGTATTGAAAGTCGGCATTTCGGAATGGAAGCTTGGGCCACGTCAAACTACCCCACCATGGCGTTGACGTCAAAGGTCAGCTAGGTAGCTGGGCAGGCACGTTGCATCCTTCCAGGTTAACAATCACCAATGGACGGGCAGTTAGGTAGGTAGGTAGGGAGGTGCCTACCTATCTCCAAACGGGACACTACGAGGTGCATACCTACCTAACCTACCTAGGTGGCTTACATTCTCTCTCGTTAACATCAGCTATGAATTAGATAGGTAGGTAGGTAGGTACTATGAGAGGGACAGCTGTGGCTCTTTTTTCGATGTGTCCTTGGTGGTTGTGCAATGTGACAAATTCTCTCTGCTAATGCGAACTCCATCCATAGTTTACGCAATAGTTTATCCTTTGGTCCCTATAGGTTAGCGTCTGTCTTCGGCTGACAATTACTCCATCCCAAAACCGGGGATTTCACCAATCTGGGGGCTAAAAGGTCCAACCATGGGTCGTTGCTCCTAACAAGCTTCCTGGCAACCGGTTGCCTTGGGCGGTTAAAGGAGCCAAGACTTAAACAGCCAACGAATCACGGAACTAAATCAGGTCTTTGGTCCACGGCTCTGCGAAGCTGCTGGCGAAGGAAGAGACGCTCCCAAACGATTCAGAGCTAGATTTACTAAACCGGGAACTAAGATCATGCTCAGTTGAGAGCGGCAGAATTACAATACCGTTTTCATGTTACATTGATAAGCCGCGCCGCCGACGTATATACCTGGTAATAACATACATCAATTACGCACGGGCGTTTACGTAGCGGACTAAACTTCGCGACTCGTCACTTCGTGCACTCGTTTTCATTGACTTTCCTGTCAGTTACTGATGATTCCACCACTTTGTGACGAACAACCTTGCGCGGGTTCCTTGTGGATCGGACAGCCAATCCAAAAATGGAACTCTGAAACCTGCGACGCGTATTCCCGCACATAAGCCCTTCGAAGAGCAACCCCCCAATTCTGGCAAACAGTGGGCCTTCGCCCTGTCGAGCCGCAAGCCATGCGGGAATCTGGCGCAATGTCGGATTCTCTCTTTGCTGAGACTGCCATAGTGGACGATGGCAAGGAAGGGATGGAGATGGGAGGGGCAGGAATAGGCGGACGAGTTGTAAGGTCACCTTTATCCAAGACCAGGTCATTGTCAGATGGAGGAGGGACCCCGAAGTTGTCGCCTTCCCCGTTCATATTCGAGGCCTCGCGGGGCCAGGCAAAGGATGATAGTTCTATTCGAGATACTACTACCGCCCCTTCGACGCCTGTTCATTCCAGCTTTTCCCATCGTGGCCTGTCACTGCAAATGCCTCCTCCAGACGCACTCACTCCCGTCCAACAATCGACATACGCGAAGCCCGCACCTCTGTCGCCGAAGCTCGACCATTCTCAGCATCCCTATGCCTCTCCGACTAACATTTTGCCACGAAGGTCCCGGGGGCTGGATTTTTCACGGGCAGCAACCAGCCTCCATCACTCGATTCTGGCCGACCAAGCATCGCCCGACTCGTCGCCTACGATTGGAAGTAGGGCTATGAACATTCCGGGCCGACGGGGCGGCGAATATGGCAGTGCAGAACAGATATCGAATTCGCTGTGGTCCATGATGGGGAACAACGAACGATCGAACATATCTGGCTCCCTGGGGAGCACCATGCACGTGTGCTCCGACACCTCCTCTAGCTCAGAGCCAGACGACTTCATGGATGAGGATATGGACGACGCGTTTCTCACCACCCCGCAAGTCGCCAAGGTTGGCATGCCGATATCCTCGCACTCCCCTTCAGGTGCTGCTTGGATGCACGGAGGTTCTCCCTCTGCCAATACCCTTTTGAGCTTTCAGCAGCGGCAACGACCGCGGAAGCACCCTCGGAAGAGGATACGAGGTCTCATGGGACAGAATTATAACTCCAGCATGACGCAGCCGGCGTTATCGAAATCCCCGCCCAACAATATCATGCCAAAGGAGATTGTCAACACACACGCACGCAGGGAAAGCATCAGCTGGGCCGCCAACCAATTGCACATTTCGGGAAACGATAGCGATGATAACTTGAAGTCGCAGCTTGAGAACATGGATAGTCCTTCGCGGCCGAACGTTATCAAACGTGCTGTCACCCGTCGTGGTAGCCTTCTGGTCCGTGCCTTCACTTCCTTCCTCTTCAACTTCCCTCCTCTGCGTAGGCATGTTGCTAACTCGTGGTAGCCGAAAACCAAGGGATTCGCGCGTATTCGTGCTGCATTGGCCGAAGAAAGTGCGCCTATCGAGGCCGAGTTTCGTCGCGAGGCTGAAGTTGTCCGCCAAGTCAAGGAGAGCGATATGGAGTTTGAGCTACGAGCACTTACACACTCGGCGCCAACCACAGCAGTATCCAGCCCGAGTCTCCCTACACAGGATAATATCGACGACATCCCCGAGGACGCCATGATGATGGACCCCGGCCCTGCGGCTGCAGGCCTAGGCTTGAGCGGAAGCTTTAAGCAGCAGGCCCTGAAGAACTCCAAGGGCAAGGTCTTCTGGGACACCTTCTCTGAAGCAAGCAGCAACGGCAAAAGTGCCTCGCGTGTAACGCCGCCGCCGCCCCTATTTGGGCTTCCACGCGGCTCCTCAGCCGGGCTTAGCCTGGAAGACGCATCCATGGATTCCCCCTCGGCGAGCTCCAACGGCACCTGCGCCAACCCCTTTGTGCTGCCTGCGCCAATCAACACCGCCGCCGGGGGCTCCGGCAACGACACACCGCAGGGCTCCACAAGCCAGGGCAGTGGCGGTGGGGGCATCGTGCCGGGGGGCAGCATCCACGGCCCTCCGAGCGCGGCCGAGCTCACGAGGCGGATCAATAGCAAGCGGCGGCGAGACGACGACTTTGACCCCGTCAGCTTCAAGCGCAGGGCTGTCAGTCCCGGGATGAGCGTCCACAACTCGCCCATCATGCAGAGCCCGCTGCAGAGGGACAATGCGCCCTGGGGCTCGAGGCCGGGCAGCGTGGGGGGAGACACCACCGCCAACAAGCCGCCTTCCGTGAGCAGCGCCCCGAGCGAGAACGGCAGCCAGGCCGGTGGCGCTGGTGGTGGTGGTGGCAGTGGCGGAAACGGTGCGAACGTTGGCGGCGGTTCCGGAGGCGGCACCGGGCGAGTATCTGGCAATAAGGGACGTGTTGGGTTCCAGGGTATGATCGACACTAACGACGGTATCACGAAACTGAGCATTGAGTAGAAACAGCTGCGTGGATCGTGCTTATACTCGGCGTTCAGCTGCAATTTTGTTTTATTCGGGCGGATATGCTATCTGGAGCTTCTGATTCATCGGGTTTTGCTCTTTGCCTTTGCTTCTTCCTTTCTCTTGTTTCTCATGTTCTTTCTCTTTTTTCGTTTCGGCTGCCGGGATACAATATGATAGATTTGGATGGCTGCATTGGGACTGCGTCGCATCATGGTTACAGTTGCTAGCGATTGGTTTTATAAGGATTCCCTCTTTGGGAGAGGAGCCCTACCTACTCGGAATCAGGCGGGCCTGATATCTCGGAGCGATTCTAGGCGTTACTCGTTGTACATAACCGACCGACGACGAGAAGTAATCAAGTAGCTGTAAGTTGAGTAGCAATTCGGCCCTGGTTATATTACAATGCCGTGGTGCCTACCTAGGTTGTATCAGAACATGAAGTATTGACTGCAAAAGTCTTGCTTCCATTCGCGGGGCCTGAACGTTGGGATATGAGGATAAGCGGCCTCGTAAGAACGGAATCTTTTTCTACCAACTCCCCTTAACGCCATACAGGAGCGACACACACCCAGCCCCAACCTTCCCCATCGCATCTATTCCTCCATGGTCTTGACGCACTCCCACTCTCCCCTCAGGTTCTCCTTCCACAGTGTCACCTTGTTGTCCTGCCCGCTTACCGCCAGCACGTTCCCGCTCAACGACCAGCTGACGCGCCACACAACGGCGTCAAAGTTCAGCACCTTGGAGTTCCACTGCGTCGGGTTGGAGGGGTCGCTCGTCCAGATGCGCACGGTGTGATCCTGCGACGCGCTGGCAATGTAGCTCTTCTGCAGCACGGTGGGGCTCCAGGCGACGTCGCGGACCCAGTCGGTGTGGCCGGTCAGCGGCTCCCTCTCGGGCTTGTAGGCGTTGGCGGCAGCATCGTAGGCCCAGATCTTGAGCTGGTTGTCGCAACCCCCCGTGACGAACCTCCGGTTCCCCGTCGCTCCCGGGCCTGGGTTGCTGCTCACGATGCTGCCCGGGTTGGTGGCGGGCGCCCAGCTGACCGAGTTGACGCCGAGGCCGTGGGCCGGGAAGATGCTGTGCTCGAAGCTGTTGTCCTTGAACTCGAGTACCGACACGTTGCCGTCCGACGAGGCGCACGCGAGCAGGCAGCCAGCCTCATGCGGCGACCACGTCACAATGTTCACGCTCGCCTTGTGCAGCGCGAAGTCGAAGATGCGCTGCCAGCTGCCGCCCTGCTCGCGCCAGATGAAGACCTTGCCGTCATACCCGGCCGACGCGAGGATGTTGCCGTACTTGGGGTGCGCCCAGGATACGCACCATACCGCGCCTTCGTGTCTGGGGGGAGGGGCGATGAGTTAGCTTGGGGCTCTTATAGAGCTAGGGGTTGCCAGCTTAGGGGATTGGCAACGGCCCGAAGCCGGTCACTACCCACCCTTTTAATGTCTCTATCAACCGTTGTGACTCGCCCTCGATCTCGAAGATCTTGATTGTCCGGTCTGAAGAGCAGGTTGCGAGTCGTCGGCCATAGTAGTCGAGAACGGCATCGTGCTAAGACGGAGAAAGGCTGGTTAGCAATGACGACTCAGGAAGACCACCCTGCCGTCGCCGCTTCTGCAACCGCTTAAGGGAGCTCAAGAACAGGTGGGGGGCATGGCGGGCGTGGCGGGCGTGACGTACAATCATGTCATCGTGGCCGGAATTGGCGATAACTTGCGCCCCTGCCGCCTAGAAGCACGGGTTAGCAGAGCTGCTGGGGACGAGTTTGGCACTAGAAAGGCTGCACAGCAGCAGGTCACAGAAAATATAATTGAAAGCGCACCATATTTTAAGCCTCGTATCGTCGGAAAATGAGCGAAATGGTTTGTAGAGGTGGTCGAATTGCTATTCTGATGGCAATGGGGATAGGCCAGATATTCTTATTCTGCCTTCTTGTCGATACCAACCAGCCTGGGTAGCTTAGGTCTGGGAGAGCGGTAAACTGAGGTGGCACAGACCAACTTGCAGGTGGGTCCAGGCACGGGACCGACACCCAAGAAAATCCGCTCCGGAGAATGCCCCCGCCACCTTCCTCTAATGCTCGGCCAGGGTCGGCGCACACTGTGGAGCCCGGCTGTTCCTTCTCCGTCACAGGCTTGAGAGATTTCCCCCCCCATCCACCGAGTTTCCCGACTGCACCCCCGACAACTTCAACCCGAACCCGGGCATCGCGATGGCCCGCTTCTATGACCCGCCTAACAATGCCTTGATAGGGTATTATTTCATTCACTTCTCCCATCTTCCTTTCAGCTGAAGGGCATTATTGCTCGGCTGTTTGTTTACAAAAGAGGACCTCGGCTTCTTGTGCTGCTCCTCCAACTTCCTCTCCCCAACCCACACAGCGCGACGATATTTTTGTCTTGTTCCTCAAGTTGAAGATATCACCATAGTCATACAACTAGCCTGATCGATCCTCATCGCATCTAAGATGGCAGACAACATGTGCGGCCCGTCCAACGCGGCCAAGGGCCTCGTCGCCCACGCCAACCGCGATCGAACCCTTCACCAGGATCGCCTCGTTGGCCCATCGCAACCCCGCGGAAACACGGTAAGTATCTGTCCCATTCCAACTTTCCGCACCCGAATAGTATTTTATTTTTCTGACGCGTTACCAGTCGTTCCGCACTCAGACTGCCCCGCCCGCTGGTGCCGACGGTGCCTTCGAGGCTTTCCAGCAGGGTCAACCCGTCTCCGCGCCCCCTACTCCCGCTATGGCCGGGTTGAGCATTGCGAACAACGGAAACATGTACCCTCCTGGTCTACTTGCACCTATTGGAACAGGCCGCTTCCCCGTTGCCAACCATGAGAACGGCGTTCATACTCGCCCTCAGGGCAGCGGTTACCCCACCTTCGATGCTTCTAGCTATCACAAGTTTGCCGGTACCGCGGTTGCTCATCAGGGCCCGTACCACAATCCAGGCACCCATCAGCGCATCGGCCGTACTGGAGCCACGTATTTCCGTGGTGGTAATGATCCTTCCATGGCTACTGCCTCGCACAACATGCAGGCTCAGCAGGCTCAGCAGGCCCCTCAGGCTGCTCGCGGTCCCCAGTATGGCTTCCACGAACACGTCATCGTCCATGGATCAGTCGGATATTCCCACCAGGCCTTTGGCCAAGCCATGAACCCCGCTCATCCTCAGGGTTACATCGCCCCCCCGGCCGAGTTCTATCAGGGTGTCTCCAGCGTCGGTCCAGCTGCCGCCTTGCCGGCCAACCCAGTGTTCAACGAGCAGGACTTCAACGCCGCCTTTGGCGCTTTCGACGAGCAGGACTTTTCCCGCGAGATTGACGCCTGGATCACCGAGCACGGAGCAACCCAGGGGCAGCAGCAGGACCAGGATCAGCGCCCCATCCTGCCCCCGACGGCCGAGGAGATGGCCGTAATCGACGCCAACCTCGAGGCCATGGCCCAGGAGCTCGACGCCCGCCGCGCCGCCGGCGACCTTTCCGTGCTCCCGCAGCGCGGCCCCGAGGCCGAGGCCCGCCGCGCCCGCCAGGAGCAGGAGGACCTCGTGCGCGCCGCCTCCGACATCCTCACGTCCGTCTCGGACAACACGTCAGACAAGTTCAAGAACTCGAGCTTCCTCGACCTCATGCGCCGCATCCAGAAAGAGGAGATCGTCGTCGCGGGTCAAGACCTCGTCGATGCCCAGACCGGCGAGACCATTGTCTCAAAGGCCCAGGTCAACGGCCAGCAGCGGCCCGGAATCGCCAATGGTACGAGCGGCGCTGGGCAGTCCGCCAAGCCCGTGGCTTGATCTCTAGGCTTGTCGTATGCAAGGCAATGGTTGTCGAGTGTGGCTATACACAAGGAACGGCGGTGGATGATGTAATGCATGGTCTACTCTAGAAAACTGCTCGCATTTCTCACGGATGGACATTGTAATGGTCAGGGTCTTCTTTTTTTCCCCTGTGGGAATCGCGTGGCGTTGTGGAGAAGCAACTACCCTATTTTCATCATCAGGGTCATCATTACCTTCGGCATTACTAGATCATCATGCTTTGTTCGTAAAATTCAGAGAAAATCTTCCTGATTTGACTTGCCTTGTTGTGATTTGAATTGGCGTGGTCTTATTTATGTGCTTGCTAACCACCCAGAATGCCATCAACATGGCCCTAGTAACGACCTTTCCCTTTTAGCCTTTCTATCGATGTACGGCACAGGTCCCCAACCTTCTACTGTCGCCCAGGAGGGCAGGGCAGGTATGCATAGCAATGGATATTTCCAGCTCGTCTTAAAACGCCTCTTTAATGATTGGTGTCTCCCAGTGGCCGATGCCTTTCCCCGTCAACCTCTCAGTAGCCCGTGCCCGGGAAGGTGGTAAGTCTCCCTCCGTCGACTACGATTATGTTGCCATTGCAGTAGGCACCTGCTCTCGAGGCGAGGTACAGGATCTGGCCTCCCATGTCTTGTTCGTCTCCCATACGCCCCAGCGGGACGACGGTCTTCTCGAGGGGGATCAGCCCGGAGCCGGTCATGGACCCGCCGGCGTTCTGTACTATCGGGGCTGACATCTCGCTCGGGAATACTGGAAGGGTTTTCTTCGTCAGCTACAACATTCCGAGGGGCTTCCAATAGGGGAAGAGGACACGCACATCCAGGGGTAATACAGTTGGCACTGCGGGTTTTGGTTTCCTTCTTGTCAGCAGAGCCTTCGTACTATGGCGAGGCGAGATGAGGTGGTGAGACACGACATACCGAATATTCCACGTCGGCAACACGACGCTCAGCTGCTTCACAATGTGGGTGGTGGCGGCCTTACTCTGGCCGTACGCCCAGCCGCCGGGGGCCGTCCTGTTATAAGCGGCAATGCTGCTGGTGACGACGACCTGGCTGCTCTGCTCGACGTTGCCCTTCTTGTTGCCGTTGTCCAGAAGCTTAAGCATAGACATGGTGGTGTACCACACGCTCGTGGCGTTGACCTTGAACGTGGCGGTGTACTCGTCGAGGTCGAAGGCGAGCTGGCGGTCGCGCCACTCGTCGAGGGTCGTGACCCCCGGCTCCGGGGCGGGCACCTGAGGCCCGCCGATGCCGGCGTTGCACACTAGCAGGTTGAGGTAGCCCACGTCTTTAGCGATCACCGAGACTATCGACTCGAGGCTGATTTTGGACGTCACGTCGCAGTACAGCGGCACCACCACCGTCGGTTTGCCAATGCTCGCCGCCGCGGCTTGCAGTACATCCACACGTCGCCCAACTATGTACACGCGCGCTGCGCCGCCCTCGGCGAGGGCTTTGGCCATCATGAGGCCAATTCCTTGCAGGAGGATTAGTTAGGTGCGCTTCCCAGGGCGTAGGGTGGACCAATTGAGAGGAGAGTCCTTACCTGTGCCTCCCCCGGTGACGAGGGCCACAAGGCCTTTCACTGAGAAGAGGTTCGCCGGATCGAGTGGATTCGACATGGCGGCTTGTGCGGCGGTCAACTGGGAAGGAGAGCCTAGTAAGTCTTCGGGGGTAGGGCAAACAGAGGATATCTTCGAAAGACACCAACTCACAAACAATTGCTCCAGTCTGCCCCCGAGGATTGACTCACCCTTTGGTGATTGGCCTCAGAAACAATTGTCTGAGGAAGCTAAGGTTGTTTCAGAATGGCAGCTCTAATACGTCACGACAGCAAAGCATTCACGCGTGGACTTATGCCATGGGAGCTGGGACTGGAAGGAGGAGGACCAAGTTTACCCCTCCCCCGCTTTCAATTCAAGCTGGAGCTCGGTCGAGATAGGTAGGACCTTCCTGATAAGATAAAGCTTACTTAGACACCATCCTGGACCTACCCCAAAACGCAGTAATTGGCAGGTACCTAGTTTATGAAAATAGGTATTATATCAATCGGAGACCAGTGTGACAGATATACTCCTAGACGTCCTCCAGGTCATCAAGGGATCCCACCAAACTCCTCGTCCGAAGTCCCACTAGATCAATTCAATACATATCGTGCCTTCGGGTTGAAGGCAGCCGAGTATGGAAGCAGGTTAATGATCCGGATACCGAACTCAACGTAGGAGCTTAGAATATCTTGGGGAAGAACATTGGTGTGTCCCTTTTCCAGGCCTGATAATCACTGCGGCCCCCATAGAGCTTGTCGTACTTCCTCTCACTGAGAGGGACTCCAGAAATCCTCAACAGGAGGAAGGTAGCGAAGACGGGGCTGATGTAGGACAAGACAATGGCAGCCAACGGCTTCAACCCGGTGGCAGCCTGGATCGGCCGGGCAAGCAGCAAACCAGCGGAAACTGTTGCGATGCCTGTCCACAGCGTCGACTCCCCAAAGTAATTGGGATAGCGACTAGCCACGGTCAGCAGGTCAAGCTCCATGAGCTAGCTATTGAGAAGTGGACCAACCTCCGGCTCCAAAGGCCCCGTGTCAGGAACTCCTCGTCGTGGATCTTGGCCTTCTTCTGCTCTATCCACTTGGACTTCTGCCAATCTGCAATCACTTCAAAGAGGAGACCACCAGCAAACAGCGACAGCCCCACAACGTCCGAGACTTTAACAACCGGTATCGCAGCAAAAGCCGTGGCGGGGATCGAGTTGACGGCAATCGCTGGCAACAATGACACGGAAACCCAGGCTGCTTGAGCTATCCATACCACCAGGAACGTTGACGGCGACCCTCTGATCCGGTCGAACCTCGAGTCCTTGCCTTCTTTCAATATGCGATGGAACAAATACAAACCCACTTGAGTTCGGCGAAGTAGAGCAAGTTAGCCCGGTCTCTATTGCACGGGGAGTCTATTCTTCGCGTACATCGAATAGCCCATATCGCGACCGCGCCACTCAAAGCCACCTGGCGCCAATTGAACGCAGCGGTGCCTCCTAAAGCCTTGAATGGCGACAGTAGGCTGGGAAGGGCTGCCTTGGAGGCGATGCCAGTGGCGTACCGGTCTCGGAGGGCTGGGAGGTACAGGCTCAGCGCCGTGACTGATAAATAGGTCAAGGCACCCGAGAAGTCATAGAACTTTTCGGTCTGAGCAATGATCGAAGGGATCGCAAACGCAGTCTGGATGATGAAGACGGCTTGTATGCTTGGGACTAGCGTCTGTAACAGAGGGTTGTGGAAGTTGGTTTTGTGCAGCAGGCTTTGAAACAGGGCCATTTTTGACGAGAGAGTCGCGTAGAAAGAAGACTGATGTTCTTGTAGGGGAGAGTTACACTACCGTATGTTTTGAGTTTGCGGGGCGAATCGCGGGCCTTCTTCCACTCGCCCTCTTGAAGTTGAAGTCGTGATGTTATCGAGGACCTTTGAAACGCCATAGAGCCCCGCCACACCGTGTGGGATGGAGGGTGCCAGATACTGTACGTAGCATTACATGCCGTGTTTCCCTTACTTCTCCTTACTTTCCGGACTTTTTATACCACCTAGGTACAGTGTTGCTCCTCTGTAGATGATAATGGCAGAGCCATCAAGAAAGTACACTCGGGCGAAAGAGACGTGGCTAGGAAACGGAACGTATTGTGAATGCCATTGCAGAGGATTGATAGAGCACCCATGCCCCAGTCATCCCGGGTTGCTGTTTCGATACCATGTCTAAACCATAAATGCATATATTTCCAACAACTTGAAATCATGAAAGTCGAGAGTCCAAGTTTCCGTCCCCTTGAAGCTCGACTAGTCCAGCCACTCGTCCAGCCACTCCATCACCCGGCCGTTTCACGGGTGCAGTCCCACGGAATAACCCTCTTGGTATCGTATATCGGCCGCCAGTACGCAATCATGATAAGCATGTTAATAGGTGGAAAGCCGCCACTGTGCCATGAGAAAACTCCCCCATCTCACGTCGATTCCCCCTCAGCACCGCACGGTCGCATCACTTCTTCGACATCATAAGCTTGGTGAACTCGTCCTCGCTCACGCCGCCCTTCCCGTTCGAGTCGAACTCCTGAATCATATTCTGTATCTCCGAATCCTCGAGGGCCTGGCCGATCTCCCTCGACACCCTCTGCAGGTCCTCGGCCGTGATGATGCCCTTGGAGTCGACGTCGAACAGCCGGAACGCCCGCCGCAGCTCCTCCATCGGGTCGCGCTTCGCCATCAGCTGGCCCGCCACCGCCTGCGTCGTCTGCAGCGTGAACTGCCGCCAGGGTGGCGTGCACTCCCCGCGCTCCGCCGGCCACCCCGCCGGCGGTATCCCGTACTTGGTCAGGTACCCGTACGTCTCCTGCTTCGGCAACTCGAACCCCAGCGCCCGCATGCAGAACCGGAACTCGTTGTAGTCGAGCCGCCCGTCGTCGTTGTTGTCGAAGAGCTCGAACTGCAGTGGGGGTGGGTATTCTTAGTCGCCGTACATCGAGGGAAGGGAGGGAGGCCCAGGCCTGGGTTTCGGAAAGAAAGTAAGACTTACGGCCTCGTTTATTTGTGTCTTCTGCTCCTCCGGGAGCTTGTTGTAATCATCCCGCGGCGGCGCGCCATGTATCGGCAGACTTGTTCGGCCTGCCATTTGTGCTTGCAGTGATGCTCAGCGCTCTGGCGAGGGCTTTGTTCGGGGTGGGGGGGTAGCCGTTTAAAGGGAGATTGCGCTAGACCGTATCCTGGGCAAGAGCATGTTGCATCGCAGGTTTGTTCCTGCTGCCGGCGCCGCTGAACACGCGCCTCGAGAAGGCTTTCGACGAGGTAATTCGTCGCGGTCCGACGCGTTGGGGACTCGAAGTGGGCTGTTGGGGTGGGGCCGCCTTTTAAGTGCCAACCACCCCTGGTCCCGACCTGCCGACCTGCACTAGCGCCTCCCCACACCGACTGGCAATGGACATGGACCCTTAGCTCACCGAAAATCTTTGTGCATGTCTAGGTACTTGTCAAATCGACATTTCAAGCATCACGACCCAGAAACCGGGAGGTTTACACCCCCAGGGGAATCTCGAAAATGCCGAAAAGAAAGCGCTCCGCCGAAGAGAGCGTTGAGGAGAAGTTTGCGAGTCTGAGCCAGGACCTGCACCGAGCCCTGAAGACCACCAAGGGGTTCGAGAGACAGCGACAGGCAAAACGCCTCCGAGATTCCAAGGGCGTGCCAGATAAGATCCAACGGCTGGAGAGAGAGGTGGCAGTGTTGAAAGTCCGTTTCCGGAAACCCGATTAATTACACCCCTTGCATGTACGCACTCCTGAGCTAACAACCAACCCCAAATCAATAGTCCCTCGACCTGCACCAAGCAGCGCACGCCCACCTCTGCTCCTCCCTGCTCAAGATCAAGGCCGTTGCCGAGTCTCCCGGCCTCCCGGAGGAGATCAGGTCGGGCGTACCCAAGCCGGACATCTCGGAGGAGGAGAAGACGGCCCTCCACAACGTGACGAGCGCCCTATACAACAAGAAGGAGGTCCGCGACGTTGTCGCGAAGGCCATCCCGGCCATATGCGCCGCGCTGGGGGTTCCGGTGCCCGAGAAGAAGGGGAAGGGCAAGAAGGCCCGGCCCGATGGACGCCCGGAGAAGGAGGAGCAGCCAGCGGATAGGGATGCCCCCGCCGCCGTAGCGGAGGCCCCTGCGGCGAAACGAGGAAAGCAGACCGCCCAGGAGGAGCCTGCTCTGGAACCTGCCGCAGAAGATGGCAAGAGTGAGGACGAAGAGGAGGCAGTCTCCCGCTTCGAGGCGATGCTGGGAGGCTCGTCGGAAGGAGAGCGATCCGATTCCGAGTCGGACGAGGAAGACGACCCTATGGCCATAACTTCCGACGAGGAGGAAGAGGAGGAGGAATGGGAAGGTATCGAGCTTTCGGGCTCAGATATTGGGGAGAGCGGGGATGCAGACGAAGTAAAAGGCAAGGGGGCCAGTGTCAGTGTCAGTGTGGAGTCTTCCGACGACGACGACGACGAGGAATCCATATCTATCTCGCCTCCCCCGAAGAAAAGGGTAGCCAAGTCCGCATCGGCCAGTAAGCAAGGCTGGATCTCGGATTCCACCTTCCTTCCCACCCTGATGGGTGGCTACATCTCGGGCTCGGAATCCGCCTCGGATGTCGATGTCGAGCCGCCCCGCAAGAACAGGAGAGGCCAGAGGGCACGGCAAGCCATATGGGAGAAGAAATACAAGGAAAAGGCGAAGCACCTCGGCAAGGAGAGTAAGGACAAGGACCATGGTTGGGATCCCAGGAGGGGAGCCGTGGATGACTCGAGCAAGCCATGGAAACGGGGTATCAAAACGCCATTCGGGGCAGCCCGGCGACAAGAGCCTGAGGGGGCAAACTCGGAGCCGTTGAGATCAAGGACGAAGCCGAGTGGGAAACCCGATGATACGGGCCCATTGCATCCCAGTTGGGAGGCAAGGAAGAAGGCCAAGGAGAAGGAGGAAACGGCAAAGTTCGAGGGCAAGAAGATCACGTTTGACTAGAACCCGGCCAGTTAGTGGAAATCAGCTCGCAAAAATTAAGATCTATCGAGATCTATCAAGTCATCCTTTGGTGTCTGAACTGATGATGAGCTTCTCCTAATCGTGTCTGCAGGCAAAGGGGGTTATGCTAGGGGAAATCGGAATAGGGGCGTCTCATCCCGCGACACCCTTCCAAATGCAAACCACCTCCCTAACTGTCTAGGCCCCTGAGTCCAACCGTTGGTTTCGTGGTTATCCGCCAAGAGATCTAGCTCTCCTATCAACCCAGTCCCACCCAATCCACCCAATCCACCCCAAAGATCAACGTGAAGTGGAAGTGCATCCAGAATGCAGCTTCTCCCTGACGACGCCCCCCTAAATATGCTGGCTGTTCAAGGAGCAGCCTATGTCGTCGGGCATTGGTAAAAATCCATGAAATAACATCAAATACGATATCGTGGGCGTGTTGTATTTTGAATAATAAAGCGTGAGAGGAGGGATCCACCTCAGCGGGAGGCGAGATGTTTGAATAATGAACGATTTGCCGATTGGGGAAATAGTAGAACATGTCGAGACAGGGCACCGCCTCTCCACGAGGCCAGGGAGCTTGACCTAGGAGAGCGGGCAATGGGAGCCCGGGGACGTGTTGCCCTTCTTTTGCCGTTTCGGGTCTGGCCCCTCTTGGTCAACGTTGGGCCGCTTTGGGGGGACCTGCGAAGGCGAAGGCGAAGGCGTATCGGCGGCGGATTCAGGGCTCTCGATTGACTGGTACAGGGGCGAAGTGGGTTGGCTACGTCCCGTCGCCGGGGCTTCCCGCCCTGGCATCACGAATCGGCCGTCGTGGTATGCTGGCGATGTAGACCGGCTGTTCGCGACCGATCCGGTCTCAGAGCTTCCGATCCAGCGGTGGATCGGGACCGTCATGGAACGTCCCCCCTGAGCCACGACGTGAGGATTCTCATTTATGCCAGGCTCCGAGGCCGCAAGGCTCGGAGTTTCCGAGGCTCGACAGCTGAAGTGGGGGTGCTTCTCAACGGCAGCGGGAGGATTCTCACATACGGTGACCGGACCTGGGTCTGTGGTCGCAAGACTCCGGGCCTCCGAGGGGTGGCGGGGAGGATCCTGCCCGGTCGTTTGAAGGTCTGAATCAGAAGCCACTCGGCTTGGGGCTTCTGAGGATCGACGGCTGAAGCGATCAAGATGCTTGTCGCGAGAGTCTTTGCGAATATCGTGGGTATCAGAACGGCTATCATTGTCGGGGCCGGACGAGTCTGGTTCGTCGTCCGAGATAACCAAAGCGCATTTCTCCTCACCGACCAACAGGTTGGATTCAGATTCGTCATCGGAGACGAACAGACCGGATTCCTCGTCCGACTCTCTGCCGTCCTCGACCTCATCGTCACCCCTTTTGCTCGCTCGCTCCTTGTTATTCTCAGAGTCGTTTTCATTTTCGCCCTCTCCTTCCTCGCCATCTTCTTCCTCGCCGTCTTCTTCCTCGCTGTCTTCTTCCTCTCCATCTTCTTCTTCTTCTTCCTCATCATCAGCGTCGTCGGCCTCGCCGGACCGAGAGGCATACTCATCCGCGACTCCGTAGTAGCGGCGAGTAGCGTTGAAGGGGTTCTCTTTGGCAGCCTCGTCGTAGAACTTCCCGACGAGCTCCCAGTCGGCGTCGGACGGAGCCCACGCGCTGCCGCTCTGTGATTCGGGGCTGGAGCTGCCGTCGCTCGAATCATCCCCACCCGCCGGTCTCTGGGGTTTGAAGACGGAGACGAGATTCTTCAGCTGGGCCTTCTCGGCCGCGGGAGACGCCTTCGGCATGGTGACGGTACTATTCACGTCGGCGGCGAACGAGGCGTCGTGGATGGGGAAGCGGCCGCCGCCCTGCTTTACGGCGGGCCAGAGGTCATAGAAGTGGATCCACCTGAGGCCCCTGAGAGCGTGGATGTAGTCCAGGCCCTGGACGGTGCGGAGGTTTCTGCTCAGGCGCTCAATGGGCTGTCCGAGGGTCTTGAGACCCAGGTTCTTCTGTACCTGGGGTGGCTCGTAGTTCCGGCGGTTGTGTCTGGGTTGGGCCTCATTGACGAAGATAACCATGGTCAGGAGCCGGGACATCTCCAAGAGGTGCGTGAGGGCAGACGTGCGCTTCGAAAACCAACGCCCCTTTTCATCGGGCTTGATGGTCAAGTACTGATTCCCCATCCAGGTCATCTCGATGTGTTGAAGGCGAGCGGTGCGGGCCGGCCCAATGCCCTTGCAGAAACGGTGGAATTCGCCTAGGCTAGAAAATGCGAACGTGTTGGTGCCGTAGAAGGCGTGGATCCCCTTAAAGTAGAAGCTCTTGCAGACGAGGAGAATACGCAAGATATCCTGGGGATCATGAGTATCTTGGGTGATATTGCAGTCCCTCTCCTCGCCCCAGTAGAACCTATTCAGAAGACCGGATCGACTAGGAGGCATCGCCGGAGGGGCTTGAAAGGGGTCGAGCCTCGACAAACAATGAACTAGGCGGCGGTCCATGCACAGCCAATGTCGGAATATGCCTACCTGGACGTTGGCAGGCAAGTCGTTGAATCGGTGGAACTCCCTGAGATCCCGGACTTTCTTCTCGCTGTAAGTGTGGATTTCTTGCTCGCTGTCATCCGACGCCGCGACCAAGCGGATATCGGGGTGGACGTAGAGTGAATTGGACGACATATTCTCCTCTTTGCAGCTACGTTCTGGTAAGTACTACACCTTCCTTCGGGGCGGTAACAACACCTACCATTGGCGATATATTTTGTCGTACTGTCCCTCCCCTGTGAGGATAAGTGTCTGTAGGAGACGGGGCCAGGTCTGAGGCCTGTTAGTAAAAATGCAAGATATGAAAGTCGGAAAACGTACCCGCTGATGGATCTTGGGCCGATTCAGCTTTTGCTCTAGCTGGGTCACTTTATCTCTCAAGCCCCTGATCGTAACCTGCAGATCATGGCTCTCCTGCCTGCTCTGCCTAAGTTCCTCGTCCTTGGCGACAATCTGACCCCTCAAGACCACTTTGCGGGTTTTGCATTCCTCGTCCCCGCAGTCGTCGAGTGCATGTTCGCCTGCATGGTTTCCTTCATCGTCGCCGGCCCCGGCCTCGCCAGGAGAACCATGTCTTGCGTCAGATGGGCCACAAACCTTGTCGTTACCTTCATCATCTCTCGCTCCGGCTTCGCCAGGAGAACCACGTCCGGTACCAGCCAAGCCATGAGCCTCATCGTCACCCGTGAGGTCAATATACCCCCCATCCTCAGGCTCAGGCGAGCCGAAAGGGGAGCTCATTTCTGAACCTATGTGTCTCGACTAAGAAGTCGAGGCCCTGGTGTTCAACGTATATGAGAAATGGTGAAAACACGAGATATGGAAGTGATCAGGGTGAGTCTGAGGAGAAGTTTGTTGTGTATCAAGCGTTCAAAAATTGGGCGCCCATCAAATAGAGGAAGCAGCGAGACGCGGTGCAGGTAAGATGGGAAGGAAGGAACCAAGAAGAAGAAGAAGAAGAAGAAGAAGAAGAAGAAGAAGAAGAAGCTGAGTAGGTTGCCGGTGAGAGCTTTCGAGCGGTATCATCCAGTGGGTAGATGGATACCTAGGTTGTAGATCCAGTCGGATTCCTCGAGGCCGCGAAAGCCACTTGGAAATGGAATATGGAGGGAGATGGAACGAAGCCTTCTTTGAGAAGTTGAAGTAAGAGGTGAGAGGTCTGTAGGATTGGAGAGGAGGTCTCTTTGCAAGTTGAAATACTTCTTCGAAGGCGAGCTGCTAGGGATCTAGCGAAGGAAGACCACAGGCTAGGTCTCCAGAGAAGAAGTCAAGATAATGTAGTATGAGAGTACTGCTGGCTTGAGGGGAAAAAGAAGCTGGAGGTAGGTAGGTAGGTTGGTTGAGTAGGTAGAGAGGAAGTAAGGAATTTGCTGAGTCTTGGATGTTTTTATCCCCAAGTTGCTACCTCTCAGGGCGAGAGCAACCCATCTAGCCCTCACAGGGCGAGAGCAACCCCCTAGCACCCACAAGGCGAGAGCAACCCCCTAGCACCCACAGGGCGAGAGCAACCCCGTAACACCCATAGGGCGAGAGCAATCCTTGTAGCACTGGTAAGGCGGGAGCAACCTGCAAGGGCAACCCTGTAGCTCTCTCTCAAGGTGCGTGTTGGATAGAGTTATCCACAAGTCATTGTATTTTAAAACAAAAACAAGGGAGTCGTTGTCTCTTGGGATGAGAGTAGCCGTGTCTACCTCTTAAGGTGTGCATTGGATGAGTTACACATGAATCGTTGTCTCTTAGGGCGAGAACAAGAGAGTTCTCAACTCTCAATGGGAGAACAAACGAGTTGTTGACTCTCGAGACAAAATCAAACGAGTTGTCAACTCAAGGTGATCTGCTCTTACAAGAGCTTGAATAGACCTGGAAAAAAAGAGAAAAACAGCTCTTAGGTGAGAGCAACCGTGTAGGTACCTCTCAGGCCAAGGCCAACCTACAGCTCTCTTTAGGGCGGGAACAGCCATGTAATTGAAATACTAGGGGAGCAGCCTGAAAGAGAGGTACCAGGACTCTATGTGTATCAGCTCTTATGTCGGAGCTCAATAGTCCTTGAGCAATAATATTATATGGCAAGCTATTGAGGTTACTTTGTCTCTGTCCAGGACCATGTCATATATTAGTGGTTAAGGGACTACCAGAATAGCGTAACAAATGGTGCTCAGCATGCCGACTTCTGAATGTCTGTGATCTGCTCTGTAGGGCCTCTTCCTCAAGCCAAACCCCAAAGCTAAGATGGCTGTCTGTCAACATTATGACACTTCTGGGCCACCTCGAGGCTATAGGTACGACCGGAGACTGACCATGTTCTCTTCATCTTTGCTCTTGGATGTGAAGACGAATGACACAACTAGGCGGCAACAACTCCAGATTGGGAGTAGTTCCTGCCACTGCAGTTGGCAGATTACAATGAACAGAGAGAAGCAGAGAACTTTGATTGAAAGGACATTTTCACCCTGTCTGTAACTTTAACCTTTACAGCAACTTCTTTAGTCGATCTGCCTCTTGCTGCCACTTACGTAGACCAAAAACAAACAAAGCCCAGTATTGCCCTTCAATCCGTGAATGTTTGAATATCATAGGTCATGGGAGTGGAGGAATAGGAAGATATCCAAGAATTGAGTAAAAAGGGGGCAGGGGGTAAGTGATAGGACTTGATATATGTTGGAATATGCGTAGTCTAAATAAAGAATGAGGGCCTCATTCCGTTCTCTATGCTCGAGGCAAATAGGATATGTTGCGTCTAGAATTGGCTCCGAAATCGCTCATACAACGACCAGGTGCCTTGTTACTGAGGAAATACATACTGCTACAAGTTGCAAATGGCTGATTATGAAGCACGCAACGCATATCACATGGAATAAAGCGTTTATGGGAGAGTGCCGAACCCCCCTGAACACCCCGAAACGCAAACCAGGACCACCAGGCCCGAGTGTACGTACCTAGTTTATAAACGCCAACGGAACAAGGCGCCAACGCCCCATCCTGAAATCACGATTGCGCACCCACCGCGGCCCCGTCTCCCCGTTCGCCGCCACCGCGTCCTCCTCCTCGCCCCCTCCTCTTCGGGCCCTGACCCTCTGGAACTCCAGAGTCAGGCACTAAAGAGGGAGTAGCAACACTCCCGCCCCTGACGTTCCCACCCCCACCTCCACCTCCACCTCCACCCCTGGATTTCCGGCCCCTGCCCCGTCGGCCGCCACCGCCACCGCCGGCGCTCTTCGCGCCCTCGCCCTTCTCACGCTCCACCCTCCGTGCCTCCTCCTCCTCCTGCGTGCGCCGGCTCTCGGCGTCCCACCACTCCTGGAAGGCCTGCTCCTGCTGTATCTCCTGGAGGCTGCGCTTGGCGACCGCCTCCTTGACGATCTCCTGCTCCCGCTGCTGTTGGCCGATGATATCTGCCAGGCCGAGGCCGAGCAGGGGTTCCGTGTTGCGGGCCGGCGTTATGTAGAGCTTGGAGTGTGGGACCAGGGGTTTCTGAGACTGTGCGGCTGGGGAGGAGGTGGGTGGTTTGGCGGTTGGGGTTGTCGGCGCGTTCGGCCTCGGTGATGACCGGGAGGCCATCGGGGCGGTGCTGCTGCTCGGGACACGGAATTGCCCGGAGAAACGGGTGTCGGGGGACGCAGTTCGACGGGAGATAAACTTTGAGGACGACTCGGCTGCTACTAGCGGCTTCGCAGCAGGTGTTCTGGGAACCGGGGACTGGGCAGCGCTAGCTTGAGCTGGTGGTGCCTTATCCTTCGCGGATACCGCTTTCCAGGGCGCAGCCGGACCGTCGGCAGTTGTTTTATCCCATGCAGCCCTGGACGGCTGAGAAGTTGACTGGACCTGTGCGGCCTGTGCAGCCTGCACTTGTTGCTTCTTGCGCTCTTTTTGAGACAACTTGGTCTGTACGGGTTTAGAAGATGACACCTCCTTAGCCTTTTGAGTAGCCAGGCCGACCGAGAGTGCAGATTCGTTTGTCGTCGATTCGGAATCGATAATCTCACGGAGGTCCAACTTAACTGTCGGCAGAGCGGAGGATGCCCAGGGGCTACTAGTCCGGGAAGCGGCCGGTGATAGAGCATCCCCCATCCCCTTTGCGTGATTTGAAGCCTGGCGCTGCGAGTCCAAGACAATCCTCGGAGCTGACAGAGAAGGTAATTCGTCCACCTCAGAGGGCGAGACTGTATCCAAGCACTTACTCGGCCTGGCTAGGGGGCTACTGATTCCACTGGGACCTTCTTCGTCCATATCGAAAATCAGGTCCCCGTGAGACGCCTTGGGCCGAAGATCCGGACTGAACGGCTCGTTCCTCTCCAGTTTGCACGTCTTCCTGGACTTATCTGGAGAGAATGTAGCGGCTGCGGAATCGTCGAGGCTACCGTACCTGGCCTTAAAGGAAGAAGAGAGCTTCTTCTCCTCGTCCCTCTGGGTCGCCCTAAAGCCAATCTCCCTTGCTCTTCTCTGGCGTTCTTCTTCAATGTCTTGAACCAAGTCTGGATATTTCTCATGCAATAGAAGCTCGACTCTGCCGCTTCTTGCGAAAGGGAACCGCGCCAGTTGGTTGTCCCGAACGACCACATCCAAGTCCAGGAGCAGGTCCTCGTCCAGTTCATCGAGAAGGTGATTTTCGAGCATCGTCTCGATCTGCAGACAAATGTACTCCAAGCTGGCCTCCTTGAATTCAGTCACTGAGCAAGGACTGATCTCGTTCAGAAGATGGGCGATGTTGCGGGTATTTGCAAACCTCCCAATCACTTTCTGGCAGATCTGCGCCAAACGATCCAGCATCAACTCATTGGCGATGCTCATCACATCCATGACAAGGTCGGTGAAATCGTTAAGAGATTGTGATACCACAGGGTCAAACAGCTCCTCGCCCGTGTCCGCATAGATGTGTTGCAGCACATACTTGAACGCGACAGGGTCAATGTGCTTAAGGTCAATCCGTACTCGATCGGACGAAGCTCGTCTTTCCCGGCGACCGGCTAGCCACGCGCCTTGCGAACGGCCATGGAATAATCCCTCGAACCAGGGGCACCGCCGACAGATAAAGGTACTGTGGACAGGGACCTCAAGGCCATCCAGTTCAAGGAGAGCGTCGCTGTCCTCAAAGAAGCCACGATCCCGGGTCGCAAGCATAAAATCTTCATCCATAGACTTCTTCGGATCGGTCTGTATGCGCACAGCAGTCTCCAACTGGGACATATCCAGGCGAGTTGCGACCTTCATGAGCTCGGTCCGGATCTGACGGAACCTGTATGCCAGCGGCGGCGCCTGTCTAGTAAAGGTCCAGGCCGGGATGACTTTGTCACTGTACATAAAGACGACGAGATTCAGGATCGAGATCAGGTCGAGCCCCGCAAACGTAATAACAGCGGCGCCGTCAACTTTGTCGATTCGGAAAGTGTCAGCATGCTCGTAAGAACCTCTCTTCCGATACTGGGTCATGGCATGGCGGAGAACAGGACTTCGGGCCGACAGGAGCCAGCCATGAACGGGGATGTTCAGTTCGGGTGACGAGGACGTGCAGAATGCTGTGTCCAGGGGCTCGTTCCGATGAGCCCAAGTCGACAGATGGTGCTCAAGATCTGCATCGAGGTCTGGCGACTTGAGAATCTCATACGGGGTGGACCCAAGGCGGTCCTTGAGTGTATCTGTGTCCCGGAATCTCAACGTATCTTTGCCTTGATCGTCGTCGTGGTGGCTGGATTCCGAGGCTTTGAAGCCACGGAGGGGATTCAATGGCGCAACGTCGTTCCAGATGGTCTGCCCTTCGATCTGGATCTGTTTGGTCATTACGTCCGAGTCTCTCCTGACGGCGGCAAACGTGCCAAAGGGCGAGGCCCTGACCGTCACCACCTTTGTGATGTAAGGTACTCGCTGGAACTTGAAATCATTCTTTTTCGTCTCCGAAGAGCCGCTCACATATGCGTCCTTCGCTTTGGCTCTTTTTACCCTTCGCCATACAGCGCCTGATTCCGTGCTAATGATGACCGAACCATGCTCACCTACCCCGACGGAGCGTACGCCTTCTCTTCTAGCATGCCATATGCACCGTGGCTGTGTAACGGCGCCCTTGATTTTGGAGGGGTTCGTCGTGGACGCCGCAGCTGCATTGACATCGATCTTATTGCTGAGGCCGAACGTGAACAAGTCCCCACGGCCCGTGACGGCTGCGATCGTCTCGCCACCGGATGTGATGTATTGGATCTGGTTCCTAGCGGCTTCATAGCGGGCCGACATGGAAACATTTTTCAGGTGATAATTGGTAAAGGTCTCCGTGAAGGGGAACTTGACGATATTGTACCCGTAACTCGTGAAGCAGACCACGGTATGATTTGCAAGTAAACAAGTCGTCGCCTTGTCAATGGCCGATACCATGATAATAGGGGACGAAAACAGCGATGCTGCAACCTTTCTGGGGACCTGCTGTACTTCGAGAGATCTCGAGTCGGAATCCATCAAGGCCAGTTGTCCCACATTCTTACCCCAGCAGTATAACGACGTCTCGGTATGAGCCACAGAGTGGATGGCGGAGGCGGCGACCCCGATGATGGCCTCCTTCTTCAGTGGCCCAAAAACCTGACGTGGAGTGTTGCTTGATGGTTCTTCGTCCGTCTTGGCCGGAGCTGGAAGGGCGTACCCCAGCTGTGCATGCGCGTTGGAGCCCCAGGTCCAGAGCTCGCCCATATCCGTGATGGCCAATGAATGATTCTGACCCAAAGCCACTTGGACGACTTTTCGGTCTGCAAGACCTCCCTGCACAGGAACATAGTTGAAGCGCGTGTTCTCGTCGCCTAGGCCCAGACGGCCGCCGCGCCCGACCCCACAGATGTACAGGTTCGACACTGGATCCGTCGTCAAGACGGCGCTATGGAGCTTGGATAAGACGACATCGTGGACTAGAAGAGGCCGGCTCAGGACTAAAGCAGGTATCTTTGAAAGATCCGGAGAAGCTTGTTGGCTGAGGCCAGCGCTGTCAAGGTACTCGTTATAGAATCTTTGGAGAAGACGGGCGGGCCGCCTCAACACCACGCGCTCGGGGAACTGCCTGTCATCTTCGTCGCCAAAGCCTAGGGATAGATTCCGGTTGCTCCCAAAAGCGAACAGCTCGTCGCCGTCAATGATTGCTTGAAGGCTACCGGGACCGCTACTAAGATGTCAGACCACGGCACGCATGTCATAGGTAAAGGGATCAGCGAGGGTGCCCAAGGGGACTGACGTGGAGCTATCCTGCGAAGCAGCCACCTCTTCACCTTCGGAGTCGTCGTCGGAACCTACTCGCTCATCTATCGCCGCCAGGATTCGCTCGCCTATAGTAGAGTTGAAGAGATCGAATGGGGAGTTGCCCTCGTGATCCTTGGTTTTAATAAGTTGCCCGACCTTACTCACTGAGGCACCGAGGATCTGGCCCGTGAAGTTCTTACGCTCCTTCTCCAAGATCAGCCGCGCGATGGAAATGTTTCCCACATAGAGGGCCCTGTGCAGGCAGTTCCAGCCGCTTTCCGGGTCCTGTACGTATATGTCTATTGCGGGGTGGTCGAGGAGCGCTTGCGCGAACTCGATGGCGTTGTCGGCGGTCGACGATGCGGCGCGCAACAGAAGAGTCAGCCCGGCATGGTCCCGCGCGTTGACCTCGCTCCTCCCTAGAGTCCCATTTCCGTGCCTGCCGGCTCCAAAGCCAGCTCCCCAGCCAGAGCTCTTGCGAGGTTTCGCCGGCGTCCGTGAGGATGCCTCGAATGCGCCCGGACTCCCTCCACCGCCGCCAATATTGGGGTTCCGCGATGCGGTCTGCGCGTTGTAGCCGGGCAGGGCGAGTAGGGAGCGGAACTTGTCCACATCGCCATCGTAGAAGTACTTGAAGAGCAAGCTCATCCGGGCAAACTCGCCGAGAGGTTTCTCTGGACACTTCGAACGGCACCTCGCTGTGAGTCTCGGTGGATCACGGCGTGTTTAAAGGTGCGCTAAGAAGTGCGAGAAAGACTCCCGGGAGGGGGTTCGGAAGTCGGATCGCAGTGATGCTGTCGGGAGTCGGCGTTGCCACTGGGCAGTCGAATCGGAGGTGGCCGGCTGATACGTCCGAGGGGGTAGCAGCGGGGTTGGACAGCGAGATCGGTTGACGACGAAGGAGCGATAACCTGTTGGGTCAGGAAGACAAGTCGAGCGTATCTGGGAGTACAATTGTTGTGTTTGAAGGTCGATCGAGAAGGTGCAAAACGGAATGGAACGAATTGTGGAGGGGATAGATATTCTATTTGTGCGCCTGGTTGTGATTCACACCCCCAACAGATAAGCTCGATATCAAGCTGCGGCAGCCTGGAGCTCCTAGCCAATCAGACCCCCGCATTTTGAAGCGTGCCCTGCGTATGGACCACGAACAGCCAGGGGCTATGTCGCCAAAAGTTGCCAATCGACAGGATTGTGATACAAGGAACCTTCGGAGATCCAAGTCTTCACACTATTTAAAGTATGTGCCTACCTCCCAGGTAGGAAAGCACGGCAGAGCAAGACGCATTCAAGCCACGAACTGGAGGGCTGAGGGCTGACGGCACCGACCAGACGGGGCTTTGGGGCTGACGCGGGGTGCTTGGCAGCCGGAGCCCGAAAGCCGATTTCGCACCGCAATGCGCGAAAAATCCTAGACTACCGAAACCTCCACTCTCTTTGTGTGACAACAAGTTCCCACCGTCAATTGCCTGCGTTCCCTTGACCCTGGACTCTTTTCAATCCAGATAATCTTTCCGCAATGTCGCAAGATAAGCCCCTCCCGTTCGTTTACCAGTTCGCCGCCGGTGAGTACCGCCGCATCTCCAGATAAAAATAGGACAAGACTACTGACCCCCTGCGCTCGCGACCAGGTGCGATTGCCGGTGTATCTGAAATATGTCTCATGTAAGCCTATTGCCAGATGATTGAGCGCATCAGATACTAATCAAATTGCCCCTACAGGTACCCCTTGGACGTTGTCAAGACCCGAGTGTGAGCGCGTCGCCACCCTGAGGACGGGCGCCATGTCGCGTCGCAAACACGAGGACTAATATCAGGCCAGGCAGCTGCAAACTGGCAAGGGTGGAGGCGCCGATGCTTACACCGGCATGCTCGATTGCTTCCGGAAGATTATTCGGAATGAAGGGTACACTACACACTCAGGGGCTGCTGTCGGGGCGGAAATTAACACTGCCATAGTTTCTCGAGGCTATACCGTGGCATTACAGCTCCCATCCTGATGGGTACGTACGGCAACATCTATTACCCCCCTCTGCTACTATCGAATTCTCTGCTAACCGGAACTCAGAGGCACCGAAGCGTGCTGTCAAGTTCTCCGCAAACGATGAATGGGGCAAATTCTATCGGACGGCATTCGGCCAGGAGAAGATGAACCAGTCCTTGTCGGTCCTCACCGGAGCTTCTGCCGGTGCCACCGAGGCTTTCGTCGTCGTGCCTTTCGAGCTGGTTAAGATTCGCCTTCAGGATAAGGCGTCTGCTGGGAAGTACAGCGGCATGCTTGATGTCGTCGCCAAGAGTAAATGCTCAAACCCGCCCCCTCATGACAATTCGCATCACTGGCTGCTAACCGATATCCCCTCCCAGCCGTTCGCAACGAGGGTATCTTGGCAATGTACAATGGATTAGAGTCCACCATGTGGCGGCATATCCTGTGGAACGCCGGTTACTTCGGCTGCATCTTCCAGGTCCGTCAACTACTGCCCAAGGCCGACAACAAGAGCAGCCAGATGGTCAACGACCTTATTTCTGGTGGGATTGGTGGCACGATCGGCACTGTACTCAACACCCCACTCGACGTCGTCAAGTCCCGAATTCAGAACTCCCCCAAGGTCGCTGGAGCAACACGTAAATACAACTGGGCCTTCCCAGCAGTGGCGACCGTCGCTAAGGAGGAGGGTTTTGCCGCCTTGTACAAGGGCTTCCTGCCGAAGGTCCTACGTCTCGGCCCTGGCGGTGGTGTTTTGCTTGTCGTCTTCACAGCCTGTACCGATTTCTTCCGCAAGATGAGGGAAGAGCGTTGAATGGTTGAATGGTGAGATCAGTGTTTGTTTACTTGCTTGCTCAGGGGCTTTCTCGATCACGTGGATCACCCATGCATTCGATTGGCTTTTCTCACTCGCATTCTGCGTTGTGCATTTTCTTGTCTCCCATTCATCGTCGAGATGGGGGTCTTACTTTTTTTTAAGTTTCAATCTGCCTTGCTATTACCATGTAGTAGAGTATATAGAGTTGGGTAGATACCTAGACGGGAGCTATTTCCCTGTTCTTTGGCTAGACCTATAGATCATGTACTCGCGCCATGTCTACGGATCGAGATTCCTGTGAAAGCGAACACTCGATGAGCAACGGATTCAGACCTAGAAGGCGCCGCAAGTCAGTCGTCCGAATAGGGCCGGCTTCCGAATCATAGATCTTCAAGATTTGGACCTAACTTCGTAGTGCGCAACCACCACAGAAGAACGTCCCATCTGGGCAGTCGCACTAGAGGCCATGTTTTCCTGAGCATAACCACTCCTGAACCCCGAAGTGCAAATCAGCCCCGCATCTCCTCTCAAGTTATCATCATTCAATGACATCAAGAGTTGGGAGATCCTCTGAATTTGATAGCAACCAAATGGTGGCCAAATGGTGGCCAAATGGTGGCCAAATGGTGGCCAAATGGTAGTGCGAATGCCTGACTCGGGAGACTTTACCAACTGGGCACGGCGTAGGTAGTTATGGGTATTTCTTCACTCAAGTATCACCATGCACGAATTAGGTATTGTAAGCTGGAGGAGCAGGTTTCAAAGAACTTGCATCCCAAAAACGAGACTAGAAGAAATGTGACGAAGCATCCGTACGCTATCCGTAATTAGCGGTCGTGATCAGCTGCCCAGCCAACCATCAACCACTTGATGACTGCCATGTGGGGCGTTAACCCGGACCATCCCCGCCGAGCCGGATACCGACAGCTCCAATTGTTTGATAGGTAGGCGTCAGCGCCCAGAGCAGAGCGACCAAAAGGATATCTTGTCAGGGTCACTCACAGCAAGAGTTACAAATAAAGCAAGTCGGTGGTGCGATTGGCAGGATGTCATATTCTCCTATTCCCTTTTTGAAGTTGATGTCCCCTCCCCGCATCGAAAAAATCAAGGAGGTATGAGTTTCTGCCAGCGAATCACTACCGATAGATAGATAGACAGAGAACTTGGGGTGAGGGAGAGCGAATGCAAGGGGGCCTGCGTCACTCACCGCCTTCCCCCAACAAACTCCCCAGCTCCTACCTACTTAGTATGCATACAGCTGTACAGCAAGGCAAACATGTGTGTTCAGGTGTCCAGAGCAGCGACCTGCAGCTGGGGCCGAAGGCAAACAATCCAATCAACCAGTAAATAAAGTCAGCTAGCGCAAGAAAAGAGGGGAAAAAATGAAAAGACGAGTGGGGAGAAACGGAAAAATAAGAAAAAGGCTCAAAGAGGCAAAAGCGTCAATCATTCCAGGGTTTCATTGGCCTGAGACACCATCTCCCGTCTGCCGGATCCCTCCCGGGTGCCACATGCTGGTCGGTTCAATACGACACAGGTACCTCGGAATCGTCTCCACGGGCTTTGAGCGCAAGAAGGGGAAAACAAGAAAAGGAGGAGGATGGCAGAAAAGTGAAAAACCTAGTTTCCCGTTTACTTCCTGCTATGCAGTAGGTGACGAAGTTTCGTAATTGCCACAAGCAGGGTATGGAGAAGCAGGTCCCTCATTGATGCAACAATACCTACCTATCTTGTGATCTACCTCCTGTTAGTGCGGTTAATCTGCCATGTATCTAGGAACCTAGCTGCGATATTCTCTGGCATTGATGCCATTGGCCACTTGCTCTCCTCTCTGACTCGCCCTCCTTCTTTTTCTACCCCTACCTCTTTTTTTTTCTTACCATGCTTACCTCGAAGCTCGGCGACGCTAATGGCTGCAGCAAACTCGTTGCCTTGGGATGTTCTCGTGCAGGCTCGTGCAGCCGCATTTGTTGTGCATTGATGTTAGCGTTCCCCCGTTCCCCACCCATGATTCGCCTGCATCCACTTACCGCCTTTTTTTTTGCTCGTCCCCCTTGTCCTTCCTTGGGCTGGACTTGTCTTGTCCCGAAAAGTTAAGCTAGCGCTCATCGCCTCCCTGACTTCCGCGCCCAGGGCCAAAAGTTTTGCGTCCCAAAACACATTCCACCCTCAAACAGGAATCAACAGGGGTCGAGAACAGGTCGCTACCCATATTCTAACGTAACCCATCTTGTCTACCCACCCTCTTGCGTCGCCCAAAACAACCCAGAGCCCGTCGCCGCCATCTTTCTCTAATTAATCCATACCCACTTGACATCGTCACTATCGTCTGTTGTTGCCCCTTGTTGCCCCCCCGTCTCATCCGGTTCGCCCCGTCTTATTGTGTTGCGCCTCTGCCTCGGGTGAATGAAAACATTGGTCCTGGCCGAACCCGTTTAATCCGAAGCGTCAGAACGGACAAAACCTAGAAGCAAAGCATAAGAGACGATCGCGTTCCGTAAATCAGTTGCACATCCGAAGTCATGCCGTACAACACTCGTCGCAAATCCCTTTCCTTGCCGTCGTTAGGCATCCATGTCCCCGTCACCCATGCTGCCCGGGCAGCCGCAAGTCGAGCCTCCCCGAACACTCCCTCGTCCTCGACAGCAGCCAGCGTAACGAACACAAGAGCGCATTCCCTCACAGCATCCGCCATGGCATCGCCGTCACCGAGAGAGCAACATCATCCGAATAAGAAGGTAAAACGAGCTCACAGCGAGGACTCGGACGGCTTGTTGCACTCAGCCTCGATTCCCAGGAAACATGAGCCTACCGTCAAGTTCGACCACACTCCGCCTCCATCGCCGCCACCCACCGATCGATCCTCTGTCGAGATGGTTGATGCCGATGCCGACGCTTCTGCGACTCCAATGAAGAAGATCGATCTGGAGGGGATTAATGACGAGATTGTCGAGGCAGTTATCGTCCAACTGGAGAATACCAAAAACAGGCCTCATCTAGTGAAGGAACTGGCCGCCGTATTGATGCAGCAGCTGAAAATAGTTCAACAGTAAGCTTTCTCACAAGCCTTCGGCACGGTTCGGGATTATCCTCCAAACTAACTTCCTTCCCAGGTCTGCCAATCCCTGCGCCATCATTTCATCCCGTCTGTCGACCTATCTGAAGCGTTCTTGCTGGTCCGCACTCGCCCCTTGCCCCCTGGCCAAGGAGCTCGAGACAGTACACCCGCGCCGAACCTATTTCTACCTGACGACCTGCCCCCATCAGCCACTTCCCGACCCGGCACACGCCGCCGCCCTCTCCCAACTGGCGCATGCCCGGGCCATCATCTCGCCGTGCCTGTCGAGCGCCACGTCGGCGTCCGTCAATTCCGAGGATGCCGAGTTCGAGGACGCGCGCCGCCGGGAGCTGAGCCCGAGCCCCGAGGTCGACCTGTCGAGCCCCGAGTTCGACGACGTGGACGACGACATCGCGATGCCGAGCACCCCCATTGGCAGCCTATCGATGCGCGGCTTCGGACTCGCCCCGCTGCTGCTAGGTCATGGCAGCGTGCCGGGCAGCGCCGCGTCGTCGGCGAGACACCACCGCGCCGCGTCGCCGCCGCTGGAGAAGGACGAGAAGGAGTTCACACAGACGGCCGACGGGCTGCAGAAGCGCAAGCTGAGCGGCGAGCTGATGTCTTCGAGCGGCGTGAGCCCCGAACAGGCGGCACAGGCGACGGTCGAGCTCGACTTTGGGAGCAGGGACGACAGCAGCCTGTTTGGCGACAAGACCGCCCTGCTCAGCGCCGCCTCCCACGTCGGCGCTTTCCCTACCATGGCGTTCGTGACCAGCCCGGCCATCAAGCCGGCGGCATTTGCGCTCCACTTCGGCAGGAAGGACAGCGGCGACGCCGACAGCTGGGCGAAGGTGGATCACATGCTGGGTTGGGATCGGAATCCCGAGAACATTGAGCTCGAGGAGCTAGACGGCTTGCTCAATGACTACTGAGCCGTTTTCTCACTTTCACCTCCCAACTCTTATTATGTCCCTTATTCCGCACCCATGTGGCGGATGGATGTGTATGATGAGATCTTGATTTTGCAGTGCCAGTGTTTGTTTTTAATATGCGCTCTCGAGAAAGACAAAAAGGAGGCACACCGGGAGAAACCAAAACGGGAGGGATGATCTATTTTGGGAGTTGTATGAACGGCTCCTTTTCATGTTCTCATATTTTTGGCCACATTTCCTCCTCTTTCCCCCCTTTTACGTATCCCTTTTTTTTTTTTTTTTTTTTTTGGCGAAAGCTGGCGTTTTACTCCCCATAGACGAGGCTAGGCCACGGCGTTCCGGTTGCTTAGCTGATATGGGTTGGAGCGGTTGGCTGGCGTCTTTCACCGGATCGTGTCGTCTCGCCACTTTTTTTTTCTGGGGGGACCACACTCCCGGCGCTTGGTTTGGTTTGGCGTGGTGTTTCGTGTCCCGCTTCTTCATATATCTATCTTATTCTCTTATCTCCAACTTCACCTCCTCTCTCCATTTCTCGTCGCTCAGCTCCTTGTCATGCCACTCAGGCGGGCTGGTTTCCAAATCTCGAAGGAGCGAGCTACTATCTATGATCATTTGCTCTCTCAATGCGCGGTCGAGCAAAGCAGACGGGTTTAAAATGTGGGGACGATGCCTCTCTCTCTCTCTCAACTAAAAAAAAATCGGTGCCGATGTTAAGCTATAGGATGCAAGAACTGGGGATCTTTTTATGTACGGGATGGATAGGACCGCGCAGAGCGGTTCTCATCGAGGCCATTTGTACGTTTATATCTACTCGACTTCTTGTTGTTTACTTTGCCCCCTGTTTCTCTCGCGAGATTTTCCCGAACCGCAAGAAGAGGCGGCGAGGGACACAGAAAAAACACCCTACCTAGATGGAGGTGGGCCCGGAAGCTGGCGCATTTAGACGATTGCGGTGGTGTTTTCTGGATGTGGGCGAAAGAGAAGGAGGTTGAGGAGAGGAGGGAGCGAGAGATAGATCTGAGCATATCTACTACCAACCAAATAAGATAAATCCCCTTTCAAATACCTAGTTCGCGATCGTATCGTACATACTTGCAAAGCTGCTTCGTAGTTATCACTTCTTGTCCTCATGGTTTTGTAGTCAGAAGTGCAGAAGTGGTAGAGACACAGATGAACGAAATCGCGAAGTTTTATTTCTACAGGAAGCACTCGATATGGGACTAGAAAAGAAGGGAAGAAAAGGAACGCAATGCCAAACCACCCCGTATATAATATTAGTACATACATAACTTACAACCTCAAGAGGTTATGGGCCAAACCACGCTTCTCATAATGCCATGATATCAATTCCGCTACTGCCCCGGGGCCGGCCCACCAGAATCAACCGCAGCATGCATGGAGGGAGAGAGAACCAACGCCATCATCCGCCCATGATATCATATAAACGTCCTTTAAGGAGTCCTCCCCAGAAGCCTCTGCCCGTTCCCACCAACGACAGAAGCCAATACTTTTTATTTGGACATGAATGGTTGCGTTCAGGGGCGACAGACAGCCTTGCCCTCCCTTGTCAAATGCGGCCAGGACACTGTCAACTCAAAGCCCCATTTTTGAGCTGGCAGGGGCCTAAACCGCGATTTTGATATCGGGCATGGCGGTCACGATCAAGCGTAGGTCGTGTCTGTTGCGGGACTTGTTTACCCTGGTGCCGTTCAAGTAACTGGCCAGCTAACTAAGCCTGCTGCAGGATTGCAGCGAATCTCTCTGCCACCTGGCATGACATTAGTATGCTGTGACATCTCATGGGAAGGGAAAGGGGAGTGTACCTCAGGAGCCGATTTCACAAAAGGCAGATCAAAGAACATGTATTTGTCGTTCTTGATCAATTCGATAACCGTGATCATCAGGCCCCAAGGTTGGGGCCAGAAGCCCACAACCCTCTCGAGAAGGACACGCACGATTTGCTGTCTGATCTCACCCTCCTCCGGGTCCGAGAGATCGTGGCCAAAGATGTCGAGCAGTGCCTGGCTGAAGTAGTGCGTGTACGAGTTCGCGAACCGCAATTCGTTGACCATACTGCTGATTAGGTAGTATCGTGTCTCCGGAGACAACTCGGTGACCAGCATGAACAGCGTCTTGATGTCCGAAGCGTCGGGCACAAAGGCTGAGTTGCCGTCGCCTTTCCCGGCCGACCGCTCGACAGCAAAAGCCCCAATGTACGCAGTCACCGAGTCAATAACTTTCAGGTTCGCGTTGATGGGGACATGGCCGTAGCCGGTTTGCTCCTCGTCGGCCTTGTTCATCGCATGGGTGATCTGGGCAATGGCATCCTCCGTGGGACCATTTCTAAGCGTCTGGTCCAGAATTTCCAGCAGGCCGATCTGTCGGAGATGCGCTGCCGGGTCTCTAGAGACGATGGGAGCAGCCCGGATCTCCGGCATCCGATCGATCTTAAGCCCCGGCTGCAACGGATCGGGCATCTTTGCCGCACTCTCCGGGGTCGCCACGAGGACGAGGTTGAGGAGCTGGGTGCAGTGTGGGGGGATGATCTCGCACAGCTGCAGATAGTTCGCGGCGAGGTATTCTGGGAAGTCGTGCTGGAGAATGACCAGCTGCTTGAGAGCGGCACGGTAAAGGTCTTTCGTGATGGGAGACACGTCGATGGGTTTAAGTTGCTCGCCGAGATACTCGAAAAGTTGTTTCAGAAGCCTTGTGTAGTGGCTCCAGCCAGCGTTGTCGGCCATTCTTAGTAGAGCGGGCATGAAGACGCGATGCTGAATAAGTGCGATCCAGCCATACACGAAACCCGGAAACAAGACCGGCCCAAGATCCTGGAAGCGCACCGCGAACCTGAAGAGGATCTCATTACGATCGACTTCGGTCAGGTCTTCCGAGACGGCACTAATATCGTGGAGCAGTGTCGAGAAGAAGCGGAAGAAGACCCTCTGGCTGAAATTCTCGCCGCGCTTGACGTGGTTGTGGTTCAGAACCAGGATTGACAGGGCGAGGACGGAATCAAGGAACGAGGCCCGAGATGAGTGGCCCTCCTCGCCATCCTCGTGGCTCTTCAGGAATATCGTGATCATCTTGACGAGGGCATCGATAGGCTGGTAGCCTTCGGCAATGCTGCCACCCGACTGGGCAACCAGCTCGAAGCGGTCCACGGACTTGTCAATAGCCTGGCGGGTGAAGACGAAGAAGTCGTCCTTGCTGGTCACCGCCCCCCTGGAATGCATCTGCTGGACGAAAATCATGGACGACTTGTCCGAGGCATTGGGGTTGTTGCAGAGGTGGACCCATTCCTCGAAGATGTAATCCATCTGGTCCTGCTGGATGCTGCTGCGCTCCTCGGGCGTCATGGTCGCCGGCAGCTCCGGAGGAGGCGCCAGGATCTTGGACTTCAATCGTTGGCCGCCAGGGACGTCGGGCTCGTCGGTGATCCAGGTCCATGCTTCCTCTAGGCTGCGGACGAAGTCGGCATAGAGCGCTAGGGGACTATCGTTCAGTAGCGTAAGGTCCATCAGCTGTTCGAGGAACTCGATGGACCCTTCTTTGCGCTGCTGTAGGGCCTTCGACATGGCCATGTCGATATTTCCCCAGTCGAGCAGATCCGTTGGCAGCAAGGCCGAGATAAGGGGGAGATGCAGAAACATGTTGCCGGGCTGCTGATGGAAGTGTGCACGGATCTTCTGGCTCGTCGCGACGCCAGCAATCTTCCGCAAGGCCTCGAGAACATGCACGAGGGTTTCCAGGACCAAGCTATCATCGACCTGGCCGAACAGAAGGTGCGAGATCTGTTCGGCTGCATACATGACGAACTCCTCCGACGTCTGGTGTGTCTTGATGATCAGCTGAACCAGGGCGTCGATGATGTCCAAGATGGGGTGAGGCCGGGGTAGGTTGGCGAAGTGGTCTTCCCGACACTCGGTAGCTACACGCTGCAGCTCGTGCAGGAGCTTAGAGACCCTGTCCGCGAGGGCTCTCGCCTCCATCTGGTTGAGCCCGGCTGGGCGGCTTGCCACCCCACCACTATGAGCCTGCGGGTATTGTTGCACCTGGGCATTTAGGAGGGGCAACGAAGGCGTCTCCGCTGGTGTCGGAATGCTCGGAACGGAGCTGTACTGATCCTGTAGAACCTCGTTCGCCAGGGACCGTGTCGTTTCCGAGGTGGATGAAACATGCTGCGACGGAGTCGCCGCCGTTGCCGTAGCACGCGGCTGACGAGCGAAGTCCTCGTAAATGGCCATCTGCTCCGCGTTGAGGCCGCCCAGATTTGGCGATAGTTTGTAGGGGTTCGGAATGGTCCAGGCCCAACGGCTCAAGCCCGGGTCAACGTAAGGCTCCGTCGGTCGTTGCAGGCGATGGCGACGGCGGGCTTCCATCTCGCCCTCGATCATTTCCTCAATCTCGGGCACTGCACGTTCCTCTGCCGACTTCTCGATGACGCTCGACGCAAGATCGAGGTTAGAATTGACACACATTATGATGATGCCTTCCGGCAGACCCTGGGGCAGCTCGTTGGCGAGGTTGCGCATGTAGTTCGTGAAGTTAGCACGAAGGGGCTCCTTGGAAGTCACCAATGCCAGGCTGCCCGCAGTGGACTTCACCATGTTGATGGCCGAGGTTCGCACGCGGTTCTCGTCGGGCTCGGTCGCAAAGTCCTTGTGGATCATCTGCTGCGTAGAGATCGCCGCGATCGTGACAGACCGGTCCACGACAGGCTGGATGATATCCTGCAGAGCTCGTGTGAGGGCTGACCGGACAATCTCGTGGAGTCGAGCCGCGCTGACAACCTCTGTTGGGGGGATCTGCAGACTGGGGCCCAAATCCGGGATCGAGGGCACGACTGCGTGCGGCGCGAGCGCATTCGCAACTCCCGGTCCCATCCCGTTCAACGACAGGCTCTCAAAGGCGTCCAAAGTCTCCTGGCCAACAATCTCGCCAGCTTCCTCGGCAGGGACCCTGTTCAATATCTCCCCAGACGGCTCGATACCCTTGTGATCGAGGCTGAGTCCCTTGCACAGAACCTCGATCTCAAACTTCAGATTCAGCTTGAGCTCGGCGTTGTGATAGAGCTCGATCAAGAGGTGTATGATGTCCATTAGCCAGGGGTTTGGCGGTCGGAAGACATTGGACGTAGCCCCCTGGATGAGCACCTTGCAGACGAACGGAATCACCACGATCAAGCGTTTCGTGTCGTGGGCTTCAATGAGAAGCTGTTTGAACGCGATGTTCTTCTGTCTGATCGGCTTGTCTCTCGCCAGGGTCAACAAGCCAAGCCAGCCGCCCAGGTTCTTGAGGTGAGTCCGTTCCATTGAATTTGCCATGGTGACCTCCGAGTTGAGCATTCGCTGGACGCTGATATAGGTCTGCCTCAGGACCTCGGAAAACAGGGACCTGTCGTCGAACTGCTTGATTAGCTCGAGATAGACGTGGTGGTAATTGGGCTGCATCTTGGCGCGTTCCTCGACGAGGTGGCTTGAGAACCACTGCTGATGCTGCTCCCCCATCATCTCGCGCAGTTCCCTGAACATGGCCTGCAGGGTCGTGTCTGTGAGGTTATTGAGGACAAACTGGATCTTCCCTTGCGCGTCGCTGCTAGGATCCTCAAACCCAAGACTGAGCGGAGGCGGGTCGACGTTGATGGACGCGAAAGGCAGCGCATGTGGCTTGGAACCACCAGCAGAATCCTCCAGGTTGCCGTTGGTCAAGAGGTCGTTACCTATCATAGCAGGGCCGTGCCCCAAGCTCCCGGACCCATTCCTTGACCGCGCCAACTCTTCCTCGTGGTCGCGAACCACATCTTCAGCCTTCTTCCAAGCCTCTGTTCCTTGCAGGCCGGGTATCTGAAGGAGCTGTTTGCAAAACCCGGGCCATTCACGAAGGCGAGAGAACAGCTGCATGAGCGCCTGGAGACCGAACTTGTACATGGATTCATCCGGGCTGTGATCTCGTACCGCCTCCAGGATCATGCCGAGGCCGATCTGCAACGGAAGGTCAGAGATGAGTTTGTGGGATATTATCCCGCCAAACAGGACCGCCGTGGTCGCGAGGGCCTCGAGGGGATAGTCGACGTAGTGGTTGTACTCGTCGAAGAGGCCGTGAATCATGCAAGCAAAGACGTCCTGGTCCAGCGGATCCCGGGAGTGCTTGTACCGCTCGAGCACCTCGACCACGTTGCGAACCTGGATTTCGTCGCCGTACATCCTTTTGTAGTGCTCTTCCATCTTGACATTGGCGGCTGATGGGAGGACATTTCCGTCTTTGCCGTTGGCATCGATGATTTCGTCATAGCCTTCACCATAGTTGATGAGCCTGGGGTAGACGGTTATGCAGTGGCGTTGAAGGAGGATGAGCTCGGGGACCGGAGTTTTTGGCAGGAACTCCTCCAATATTTGGAGGAGCGCCGAGACCGTCCGCACCTGCAGGGTCGTGCTCGTCTTGACGCCGGCATCTTGGGAGCGCTGGTATGCCAGCTCCAGATTTGCCTTGATCATGAGGAACTGTAACAGGGACCGTGCTATCTCGGTGCCCCGATCGGTGTTCCTTCGCGCCCACTGTTGCAGGTCGAGGAACCCTTCCGCATGTGCCAGCGCCGTGAGATCCAGACCGAAGCCGTTTGGCAGATAGACCAGTTCGTCTAACCAGTCGTGCTTGACAGCATGCTCGAAGATGAGGGGCAAATCGATCGGCTTGACGGCGTGGGCATCGATCAGCCTCTGCTTTACCCATTCCTTGTCCTTCCTCCAGAGGCTGTCGAGAACGAAGTCGTACTCGGGCGAGCGCTTGTAGAGGAAGTTCTCGAAGAGAGAGTTGAGCGTGTCCACGGCCATCGCAGGCCAGGGCTTGGGGACGCCGAATGCCGAGACCACGAATATGTCGAGATTAGGAACCACCACTTCCTGAAACAATCGCTTGGCTTCGATGCTCTGAGAGGCGTGCACCGAGTGAAGCGCCACATTGAAGACGGCCGAGAGAGCCGCCACCGAAACCAGGGGGTGTTTTACCGCGTAGGCAGCCCTTTGACGAACTTCGGCCGGGGATTGGACGTAGGTATCGATAGTAAAGGTAGGGGCCAGTCCTGGGATAGTGCTCGCATCCAGCTGGTCCGGAAGCAAGGATGCGAAGGCGCAGATGAACGAGAGCTGAGTCTCGGGGTTGTCCCATTCCCGTCCCCACAGACGCTGGATATCAAAGCCCACGCTGTCATCTTGCGCGATCGGCAGGAGCGCGTTGTAGAGGCGCAAGAACTGGTTCGAAGATATGCGGGCATCGCGTTGGTCGAAATAGGACACAACATGCTGCCACCTGAAACTGTCCGGAAGAACATGTCTGAGCCCGGCCACAAGAACCGAGGGGTTGTGAGGCGGCGTTTGGCTGATGGTGGTATAGGTGAGCGCAACAGCGACCTGCTCCTCGCTCAGCTGGATGCTGCTGGGCCGGTTCTTCAGGTGGCCGGTACACGTGTCCTCGTCGGTTGTAAAGTCCTGGCCCGTCCTGTGGATATAAAGAGCCAGGGCATTGGGGGGCTTGTCCCCAAGGACGCGCATGAGGTCGAGGGCAGCTAGCACCTGGGAAGGCGGCGCCCGGTCCGACTGGGCGTAACGATCTTGCACGTTGTGTCTGAGCTCAGACTTGGCAGCAGCATTGAAGTTCGGCGGATGCAGTTGGATGAAGCGATCGACGATCTCGGCAACAAAGTCGGCGGAGAGGTCGGCATGGTCGCCATCCGCTCGTCGAAGGATGTTGACGAAGGTGGGGAAGTTTGTTGAGAGAATGGCATCCGCTGCGATACGGAGGTCAGCATTTCCCGGCTTGGATACCAGTAGAGCCCAACGAGAAGAGGAAGGAAGCAGAATAGAAGAATATCGGGAATGATTAGAGGGTGCCATACCTTTAGCCTTCAAGTCTGAGCGCGACCCAAGCTTGAAGGCCAGGGCCAATATCGTTTTCTCTAGAGCATCGAGCTTGAAATGCTCCATGAATGTTGAAAGATCAAAGTCCCGAAAGATGTCTTCGGTGCCCGTCTCGACTGACTCGGCAATCATCCTAGCTTGGGCTATCTCGCGTGAAAGCTTCCGCATCTCGGCAACGAGGAGGTGGTAGTTCCCCGGATTCGCTACCGGCCGGTTGAGGCCCGGAAATATTTGAGGGGCATTTCCGGCAACCAGCCGCGAGAAGTATTTGGAGAAGACTTCCATGCCGTTGTCATGGATGAGCTATATGAGGGGGAAGGCATCGGGTTAGCGCACCATGAGCGACAGGGTGGACACGCGGGCACGGAATGAATTGGATGATTTGGAAGGGTAGGTGGTTGGGTTGAGTTGGTGACTGGCTGGCTGAGTCGACGGTTTGTCCATTACTCACCTTTCTCAATTGCTCGGTGTGTAATTCCCACTTGCTGGGGTCGTCCTTGTCCTCTTTGATGGTGCTGAGGAGCAGGTAGACCTGGGCGACAACAATCTTGGTGAGGGAGCTCGTCCCAGTGGGGCTGCTGGTACTGGGGCTGGCACCAGCACTCAGCGCACCAGCTTGCGACGGATGCGGAGAGTGGGTGATTCCCGACTGGGCGATCTGGGCGGTTGGGATTGGCGAGAAGGTTCCCGATCTGGATTGGGGGACCATGGAGTTGGTAATGTCCTGTCGGGGGGCCGGGAAGAGGGAAGTTGATGTTGCTTTCCCCTAGCGGAGAGAGCGACTTCCTCCTTCTGTCAAGGGCGCGAAAGAAGCGGACTGCAGGTCTGGAGGAGCAGGGCAGGAAGGAGGGACAGTTTTCGGGAGAATCTGACGGTCAAAGGCGCACCAAGATTAGGATGATGGGTGATGTCGAAGGGGGCCGAACGTTAAGGTTTGGGTGGTATGCGTGATCTTGACCGTGGAGGTGTGCTTTTTTCGACGTGTGAGGTTGATGGTAAAATTGGGGCCTTGTCTTTCTGGTCAGGACCAAGCAGAAATGGGACTGCCACCTGACTGGTCAGTGCTTCACCCAGGGAAGCTCCTCAGGCTTGTTGTTGCTTGCAAGGCTCTAGCCTCTCGCATGGGGCGGCATGGCCGCCTGGATGCCTGGAATGTGGGGCAGTAACTTTAAGGGGCACGTGTTTTGCACAGTCTCCTCCCATCCACGGATCTCTTCACACTCATCACTTCCATTGTTTTCTCCATCTGTTGAATCATACATGTAGGTAGGTATTGAGTTGTGTACGCGTATCACAGCGGGGGCCCTATCGGCAGGCCAGTGATGATCTCTCCGTCTTTCGGCAATCCGGTCGGAAAATCAGTCTATGTATATACTTTTGCCATCTCGATTAGGTCTACGGCGAAGTTTCAGGGTGCAGTGTTATCCTCAGGCGATTGCTAATAACCCCAAGAGAAGTTTGGAAAGCGCCCTTTGAGTCTTCAAGCTTTGAAATTCAGGGACTGTCCCTTTGGACCTGCAAAGTTTCAGGAGAAGGTCCGGTTCAGATTCTAAGTGACGAAAAACGATCCCGAGACGTTTTCCAACGGACATCTGGGGCTTTATCCGCTGCGTCCCAATTAATGCACATCTGGGGACGTCGCCAACGTAGTTCTCCCCTCGTGGGAGCAATCGTCAATACCGTACCTAGTTGACTACTTTAGACTTGTCGTTGCAGAGAAAAATAACACCGCCCAACTAGCGATAATTGTAAGAAGCCCACCACGCAATTTGTCCAAAGGGACATCGGTAATAGCCAGCCCCTTTTCTGACCCCTCCTCTACTTAGTCCGCCAGCTTGGCCTGGTCGGGACCGCGGTCTCCCCTAAGGTCTTCATGTTCAGAGGAGGGATCCGGTACTCCGAGTTCCTCTGCCTCCTAACGTCGGCCCAGAAGTCGTAGCTTCTATCCTGCTTCTTGCGCTCCCTCAGCTCGCTCTGTTCCCTCTCCTCCTTCCGCCGCCTGGCTTGCCTGTCCGCCACGCCGGATGGAAGCAGCCCCGTCGCCCACGCCCCTGTGCCGCGCGCCGCGCCGCTCACGACTCGGAATCCGGCCCGGAACCACACCTGCACGTGCGAGCTGAAGGCGGCGATCAGTGACGACGCGATGAGGAAGAAGGAGAGCGGGAGCGAGATGGCGCCGATGAAGCCGAGGGTCGGTAGCTGCGCGTCCCACTCCACCGTGTTCATGCCGAAGAGGCCCGTGAAGAAGCTCAAGGGCAGGAAGATGACGGTGAAGATGGTGAAGATCATGACCGCGAGGTTCTGGCTCGACGCGAGCTCCGTCTGGATCCGGGACCAGCGCATGTCTTGCACCTGTGCTTGGCGCTGGGCCATCTCTAGGAGTTTCTCGTACTGCGGAGGAGAAGGTGTGGTCAGCCGCCTGGTGTCGCTGGAGCCTAGACATAAAAGTAGATATAGAACTCGAACTCACGTCTTTCCTCGTAGTGTCAACCCGCTTTAACATCTCCGTCGTCTGCTGTTTGTATTCATCCAGCCGAGAGAGAGCCTGGTCGAGATAGGCCTGCCCGTTTTGAGTGACTGCGTTGAGCTCCACGCCCATATATATCGCCTTCATTGACCTGATCGTGACCTCCTGAGTCTCAAATAGGCGGTAGAGAGTGGTCAGCTCGTCTTCCATGTCGCGCAGCTCGAGCAACGCTGACGTGTTCTCGCGGTTCTCCCGCTCGGCTTTCTGAAGCTCTCGCCTGTAGCGTTTCTTGATGGAAGCGGGCTTGTTTCCTTCGGGGTCGTCGAGATCGGGTTCTCCAACAATCTCCCTGAAGGTCTGCATGCGGAATTGCTTCAACGATGAAGTCATCCTTTCCGTCTATAGGAGGAGGGGGTGAGCAAGGAGCGCGGAACATAGTCGGGATGCTGACCACTTACCAACATGCCGATAGCTTCCTCAAAGATGCGGAATAATTCCAGGTCGGGATGAGAACTCCTGTCGAGCAGCACTGTGACGGCGTGGAGGACAGTGAAGGCGGCTAGGTCAAGAGCATTCTCGGTTCTCCCAGTAAGATCACCGTTGAGCTCATTATAGACCGAGTTGCGAAGGTCTGCCTGCTGGAACAGCGTGCCTTCTTTTGGAGAGGACTCTCGCTTGGGGAAGAATGTCGCCAACGTCGCTATCAATCAATGGTTCAGCAAAAATCTTGGGGACCGATTTGGTCTGCGAGGAATTCGAGCCCTTACTCGTATCAATGGCCCATAGCCAGAGCTGGTCAACCATGAGCACATTGCCATCCTTGACTTCCTCTGCGACATCCAACTCCGATTCTGAACCGGAGCTTGACTCGCTGCTGCTGTCCTCTTTATTCATCACCTCACTCATGATAGTAGATAGGCGGTGTGTCCGAGGACGAAACGACAGATTAGTGCTCGCGCGCCCATTTAGCTTTGGTAATCCCTTGGCCAGCCTTTGCGCCGGCTCCTTTTTCGTAAGCTTGTACAGCATCTGGTCGTCATCACGCGAGTATGTGTCTTGAAGCGACGGGTATCCAAACTGATCCAGAGTCCTTCGACAATTCAGGGGAGGATCGAAGCCAAGATACTGCCAGATTACGCGCAGCTCCAAGGACTCGAGATCAGCAATGTCTTTCGGGACGGGCCTGGCTCTGCCGTGGTTCATGCGTCTCTTGATAATGGCCCGGCGCCTGATCATGTTGGCATACGTGTCGAAGTGAAGATAAGGGAGGTAAAGATAGAGGTAATTAAGACTATTCCGCGGCGAGGACCTTCCACTATAGCTTGGTGACGGTTGTGGAGACATAGCTAAGGATCATCAATACTCTGGTATACCTTTTGCGAAAAGGGGACGGAAATCTATTGGGGACCGTAGACTCACTAGAATCTGCAGAGATGAAGCTACACGCGGGCTTGACGAAGGACGGCTGAGACCGAGAGTGCCGCCCTTGGACGTGTCTCGACACCCAGTTCTCGTTGTTGAACAGTCTGGCAAAACTCTGGTCATGTGTCTCAGAGAGCTTGTTGAAGATGTCCTGCCGGTGTTGTTAGTCTTGGAATGTTGGAGGCTACGATGGAGGCTCGATCGCTCGTACCTTTACCCAGAGCGGATTTGTGAATGGTACATGTATCCACATGAACTTTCTTAACGATGGAACAGGCCTCGAGAAGCCGGCAATGGAGTCCCCACGTGCCGAGGCTGTACTCTCCCTGGTCACAGTTACTGGATCCGAGTGCATCCTCCTATGGCCGCTGCCGGCAACGTCTCCCCTTGCAGTTGCCTCACTTTCAGACATTGTGCTTGTGGTGTCATCACTGCTCTCCCGAACCAACGGGATATTAAAATCCGGAGTTCCTAGGGCCGGGACGGTCAGGTTGTGGATGCGCCTCATTATTGAAGCCGGCATTGAGCTGGACCCTCCGTCGGCCATCGACGGGCGCCTCGAGGGACCGGTGACGACAATACCTGGCGAGGCTGAAGGTTCCAGGCTGTGCGTCGAACTCCCGGACTGGCCATTATTAAACATCCTTTGCACGTTTGACCAGATGCCCAAGCTACTGCTGCCCCCGTCGTTGCCAACATGTCTACGCGGCAATGGTAGCGGATGCGAAGGCATACGTGACGGCACCTTGTTTAGTCTTTCTCCTAGGCAGCGTTCCGGTCCTTTATGTAAGAACTCGTCAAGGTGAATCTTGGTAGAGTATAGTCGCATATCCGATACCATATTGGCGTCAGGATCTTCGTAGAAGCCAATGAGCTCGACCCTGACATGCTCTTTGAGTCGCAAAGGAGTGTGGATATACATGTCGCAGAGCCTCTCTGCCTTGGTAACAGCTGCGGAAAGCTTCTCGAGGTAGGACTTCATAGTTCTGGGATTCGCCACGCCGAATGAAGCGCAATTTGCGTGATCGCTGTCAACCGAAAAGACGCTTTCCTGCCTGACGCCGACCAGGCTGGACTTGATGGAAACTAGCGGCGCGCCGAATTCAACTTCACCTTTCGTCCCAGCTCCAGAGCCAGAAAGCTGGGAGTCGATCGTCTCATACACCGTCCAGATTCGAAGTTCGCTGGCGATATCGACGAAGTCGTCATGAAGCTGGAGGAGTGATTGGTTGCCAAGACGGAGCTGGTCGGCGAGGGACTGGGGAAGCGGGCGTTCCAAATAGAGCAGGTTCTGGATACTGTCACTCATGTTCGGCATGGACATGTAACTCGACCCCCGGTGCGGCGTGCCTGGGGACAGTTAGCCAACATTCCTGGATATCTGCGATTGGTGGCTAGGCACCTACCGAAGAAGGTCACGCCGTGGCAGTTGTACAGAATTGGTCGGTATTCCTGCTCCCTGCTGGCCTCGACAAGAGCCTGCTTGACAACCAAGCCGCCAATACTGTGGGCAATGAAGAACAGTGGCCTCGAGGGATGCTGACAATGTGAGAAACCGAAATCGGCAGAGATGGGAGAAGCATGCTTACCAATCTCTCACGCAAGTCCCGAACGTGGCCTAAGAGGTCATGGGCGAGCGATGCTAGATCATCGCCTTCAGACAGTGCCCGGTGCTTGTACAGCAGGACCCTTGCAGTGCTGACCGATTTCCGAATGCCCTGCCTCACCCACACCTGTGACGCCATCGGGAGGTGTCGGTTGATGGCCGGAGAGAGGATGGCATCCCCGGCGAGCTCTGCGATTGTTGGATGCCTCTGGAGTTCGTTTCTGAGCGGAGTCCCAAAGTAGTCGTCGGGAAAAGGATCATCTCCAAGCCAAGGCTGCACCGGATCGGCACCAGGACAAGGAACTGCAACAATATCGACCTTGGTCTCATTGTATCCCGAGCCGCCTACGTCTCCGTCAATGTGAACAAATCCGGACTCCGGATCCGAGTGAGACAGACTGCCCCGTTGAGACTTGTCACTCTCACCACCTTCCGGTACTTCCCCCTCCGAAACTCTGACAGGACTCGGCCTCAAAAGCTGCGTATCATCAGAACTTGGCCTTAAAGATGGCCGCCCCAGGCCAGGGCCGTCGCCGTGACCTTCTGCCTGATGTGCCGGCTGCCCAGACGGGGCCGCAGCCTCGTCTGGTCGATCATGTCCTGCTCCCTCCATTTTGGATAAGCATAGCGGCCCAACAGGCGCCTTGTCCCACAGGCTACCAGTTCAGTCGCGCGAAGAGGATATCGAGTCGAACAACGTACACTCTAGCTAGTTGCCACGGCTCTGGCTCGCAAGACGCAGCGTTCCGTAGAGGGAAGAGACCAGGCAAGCCGTCAAGTTCGCGAAGACAAGATTCGAGGCTGACTTAATATTGCCGACCCCTGTCATTTGCTGCGCCGCTGACCACCAATTCGGTAGGGCTGCATACGGCGTGGTCATTTTGCGCTTCGTAGCCCAGAGTTGAGTGGTCCATTTTTGGCACTTGAGGGGGGTCAGCATCGGTCACACGCTGCTGCCTGTGTCACTGCCTCCGCCACTCAGTTTCTTTTGATCATTGCGGCCTTGCCAAATATCATTTAATCAGTCTTCCAGCCGCTTGAATTATCTGATTCCCACGGAGAAGAATAGGAATGAGTACCCTAGCTGAGTGGTAATTACGGACAGCAAGTATATTCCCAGAACCACTAGTTCCCCTGGAAGCCCCACCCTGGTCTTCTCGGGTCCAGCCGCCCTGGTCTATTTAGTGTAACTAATCAGAGCCCATCCTTCCATTAGCGTCCTGTTACTAGTCCCATTTGAGTTGCCGCCCTCATTGTGCAAACTCCAACCGTCGATACCCCTATCCAAGGCGATGTTATGACTTTGCCATCATCGCACGCCGTTCATATAGCTCAATATCTTACCTTCCAGAGCCTGACTGAGCTGATAACCATATTGCCAGAAAGTCTAGGCGAATCAGCAAAAAGGCGATGCCAACTTTGTCAGTCCATGATAGGCTTCAGGCCCAGCTGACCGCAGTACACATTCCTCGCCTGGAAGATTCGAGATCCCACAGCTGAGTACCTTTCTGTGACTATCGGCTTGTCTCTTGTCAGAAGCTCCATGCAGAAATAGTTCACAATCCCCTAATTTCGAAGTGGGGGAGATCCCGGCCTTGCTAGATAGCTAGGAATTTTTTGGCTTCTAATTCAGTTCCATCCTCACTTCCAGATCAAGGGTACAGAAAATTGTTAGACTTACATAACTGTTCACTCAGGGATCCGTTTGATAGGGTACTCAATCACATGGTCCTTTGAAGGCTTGACAATCTGGTTCATCCATGGATGATCTCACTTCCATGTCACCGGCTTAAGCCGCTTGTTGGAGTTATACAACTCACCTTGTGGCGCTCAGTCCTAGGCAGCCTGTTCCAGCCATGTCGGATTCACCCATCCCCGAGTGACTATCTGTATCAGAATCGAGGGAGCGGGATATTCCAGGGCTGCCCGTAGCTGAAATCTCCTCGGTGACGCCAATCCCAGTATCCAGACAGCATCTCAGCTCATCAACAGCACGGAGAATGACGTGATTTGAAGGATGGTATGTCTCTATTTGTCCCTCGAGGCCTATGGCCACTCCGTAGGATGGAGACAAAAGTGGTGGGCAACACATGATATACACAAGTGGCCTGTGGTGGAAGCCCTCGTTTACTAAACACCGAGGTTTAAAGCCACGCAAAAGAGCCTTGCAACTCCCTGGTCCAGAACCTATACCCGAAACAACGAGAATGACAGTGATCAAAATGAAATGTCAACCGTGAGGGGAAGCAGTGGCCTATGAGTTTCCTCTTCGCCAACCCCGGGTCGGCGTCTAATCTGATTTTTCCAGGACGAAGGCCTTGAACAAGATAGCCGGTAACATCCCGAGCTCGGCGCGAGTGTTATTGTAGTAGTTGTATTTGTTGGGGAACCCTGCTCTTTTCACGCGGGCGTCCGGTCTCGAGAGAGAGAAGTTCCCAACCCTGCTCGACGTACACCCGTCTAAGCAGCTACCGCAGCGTCATCCCTGCCATTCAGAAGATTCAGGAGACTATCGAGAGCACCTCCGCCAGCACCGCCTGCACCGCCGGCACCACCTGCACCGCCGGTAGCAGCGGCTCCACCGGCACCGCCGAGACCGCTGAGGTCGATGCCAAGGTTGTTCTCGAGTGTGGAGATGATGGAATCGAGGCCTCCACCACCTGCTGCCTGTCCGTTAGCGATTCCGGCATCCGTGGCCTGTGCGTTGGCGGCTCCGGCATCCGCAGCCTTTCCTTTGGCGGCTCCGGCACCCGCTGCCTGTCCTTTGGCGGCTCCGGCACCCGCTGCCTGTCCATTGGCGGCTTCAGTCTGAGCAGCCGCGTCGGCTGCGGCTGCGGCTGTGGCTGCGTCTCCGGCATTGGCGTTATTGTTGGCCTTGCCTTTCCCGTTGCCGTTCGCATTTCCCTGGTTGGCGGTGGCATTTGCGTTGGCGTTGGCCTTCCCGTTGCCCTGGTTGGCGTTGTTGGCGTTGGCATTTGCGTTGCCCTTCCCGTTGCCCGCGTTGGCGTTGCCCGCGTTGGCGTTGCCCTTCGCGTTGCCTTGGTTCGCGTTGCCTCCAGCGGCGTTGGTGTTGCCTGCAGCGGCATTGGCGTTGCCTGCAGCGGCGGCAGTCCCGTTCACGACACCAGCGTTATTTGCAGCGCCAGCTGCAGCGCACGCATTATTGACAGCTGCCGAGCTGGCGGCGGCGGCAGTATCGGTGGCGGCGGCAGTAGCAGCGGCGGCTGCGTTATCAGCGGCGGTCGCGTTACCAGCGACGGCTGTAGAGTTTCCGGCACCGGCGTTACCCGTGTTCCCGTCCTTGCGTCCGCGGGTGGCGAATCGGAAGCCGGCCCGAGGCTGGACAGGGGCCAGGCCGCCGACCGCGTGAGGAAGGGCAGCGACGTGGGAGGCTGAGACTGCCAGCAGCACGAGGATGGCTCCGAGGTTCTTCATTGTGGAGGATCGTTTGGCACCGCAAAGCGAGAAGAGGACTGATGATGGTTGAAAAGGAAGAAATAATAGAGTCCGAGGAGCACAGCTGCCTACCGCGAGTTAGCTGGTTCTTGGATCTGTATTCGAACCGGTGATGAGAGTTGCAAACCTCGTAAAGTAACAGACAATATATACCAGAGAACAGAATACAAAGACGGCCAAGAAGAAATGTTTTAGAGAAAAGCAAGAAGGATACCAAGACTGAGAACGGGAGGGCAGGTGGGTGAGAAGGGCGAAGACTTCTTCGGTTTATATCAACAGAACTGCGTGCTCCCGAGGCATCCCTCCTTCTGACTGTGGCAGTGTCTGCTCAGGGGAAGCGCATGGGCGGGGACTTGAGCAGAGCAGAGAGGGCGAACGATGTCAAACATGATGGCACACGTTGGCTGAAGGAGCGAGCACAGCTACCGGACAGTGATTCGAGGATCCGCAGAGCAGACCAACGGGTTGTTTGGTTCACATGGCGGCATTGATGTCGATCAGTGATCTCAGCGATCTAGGCTTGGCCCTTGGCAACGGTGGGAAAACAGCTTGGTCTGGGTCGGTCTAGAAACCAGGCACAGGAAGAGCAGTGATCTCCCAGGAGCTGATCATACGCGTTGTGCCTGAGAAAGCCTTGGTTAGAGTTATCTTTAGAAGGTTGACAGGGGTTGCAGGGGTTGCAGGGGTTGCAGGGGTGGGGGCGGAAGAAGAAACTTGTGGGTCAAACACCATCACGTCACTGGAGATTCACCTCTCTCTCACCTTGTTGCTCTACACATCGACTTTCTGGAAAATCCTGGTCGTTTGGTATTGCATTTGTCGTCTCACCCTGGTGCCCAATGACATTGAGCAAATACAGTGATCCCAGAGATCACTCCCAATTCTGGCAGGATTACGCGTATCCAGACGGGTCAACCCTGCTGTGATCGATTGGGCGGAACACATCTTCCCTGCTCCAGACAAGAGATGTTCCATCATTAAACCCAGCCACCATCAGTTCTGTGACCTTTTGAGTCACGAGCATTGCTGTTAGGTCTAGCACCTTGAGATCAGAAACACCGAAGCAACCATCATCCCAAACGTTTCCAACGCTCTACAATCCTGAATCTACCGCCGACAGAGCCTAGATTTACCTTAAACTACGACTGCCGAGGACAACCTTCCGAGTGGTGTGACGAAGGGGCGATCGAGATTTGCGCGGTAATCCCTCCATACCTGGAAACCCCCATGAGGTTGGTGGTTCCAAATCCACGTTGAGAGGACAATGCTTAAAGAACGAGGATACCTACCCATGTTGGCGGCTGTTGGCGGCCTCAAACCTGTGTACACCCAACCAACACCTACAACTAGAGCCAGGCACTTGAAGGCTCACCCTGCCTGACACATCGTCTGTCTGTTTGTCGAGGGCCGAGTGGATACATGTCTCACATGCCATCTTTATCAGCCCACCATCTGGACACAAGCGGAAGTATCCGCCCTCGACAGTGCGGTGTCTAGGAAAATGGTGGCACCAGTTTCTGCTGTCCTGAAGTTTTGAGTCTGCAATTAGACAACAGTGAACAGGGTCTAACAGCCTTCAGATGATATTATCACCCATGCAACGGGTCTTGTGTAGGGTTGGGAACCCGATCGTGTGCGACGGGGAGTTGGCGAGAACACGCGAACATATTCATTTCCGCCTCACTGTCGCTCTCCCAATTTCTGCGGCAGGATGTCCGGTCCTAGAGAGTGGATCGCCCACGCTCTTGACAGCGCAGTTCACCAGGCTGCCCAGCGCCGGCGTCGTTCATGACGCTGATTCCTCTCGGGTTCTGCTCCGTTGGCTAGCCCGGAGTGCCGACCATGATCGTACCGGAAGCGGAAGCGGCAGCAGAAGCGAGAGAACCGGAAGCCTCTAACAAGTAACAGCTGCGGGCGAATGACCGGTGCGGATGTCCGCCTACCGAGCCGAGGGTACTTCATTCTCCTCTTTTATGTCACCCCGATCCGTGAGGACCCCTAACTCCGAGCATGGTGGCTATCTTAGTCGAGAGTTCACATAGCCATTGGTGGATAGGACATCTTCGGTTGCTCAACCTCCGCCGCTTCCCTTGTTGCTTTACGATTTTGCTGGGGAAGGCCTCGATCTGAATTGAGATATGAGTGAGCGTCGAGAGTCGAGGGTCGAGGATAAGCAGGTTGGTAAGTGTGTTGCAGAGATCTCGAGGGACTTGGCCCAGCTGAATTCCAAGCCGCTATTTTGGAGATGAAAATAGGAACGGGACATTCAAATCAGACAGGCACCTGAATTCGTGCGGCTGCAGACGACTGAGGTGGACAAAAACCCCGCTCCCAACAAGACGCGCATATGCATCTTCTGCGATCAGACCTATGCGTACTAGACCAATGCCGGAGTATCCTGCAGCGGTTGAAGCTCGACCTCGTGGCCGGATAAATCGAATCAAGGGCACCTGCCAATCATGCTCAGCTTTCGCCCTCCCTCTGGCTAGTTCGTCAAAGCTCCCGCTACTGGGCCGACCTTCCGCCACACCCAGAGTCCAGGTGTTTCTGGATACATTGTTTCGATTTCCTGCTTAATGCCAGGATAGGAAATTCCATTAAGATTTATCAGCGCCCTGCATTTGACTGGCTACGGTTCCGCGGAAACCATCAACACACGACAGCTGGACGGAGCCATCTAGGCCGGGGGCCCGGCCTCACGCCTGGGCAAATCGAGTTAGCAGCCCAAGCGCGCAGCATGGCACGACAACATTGACCTTCGCCCGCCATCGCCCATCGTAAGCATCCCTTCTTTACCCCGCTGTTGTCTGCAGCGGGAAACGCCTGGAAGAGGACCCGGTCGCCGTCCAATCCCCTGTGCGGACCCGGGAGACTGCGGGGAAGAGATCTCATTCGGCGTTTTGCGCTTTCCCGTACCCACCTTGGAGCCTAGTATACGCATACTCAGGTACTTTTGCTCCGCAACCTAGTTGCCCGCCGAGAGCTAACGGGAGAGGAGCTCTGCAGGGCAAGTCCTGCAGGAAGGATGCCGCACCAAGATCTTGTTGACATGACCGTGACTCGATGTTCCCAACGTCATATTTATCTGAAAGATACTCCCTCTAATAAATCCATCGTCTACCTGATGGTGTACCTGTCTATACGTCGTATATGAGCTGTTCATCCAACCGACTGCCCTCCCTACTATCATATTCCGTGCTATATTGCTCCCGTCCCTGTCATTGACGTCCACTGCCTAAATTGCACCGTCCTTGAATAAACAAATGGATCGCTCCAAACGGTCCCTATTGGTTTCATCACCCGTGGCAACTAAGCCCGACTCCCCCAGGTTGAGGAGGAAGCTCCAGAAGGGCGGCGCGAGGCAGCGCAACCTGAGCAAGCGGCCCGGATCAGGCGCGTCCAATGAAGCGTCGGCGGACGATAAATCGCACAATGCCAACAAACAGTCCCTGCCGCTGCCCCCTGATCTCAGTGATTCAAAGTGGTCAGAGTACCTTCGGGGCAGGGAATACCTTTGCGTCCTTGACTCCTCGGTGCGATCTACCGAGTCCCTCGTCACGCCCAATAGCATAATTCCCGGCCTCACCCACCCCAACAACACCAAGCATGAGAAAGGGCGACCATCGATCGAGAAGCTCTGTTCTGCCTCCCCAACACCGTCGCGATCCTCGGAAATGAGGCGCCGTGCCAAGACGCCGGTATTCTCCATCGGACAGCTCGAGGCTGCTGCCTCAACGACGGGGCGCGCCGCATCCGGGCCGGACAAGACGTCGAGCGTCGAGCTCATCGCAGAGCAATACAGAGCGCTACTGGAGTCCCGCAACTCCATGTTTACCGACTGCCACTCCGAGCCGCCGCCCTCGCGGCAGGAGGACAGGGGCGAGCTCGAGATCAGGAGGCAGCACAGCTCGGACGACCTACAAGGGTCGGCGGCCCAGCTCCCACAACCCACCGCGGAGCCTCCCACCGGCTCCCCAACGTCGTCGGATGACGGGACGCTCGTCGCGTTCGAGGAGGAAACCGTGTACTTCAAGCCAGTGTCGTTCTCGCCCGAGCCGCTCTCCCCGATACACAACAACAACTACGAGCAACCGTTTGTCAGCCCCTCGTTTTCGCCCGAGAGCCTCAGCCTGCAGATCTGCGTCGACCTCCTGACCCGCGACCTGACCTCGGCCATCATCACCGACAGGCCCCGGAGGTGCGCCTCGGACTCGTCGGCGCTGCAGGTGTGGGTCATGATCGAGGCCTACGAGAGGCTGCGGGACCGGATCCTGGACTCGCGGCTGCGCTACGACGGCGAGGTCCAGAGCGTGGAGCTCATGTTCGACATGTGGTTGCGGGCGCTTTACGACATCCACGACTCGCTCACGGGAGAGGGACGGACGACCGAGGGTGAATATGAGGAGCTTGAGCTCTCGGCTGAGGAGCTGGATTAGAATTTGATGATACCAAAGATACCTGCTTTTCCTTTGTTGCGGGGACTCGGGCATTGGTTCTGGACGGTTGGCCGGGCTTCGGCCTGGGAAGATACCTCTTTACTGCTGGCGTTTTGTTGGTTGGGCATTGCTTTATATCAACTCTACTTCGAGCACTTCGATTCTCTCCTGTCACATTTTTTACCGTAACTATGTTTTGAGCTTTGAGGAGAAACACATGAATACGTTATGGGCCTGTTAGCTTTGTGTATTCCAGCGAACGTCATTCAGTAGGCTCCAAAGTATGGAATAGAGCCAAATATTGAAGAGCACTATCTTCCTCAAAACGACCGACGTCTCGTGTCAAGACTCTGAAAGACGACATCGTCTGCTCCCATTGCCTGGGCAATTTCAAACCGATGCTTATTCTCCAACGCAATGAACTCCCGCGGGGAGGCGAGGTCGATGCCATAGATATGATCATAGCTCACGGGGCGAGCACAGCTGGCGAAGAACACCTTTCAGTATCCGGCCTCGCAAGCCATTGCAACGATATCATCCCCTGTACGATACTATCGTCCACCAACTAGATGCAAAAGTTCTAGAAATGAGGTCAAAAAAAGTCAAAAAGAAAAACATACAACACCAGGGATTCGCTGGTCGTCACCGACCCAACTACTAGTCTGGCCCTCACTGGCTTATCTATGGGAGAGCGGACGGGATCCCGAGTTCTCCAGTGGGTATGGTCGTATGTATTAGCATTGTCCCCCAAACCTCCTTTTATATCCATAGTCTACTCGGTTAGGTATGTACAGATTCTGATGCAGCTTCATTCCCACCAAAACAGTGATAGCAAGATCACGTGACAGCATGTCATTTTCGCGGTCAGTTTTCCTCGACTTTCCAGAACCCCGCCTCTCCCCTGAAAGCCATGTCGACCAAAAGGCTGAACTTCGAACCAACAATTCCGAGTACAATCTCAGTGCAGTGAATAGTAACTTCCTTACAAGCGGCTTACCCGTCTCAAAAGTGACTGAAGGTAGCGAAGATGGAAGAGGATTTCGGGGCAGATCCCGACTTTCTCGCTGCCCTTGCGGCCTCGGATTCCCGCCAAGCATCTTCAAGTCGGCCCAGCCAGCCGACGCCACAGACCATACAACAGCCCAGACCTCAACGGCTTGATAGAGCTCCGCCCGCGAACACTTCTGGCACCAAGGTTGTGCAGCCAACCCCGCAGGCTTTGCCAGGGCGCACTTCGGGTTCGTCGATTCTGGTCTCGCCACGGCAGAAAGGCAATCCAGTCCTTGCCTGTCTACGCTCCCTTCCCTGGGAATACAGCGACATCCTAGCTGACTATGGCCTGGGGCTGACTACCTGTGCCCTCTTCTTAAGGTGAGATCCCTATACATCTCCGCCCGCGAAATAGCCATGCGGCGCGAACGCCTCTTTTTGACCCACCGACGGCAGTCTCAAATATCACCGGCTTCACCCGGAATACATCTACACTCGTATACGGAACCTCCAGGGGAAATACAACCTGCGTATCTTGCTCACCATGGTGGATATACCGAATCACGAAGACTCGCTCCGCGAGCTGGCCAAGACGTCCCTCGTGAACAACGTGACAGTCATTCTATGCTGGTCGGCCGCCGAGGCGGCTCGGTATCTGGAGCTGTACAAGTCGTACGAACACGCCAATTTCTCGGCGATCAAGGGCCAGCAAGCAACGGGCTACGCCGAGAAGCTCGTCGAGTTCGTCACGATCCCTCGCAGCGTCAACAAGGCTGACGCAGTCGCCCTTGTCAGCACCTTTGGCAGTTTGAGGAATGCCATCAACGCCGACCCCGAACAAGTCGCCGTTATTAGCGGATGGGGGGAGAGGAAGGTGAAGAGCTGGTGCAAGGTGGTAGAGGCGCCCTTCCGAGTCAAGAAGGCAGCACGAAGGCGGGTCGAGAGGGCCGCGGACGACGGCTGGGGCCCGGCGTCGTCGGCGCGGCCGCGGACTACTGTCTTGGACCAGGCGGTGCCCATCGGTAGGGTGCCGTTGCGGGAAATGGCTGGGAGGTCAGCTCCCCGAGGCTCTGGCAATGCGGAACAGGTGGTGGGGCTGGGGGCGCAACGGAAAGGGCCGACTCCGCAGCATCGATCTGAGGATGCCGATGATGCCGATGAGGATGCGATGATTGCTGCCGCGATTGAAGCGTCCAAGAAAACTGATAGCCAGCTCAGTGACGGGGTGGCAGCAGCCCTAGCCAGGTTAAGGGAAAACGGATGAGGATTCTGCTCCTGCTGATTTACGACTCGACCCCGCCCCCGCAATGGGGCCTGCATCGGCGATGTAATGCTGACGCCGTGGAAAACGGTGGATATGCTCGTCAAGGTGTAACTGCCTGGGTCGATCAACCGGGTCTCCAAGATATCGATCGATTGCCTGCCTATTCGGCCAGGCGAAGACCATGGGACATATATGTAACAATGCCTGGTCCCATGCTTTGCAACACGTTCAGCGAGGGTTGCGGGGTCTGATCATCCGCGATCGAAGGTTGTCAGTCGGGTCCAGGGGCATGGTTTCTGTTGTCTCGGCACAGGTTTTTCGCCGAATGTCACAAGCTTAAGTTGTCTGCAACCTTCCGCATATCGTAGGGATCAGAGAAGCAACGCTTTGGGCGGGGACTTGAAGCTTGTGTACGATCCATCGCATCCATGATCCATCCAGTGTCAAGGCTTGGCGGAGGAGTCCGAAGTTGGGGTCGGATGGAGGGGTCATTTTAGCAAGGCGTTGGCCCTCTAATAATAATCTGGATGAGAAGCTCGACTTTATCCATTTAGTATTCCTCATGCGTCCGCAATCTCTCGGGACTCAGTCCACGGTCCACGGCATCAGCATGCCCAAAATGGGCACCACAGTGCCGTGCGAAGAGAAGTTCGGTTTTGTTGCTCATCTTGTCGCGATGCGTTGTTGGTGAAAAAAGGAGTTAAAATGTGCTGGAGAGGCACATCACAATTACAATTACAACTTCGGCCCTTTTACCCCCCTTGCCGTTCCTGTTAGCGACTGACAGGTCGATGACTCGATGCTAGCTAGCCAATTCCAGTGAGGCCAAAGACTATCACTCCAGTCTCCATGTCGCGTAGTGCCAAGTGGCCTGCATCGGACTGGACCTGCATCTCAGGTGGATGGATCATGGAAGCTCGTTCGTCGTGCTGCGCGTGATAGTGTGGCCCACCATTGTTATCACAGGTCCTGTCGTGCATCTTCAGCTTGTGACCAAGGGCCTTCTCCCTTTTAGTGGAAGGAAAATGGCTAATCTAATGAGGCGCATTGTATTATAACGCCGTGTACTCCGTGCGGAGTGCGATATCTTCTCATACGAGCGTTTCCCTTACTTTCCATCCGTCTTGGTTAGGTACTTGTACAATACATACCTAACTTAACTCCCCCGCCCAGCCCGGTTCACTATAACAACGAAGACTTGGAGGAGCCTGCAAGCTTCTAGGCCAATAACAACTGGCACTCTGATTCTAAGCACAATTCCATTAACTAGCTCCTATGTTCAATTTTGTGTTTTATGCTACCTTTTCCCACCCTTTCCCGTATATAAACCGGGTGTCGTCTAGGCTCGGGCTTGGTTGGGAGTTTTGGTGAGAGGACATTCATTAGGCAGGCCCCCCCTTTAGGCAGGTCTCGGGGGAAATACCCAATCACGGGGGCTCGACTTGCCAGCGCACGGCACGCGAGAGGCTCTCATGGGCCTGAAAGTCTGGAAACGGGGGGTCTCGCGAGATCGGCAGTGGGCCGAGTCTAGTGCTCATCTGGTTTTAATATACTTTGACGGGATGCAGGTACGCCCTCTGCCAAAATAGAAATTGAACGACATATTTTGTATTGATTCCCTTGCCGGCCACTAGGTTAATATCCCCATACCAGGATTTTGTCTCTGGTGCTCGGGGGAGGGACTTTGGGGGGGGGGGGGGGGGGGGGGGGGGGTCGGATATAAATTAAAAAATAACCGCCAACCCCCAAACAACCAACACGGGGCCCAACGACTTGTCATTTATGCCATGGATCATATGTTTTTTGTA